TCTCTCTCTCTCTCTCTCTCTCTCTCTCTCTCTCTCTCTCTCTCTCTCTCTCTCTCTCTCTCTCTCTCTCTCTCTCTCTTTCTCTCTCTCCCCGGGATTCTGCAAAACATATCTGCATGTGCTCGTGCACGTGTGTGTAATACTATACATGTCCATGCGCATGATTCTATGCACATAATGAGAAGCCTGAACAATTGCCAATACTGTTCCCTGGGGTTCCCGATCATACTTACACCATAACGACTATACCATACCCCCAAACCCGACTCTAATAGAGACTCTACTAGTTAAGGCCCGTGCAAAAGCAGTAGCACCCAAACCCTCAACCCTAAACCCCCAAACTCTCGGAAGCATGACGGAAGGCAAGTACGCACTTTGGGGAGCTCTGGAGAGGGTATCGGCCTCGAGACAAACGGCCTAGGGTTCTACAAGTGGTTCCTATGGGGTTTTGTGGGGCTTGCTACTCTACGGCCTAAACTTAGGAATTAGAATAGGGTTTGGCGCATTTTTGCCGGGGGGTCATGAGGTTGAGGAACCCATTGAGGAGCTCAGTTGAAAAATCAAGGGTGGGGAGGCTCTGAAGAATACGAGCAGAGAACTCCGTCAGTAGGGCATAAGCTTCACAAGCCCTTATAACAACCCTTAGCCCTCAACCGAGCCGAAAGCCCTAAACTGGATTTAAACCGAAACCCCAAAAACCCTAAACTCTAAACCAAAAACCCAATACCGTAAACCCTAAACGTTAAAAGGTTAGCATGTGGGATGGAGTGACGAGGATCGCTGGTGCACGCACGTCTTAAAATACCGGCCATGTGAACGGCCTCTTGGGATTGAGCCGCTGCAGAACAGCCTTACATAGCAGAAAGTATAGGGTCTCTGTCGTTATAATTATTCTTAGGGGCTGAGTACCCTAGCTAAAAAAAAAGGTTAACCTTTTCAGCTAGTGTAGGAATAGATAAACCCCAAAAGGTTAAAGGTTACCTACTCCGCTACTAAGTACTGTTCTGTATCAGCTGGGCATATTGGAACAAGCCAGAAAGCTCCGCCAAGAAGTGCCTATGTGTCCATGCAGAAACCCTAAACCCTAAACCCTGCTAAACCCTGCCCTTCTCCTTGGATTTCGCTCTGTTACCGTTTTCACCAGAGCCGCGAAGCTCAATACTCGAAGCTGAAGACGGATCGATCTAAAAAGGGATCCTGCTTTAGGGTTTTATAAAAATCTAGGATGGTCTAGGGCTCATAATTTAAGAATGAGGGCTCTTAAGAATTAGGGTTCATGTCTGTCCCCTGGTGTTAGGGAATCATCAGCGAGATATCACGGGCTGCACTGCAGTCGCGCCTGCTAAATTCCAGACCCTGTCGGCCTGAAAACACTGTGGAGGCGGTCCAAAGAGCACCGGCCCGCTTGAGGGAGTGTCCAGGGCCTAAGATTTCGAGTTTCGGGTTTGGGGTTCGAGGCAGATTCCAGGTATAACACATGGACACCGAAGGAACAGTAATGATAGTGATTGAAGCAGCGAATTTACCCTGAGATCACTAGTGACTAGTCGCCAGGTGTAACTGTCAACTCTGAACGGAGTGGTCTGGAGGACGGAGAGACGTACGCTATCCTTGCTGTCCCTTGTCCTTCCCCCAAAACGGGGCGATGCACACCACGAAGAGGGGCTTGCGGCCAAGCACTGAGCGGAACATTGAGAAACAGACTGGTTGTCTCCCCAACCTTCCGTCAGGCACCCGGAGATCCCAAAATTAAGGAAAGACCTTAAAGTATAGAGGCCCTAATTTCATGATTTACGGTATATATTCCTTAATTAAGGAGTATTCGGATTTCTGGCTAGATCCGTTGAGCAAGCATGTAGACAAAGCTCGAGGACTTATAACCTATACAACTCTAAGTCTATCCTTAGCCTGGGTACCTACAGGCTCATACCCTACCCCTTTTTAAGATACCTAGTTTTATGGTTAGGATCTGTTGCATAGAAAAGTAGATGCCCTGAAAAAGGGGTAGGGTATGAGCCTACACGTAGGTATCAGCCCCAGGATCGTTGGCGCCAGCAAGCCCCAAGAAGTACAAAACCTGAATCCTTCGGGATCAAGCTTTTGAAAAATGGCCGACTGCGCGTGGCCATCGAGATTGCAGCAGGCAAGGACCCTGCTCGTTGTCCGAGCTTCGAGGTTCTATGAGCTTCGGAGTAGTGTTAGAGGTAGTATAGGGGCTTAGTAATGGGAGCAGGGGGTTGGGGGTATGTAATGAGGATCTGATTTAACAACTAGAGCAGGGTGTTGGGGGTATGTAATACGGAGCAACATTGGCAATTATTCAGGCTTGTACATCGTGCATTACCCTTCGGGATCCTATTCATTGATCTGCTTAATGCAGGGTTTGAATACAGATTTAACTCTGACACGCAACATTGCCCATTATACTATAACTGTAGCAAGGAACTCCGCAAAATAGTACAGGTACTTTAATATTAGGCCCCTACAGTAGGGTGGGTTCATAAATACCGAGACGTCAGCCGAAAGCCCCGGGCCCTGACTTAAATAGTTTAGGTTACTTCAAGGATCATGGGTGGTTATAAGTGGGGTTATACGTAGGGTAACCATAATCATTACCCAGAATGGGGGACTAAGAACTACCTATGAACCTCCAGGTGCTGACTTCTGATAATACTCCACTGTCCTAGGAGCCACATCTACCTTCGGTACAGTAGAATACAGGCTATTACATCAACATATAGCCTGCTATAGAAAACCCTAAACCCTAAACCCTAAACCGTGTAGAGCGAATCATAAAGCACATTACTACTGCTTCAGGCCAAAAGTGCTTATGGAATTATGGAATAGTAGTAAGTGTAAGAAGCAGAAAAAATGACAGAGAGAGCAATAATGCAAAGGAGCGCACAACAAACACCATACGAATAATGACAAGTGCCATATGGCGACATGGCTAGTAACAGTACGAGTTATGGAATAGGCGGAGCAATTGTTGAGGGGTCACTTTGATCTATTGATAGAAACCGAAATCACAGAAAGAGTCAGAGAACTCCTAAGCTGAGTACACCCAAACCCTACAAAACCGTAAACGTAGTGCGGACCCTTACTTACCTTGGTCAAGGACTACCAACATTACGAACAGGCAAGCGGGAGGTCCTCGAAAAGCCTGCGGCCGTTGACTTCAGAAGCCGGTAAACTTTAGAAACAAGTCATGATATTGCGATAATGGCAAGTGGAAGCTGTGAGGAGTAATGGTAGTGGCGGCCGTCGCAACGATAGGAGCAGCTAATGGTGACAGCCATAACCATCATGGCAAAATCTATTGACCATGGAAAGACTCAAGACTTAAAGTATCGGGACTACCGAAATGAAACGGTTGAAGGCTCAGGCAATCACATCAGTACGCCTGTGCCGGGCCTATTTGAGCTCCCTAAGTGAAAAGTCCCAGCGATGAGAATGGCTTGTGAGAGGTTGTTCTGCGCCACGACTTGTGGCTTTAGGCCGAAGCGCTACAAGTAAGAACCTTGAACCTAGCACCCCACGTCCTAAAACCTACACCCCTCCGAACCATGGTGTCACAGCCATTACTTCAACTTCAACCCAAAACCCTAAACGTGGAGCCTGAGGGAGCCTTCAATTCTTGCTAGATCCAATCACGGGAAGTTTGCCGGCCCTTGCAGCAGGATCGCTGTGGAGTCGCTGACTCATCATACCTGACCGTCGCTGCATGAAGGTGGCCAACATCTAGCAGACTACGTTCAGACTTCTCGGTTTGGTCTACAAGTTGGCTGAAGCCTGTGGAACGCCGTGGCCAACTTGGTAGAGTTGCTACCTGTTTCAAGCTGTTCCCAAATAGGCCAATGCTGTGCACCGTTGTGCACAGACTAGAACCGTAGCAGCACTCTCTTACAATATATATATATATATATGTGCACATAAACACATCTGCTCATCATATAAGGTTCTTTCCTGTTCTGATCTACTCTTCTATATTTTATATTGAACTATGTTGTATTATGCTTGAACATGTCATTTCCTGTCTTGTTATATCATGTGCGCTTCGGTAAACTATTTTAAATATTATAAGTTTAGAATATGGTATATGTTAACGACATATTGTATTTCTTGCTATATTAGGGTACAACATAATATGACATGTAAGGTACATGTTGGTGTACCTTGTTACGCTTGTGCTCGGATGTTATACTTTGTGTATACCGATATTGCAATATGTGATATATACATAGAGGCTTACACATATATGTACATAACTATACGTGTGTGTGTGTATATATATATATCCACACACACAGCATTGGGTTGGATGGCATCAGGATGAACTATGTTTCTAAACATCTTACACACTATCTCATACGGTACTATGTTATATTGCACTGCATCATGTTACACTATGTCATAGTATATGCTGCTGTACTGAGTTCTGCTATACAACATACTGTTACATATAGGAATGTCACATGTGTATTGTGTTGGGCTACAGTATGGTTATACCAACGTATCTTGAACTAGTAGATCATAGCGTAACGCATTACCTTGTATGGTATGGTGCTCTGTTGTATCATGCGGTATCATAGTGTATCATATGTTATGCCATATTACAGAATATCAAGTGACGTTACATTCTACTGTGCTGTATTGTATAGTATCATACATTGTCGTTTTTCTGTCAGATGCTAGCGCTTTACATCTTTATTACCATACTACATCATATTATGTCGCGTACTATCTTATCTTATGTTGTGTTCTGTTATATTGTATCTACATCCCACAGGAACAATAACTTCGAGTGGTTCTTACGGATTGATGCATTGAACATGGGCAGCCTGTAGTTTCCAGGCATTTCCAGGAGCCCTTTGAGAAACCGTGCAGGGCTTAGGGTTTAGGTGTAGGCTGCAGTGTAGGCTGTAAGGCGTAAGGTCTAGGGAACAACCGAAATAAAATCAGAAAACTTCTGCATCTGCAGAAGCCACCGGCCTCGAGGATCAGGCGGGCACGGTCTGTAGCCGCTTGGGGTCCACGAGGCCTCCTCGGTTTCGGTTTTACGTTCAGTACACAACCAGAACCTACCTTTTTTGCAGGTTCTATGTAGTCAGATACCCTAATATGGGATATATAAGGACCCTAAAAACAAACTAGGTTTTGCCAGGTCAAGGTACCGTACAGGAGACAAGTCTTTAGGGCACCAGCTGTTTGGTTTGCTTCGCGTTTGCGGCCCTTAGAGTCCGTACCTGAGGAGTAGCCATAAAAATACAAACACAGATAAACTGAATAGCAAGAGCGAAAACTGCGACAGGAACTATCGCTTCTGGAGAAAGCACGTGGGTAGCGAAGACAGGCAACACACACAGCAAATAAAACGAACCTGAATGAGTCGAGGTAAGACAGGCTAGAAATGGACAGAGCAGCATCCGTGTCTGTACCTACAGAATTTCGTGTCATATCACAAGCGGATGATGCAGCTTGAAAGGACTCGGCACTCCGAAAATCACACTAGCATCACTGCCACTTCTGATTCATAGGCCCAAACACTCTAGCGACAAACTCCGAAGCCCCTCTACCCTGCCTCCATACAGACCCTACTTAAAGGATCATGGGACTTAGTAACTAGGGTTATAATTAGGGTATCTATACTTATAACTACTTATAAGCCCAATTAAGGTACTTATAACCTTACTTACTAAGTCCCATGATCCTCCAAGTAACCCCCGAACTCAATAGCCGAAGCCGAGAGACGTATCACAGAGCTCCCCATACCACCCCCACGGGAGGCGATGTCATGGGCTGTGAGGCCATCACCTCAACAGGCTTCTGGGATTGAACCCCGGGTGTCATCTCAAAGCTCATGATCCCAGAGACTCCAATATCCCTTAATTAAGGAATGTACCTCAAATCATAGAACTAAGGCCTCTAATTATAACTGAAGGTATCTTCCTTAATTAAGGAATCTACCTTGAATCATGGAATTATAAAGGCCTCTAATTATAAATGAGGGTCTATGCCTGAATTAAGGGGTATTGGGTTCTCTGGGCAGAAGACCATGGACTCAACCCTCCTTGTTCCGCGGCCACGTGGATGACTTCGTCAGCTAGTTTGCAGGGCTTGAATAACCCCCTAATCCAATGAAGCCATTTGGGAGTTTCCGAAAATAGGGGACCCAAATCTAGGACCCTAAATAGTAGGATCCTTATTATGAGGACCCCAAAAGGAGGTACCCCCTATTTTCGGAAATCCCCATTTAGGATTCACAAAAGAAGATGCCCAATGGCACGTGCAGGCCGAAATCAGCCCTTATCCGAAGCCCAGGTTACCAGGAAACCCAGAGGGCAAAGGTTTCCGGACCAGGGTTTGGGGTTCCTTTAAAGGGATCTATAGGGGCTTATAGGGTTCCTTTAAAGGGATCTACAGGGTTTGGGGTTAAGAGTTTAGGGTTCGGGTTTAGGGTTTAGGGCTTAGGGTTTAGGGTTTAGGGCTTGGGTTTAGGGTTTAGGGCTTAGGGGCGGAGGGTTTAGGAGTGCAGGGTCTTCGTGCTATTTGCCATTGGGCTCAGGCCTGGATGGAGTAGGGACTATGTACCTGAACATTGTCCCGGGAACGGTTTGCTCTGCTAACCATGCAGGGGTATCCGACTGGACCACCATGGCAGCATGCAGCTTCCAGTTTAGGGTTTAGGGTTGACTTATAAGATTTAGTAAGGGGTTGTTCAAGTTGAGCTGTCAGCTTGGGCAAGCTTGGGGATACAAGGTTGTGGTATGGCGAGGGAACCCCAAACCCCAGCCCTAAACCTGAAGCCTGAAGCCGCTCTCGGAGGCCCCGCAAGGCTATTCCCTGTGACTGTGGGCGGCGCCATTGCGAAATTCGAGATCCGCGCCGCTCTCAACCTGAAACTACTGGGTTCTTGCTGATGAACTTGTTCCTTGGGTTCCGGTTGAGGGGTTCCTTTAAGGGCTTCCTTGAAGAGTTTCTTGGGGCTCTTGTTCAGGAACTTAAGTCAAGGGCTACTTGCTTTGTAGGGGCTAGGGTTTCGGGATTTGGGTACAAGGCTAATGAACAACCAGTACAGTTAAGTTGCGACAATCTAGGCTTCCCTTAAAGGTTCGAGAAGGGTCTTAAGGTAAGGGAGCTCAACTGCAAGTTACCAAAGTGGGGAACAATAGGGGTTCCTGGTTTCTGCTATTTTCATGTAGGTGGTTGTCAAAATTGGAATCCCTTTTGGGGGTACCTTCAATATTAGGTGCCATATTATATTAAGGACCCAAAACGGGACACAGCCACCCATGTGAAACCCGTAACAAGAGCCAAGGCTGCCCCATGCACGGGAATGCAACTGCTTTTGGACTAAGCTGAAGTTCCGGATGTCAACATTACGGCACAGCATGTCGGACATGTGGCATGATTTTGCCCATCATGCGTCGATGCTGGTTTGGGTGTTGGGGATTACAGACGATTCGATGACCACGGTTCCGTTCTCCCTAAACCCTAAGCCCCTGAGCCAGGTGGCCAGCATCTGCACAATGTTCGGCGAGCCATTTGCCACTGCCGACCTGGGCAAGCTCAGGATGCAGAGACACATCTTAGAAGGGGCCCCCACCCTGTAATAGTGGTGTAATCGGGATATAATAATAGGGCTCTGCAGGTAATATAACCCTTATAGTCACTATTACAGGGTGGGGGCAGCTTCTAACACATCTCGCAGAAGGATCGCTGGAACCACTGCTGCGCGCTGGGCTCTATAAGATGTTTTCAGTGTCACTGTTTAGGGGTGTGGCCTGCCTTTACTTATCTGATCGCCCGCACATGTAAGAAACAGTGCCGGCAAACAGCCAGCACTCAACCATACTATGCACTAAGGTTCGAAACCCAAACCCTAACCCCCGACCCCGAATTGTAAACTTTCACAAACAGATTCTCTCACCACCATTACGGTGAAGCTCTGAACGCTGCACCCAGCACCCCCAAAACACCCCAAGTGACCCACTTAGCTTGCGGTGTCATGCTCGTGCAGATCACTCAGTCCAAGCCTGCTGCCGGCGTCGGCGCATCAACCCTAGTGCACGCGTGCAAAAAAAGCCACATGTGATGCCCAAATATCCGTAATTCGGTTCTACCGAAGGATGTAAGTCACTGTGATGCCGCTGGAAGTCGACCTAGCCGAACCTTCAACTGCACCATCGATCGTACCCTCCTGGACCTTCAGGCTTTGTGCCGGCCGGTTGGCCGGGGTCTCTTGTATGTCGAAAGTTCCAAATACAAGAGATGCCCAAACGAATATTAGGTGCCTTTCTGATCAGCATCGGGTTTGGGGATCAATTAAAACTCGATCTCAATTGAGGAGCTCTAAGTAATGAGCACTGTTTTGTGAATAATTTGGGAGTTGCCGAAAATAGGGGATCTAATATAGTACCCCAAACAGTAGGATCCTTATTAGAAGCACCCCAACATAAGGTACCCGTAATTTTCGGAAACTCCCATGTTGTCACCACGCCAGTTGCGACACTAGCAAGTACATACTGGCAGCAACTTACGCAGCAAATCATCAATGGTGATTCCACTGGCCAAGTAGCATCAGCGGCGACCTCCCGGAATCAGACGCCATATTCACCTCGGCAGGCTCGGAGATATTCGGACCATTTGGTCGTTATCCTGAGAGTTTAGTGTCTACCCTAAGGCCCCAAACAAGTTCTTTCTGGGGGTTCGTATATAGAATCCCGAAAGTAATAAGGTAATCCCAAACAGGAACTATCATGGGGCCGGTTTATTAGGCGGTTGGAGAATTGGGGTGAAAGCGTAGGGGGGGTATAGGATGTGAGGTGTGGGGTTAGCCTATGCTTGCTCCTGGACGCCGAAAGTGTGTGGAATAGTAGCCTTTTATAGGTTTTGGGCCATTATTTTTCCCAACTTTTGGGTGTCTTGGCATGGCGTACATCGAAATGATCAGCCGGGGCTCCCCAAAAGTCCGACATACCCAGCCTACGCATCCGAAGCCTAGGGATCTAAGGACTCATATATTGAGGCTTTTGGGCCCAAAAGCCATACTATGAAAGGCTTTTATCTTTTGGGCTATCTTGATCCCTAGGGGAAGCCAGCCGCAACCACTGAACCTGCAGCAAGAAGGACAAGTCCTCGTAGAGCCCTCAACCTCTACATCCAGTGGCCGAAAAATGTGAATAGGGCTTGAGGGGGGGTGATTCAAGACTCTACAAATACAATTTCCGATCTCGATATTCCCCTGGGCTTCGAAGCATGAACCCTAAAATCTTCAAAGCAGCATCTGCACGTCCGTCAATCAGCACTTCTACAGCTTCGGTAGCTCGTTTTCGGACAGCATATCCTGAGCTGCTTGGTGTATGCTTTCCGGTTTCGGACCTATACGGCTTAGGTCTACGACGGGTCTTTTAACCCCAGTTCCTAAACCCCCTGGGGATCGAAACGGGAAAACACTGGACGGTTTAAATACTTGGGAGTTTCCGAAAAATGGGGACACCTTATTTGGGGTCCTTATATCAGGGTACTATAGCAGGGTCCCCTATTCTCGGAAACTCCCATTTAAGGTGTGGCGTTTAGGGATGGCGGTTTCAAGCTCGTTGGGGTCTGTCGGTGCTCAAAGCTTCGTTTCGCTGCCAGGCTTTTGGGCGTCCGATCTTTAGCACTTCCCTAAGGGTCCATGTGCCCAGATGGTATATCCTTTGGCCCCTAAGTACCTACATAGGGATTACTTTAAGGCCAAAGTATATCCTGTTTGGGTACAATTATAACTACTACTACCACCACCACCACGACTACTACTACTAGTACTACTACTACTAGTACTACTACTACTACTACTACTACTACTACTACTACTACTACTACTACTACTACTACTACTACTACTACTACCACTCTTCCATTCCTACTAACCAAAGGTAAGTTCAATCCCTTGCAATGTCACTGATATAGGAACTTGTCTATGGGTACACGGACGCTGAGGGATAGAGAATGGCATTTACGACCAGCTGGTCCTCAATAACAATGAAGCAAAACAGGGCTAGACGTTCTCCGAGCTATGTAACCGACAGGACTGACTTGCAAACAGCAGGCCCGCTAATGTTGAGAGGTCACGATGGGGTTTAGGTTGTTCAGGGCTTGGTGTAAACAAGCCCTTCTGGTAACTTTACTCACTGCCAACCTCCCCTAAGAGCAAAGCCCTAAAGTAGCGGCAAGAAAGGAGGTGCACATCCCAACTGCCGCACTCTGAGGAAGGGGATATCCAAGGTCACGACTCACGTTATTGAAATGATGATAACCGTCATGCTTCCAACGATACAATACCAGCAGCGATCGTAATGTCAAACTACAGGACATACACAAAATTTCAGTAGTTAATTTCAGATCAACAACTTGACCCGTGATTTTTTCCAGCTAAAAACCGGCATCAAGACCTACCTACCTAATTTTCCAAAGGATGGGGGCAGGGCTGTTTACAGCCATGGAGCTCAGTGCGGTCCAACCTTGGCCAAAGCACTCTCGAAGGATTGACTTGTTGAAATGGTCAGCTTCGATAGGTGAACTTGTGTCGGTACTTAAGGGATCAAAGGACGCAGTAAGAAGGACAACTTGAAGTATCTACAATTATTGGATTGCATGTTATGAAAACTACACGGACCTTGAAGAAGACTCATCGAAAAGCTTCATGTATGGTCATAATGCGCTGTGAGCACGTCACGAATCGTATCGAGGACTGCCAGAGCCGCACATGAACCATGAGTACATTGCCGTGCGGCCTGTGGTTTGCCACATGTGTCCATGCTGCGTCAAAATTCGGGTCCCTGTTTGGGTACCCTAAATATTAGGTGCCGTATTATAATTATAATAAGGACCCAAAAGGAGACCCCAATTTTGACAACCACCCATATGCACGAAGAAGGTACTTTGGCTAGATTATCTTTCGCTGCACTACCTTCGTTGCTGAATGTCATACTGAACAACATTAGACATTGGCTATAGCTAGTACCGCTAGCGTGCTGCGGTACTGCATGAAACATGCACCTCATTCCTACCGAACAATAAAGAGAGGAATGCGCAACCTGCAGTCTGGAACTCCACTATCCATCTATGCACGCATCCATATGAATGGGTACTTGGACGTTTTCCATGAAGCTTACATATGTGTATATTTATACATGTAGATAGATAGATGAACATAAGCATATATATATAGAGAGAGAGAGAGAGAGAGACGTACATACCCACTTGCACACATGCATGTACATGTACACACATACACACGACGAGCTGCGAAACACCAACAACGCAATTGAAAATGGCATACATCCCTCTCGCGCTCTAACATATATGAGAATAAATATTTGTGCACACACATATACATACACGAGCATGAGAATACATGTACACGAAGGACGAAGGTTCGGGAGTGCTTCAAGAAAAACACCCTCCGGTTCACCAGTGTTCACCACTTAAGCTTTCTGCGCGTCTGGGTAAGGCGGTAATCAATGGCCGCAGCAGGCGTGATCAAAACTAGACGGGATGCGATGCCGTTGGAGGAAACTGATCCCAAACCCTACTTGGGGGTCGGGGGACTTAGTAAGTAGTTAGTAAGTAGGCTTACAAGTACCCTAAAAGGGACCCTGATTGGGGTTATGGTACTTATAAGTCCCTAAAATAACCAGTTACTAAGTCCCCCGACCCTCCAAGTATACTCCGGAGCTCAGTGGTCCCACAAGCTTCCAAAGCGTTTCTGCGAAGTTTGCTTGGGGTTTGCCCTTCCGGGTTTGTAGCCTCAAGGCGTAAAGGGTTAGGTTTCCAAGTGTTTCGGGCGTTTAGGGCCCGACCTCCGAGGTTTGAAGTCTTAGTGGCTTTAGACCCTAAGCCCTAAGCCCATGAGCCCTTATCGTCAGGTTTGTGGATCGGGGACTACTGTGAGGTTGCCAGCTTTGCCAGCTGCAGGGTTCGACAAAAGCCACAAGTACCATTTAGGGTTTACCTATGTAGTCTCCATTGTAGTTCCTTTTTTTGGTTAACCAAAACCCGCATTCTAGGATCCTAACCATAGAACTGGTTATACCATAGAATTCTAACCGTAAAATTGGTTAACCGAAAAGGAACTACAATGGATACTATATAGGGATTAAATAGGGGCTATACTACCCCCAATGGTTAAATGTTACCTACTCTACTACTAGGTTAGCGTTTTAGGGTTTAGGGTTTAGAGTTTAGGGTGTAGAGCCAAAGGCGGACCAAAGAATGGCAAGCTGGGCGCACAGCCTCTGAAAAGGCCCAAGGCCATGAGGACAAGATTACAACGGAACAGGGTTTGTAGGCTCTATACCGGGACCCCAGAAGCATGTAGAATAATGCTGCCCAGGGTTTAGGGTTTAGGGTTCAGGGTCTAACCAAAAGCCCCAGACTAGTTCCTTTTTGGCGTTCGTATATAGAATCCTATAGGGTAATCCCAAACGGTAATCCCCAAAAGGAACTCTTTGGGGCCTCTGGGTAGGGTCTATAGGGCTTGGGCTTATAATGTCTAGGGTTTAGGGTACTCTGCCACTCTCAACACCTCATCCCGGCAAGCTGTACTACCTGGAAGTCCACCTGAGAGCCGGGCCGTAGTCGTCCTGGGCATTGACATCGGCGCCCTTCTCCAGCAGTGCACGCATCACGTTCACGTCTCCTTCAAACAGCTCTTGCAGAAGGCTTTGGGTTTCAACTCTGCCTGTATCCCACTCTTTATCAGCTTTCAGTTCATGTCAAAGTCATGGGACAACCAGTGGAGTGGAGATCCGCAACGCCCAAGCCTCGACCTGTCAACCCATAGAGACCTCCTTGCACCACCTTCCTCGTCGTAGTGTCACACGCATCAACATCACCATCATCGTCATCACCATCCTTATCATCCTCATGATACCCAATATTTACCATGAGTATGACCACGGTCACCATCACCAGCGGCAGAGCCATCCAAAGCAAAAGTATAACATCAAGAAGTGGCACCTACATCATCACTTACTAGCATCACAGTCATCATGATCATGATATGACCATCATCACCAACATCACCAAAGGCAAGTCATCAAGCCTATCGCAGTAGACACCTACGGCAGCATGCGCATCAACACCGACGATTGGCTTTTGTCGTTGTTGGCAACGCCAGCAGCCAAGTCTGCCGGATGCTTCGGCGTTCAACATCTTCTCCATCCTCTCAAACTAATCCCCATCCTCATCCGTATCCACCTCGGAATGTTCATCCCCCTCCTTCTCATGGAGCCTCCTCCTCGCGATCATCCTGCTCGTCCTTTAGCTCCTCTCCGGCATCATCACCATCATTTTTATTTCTCATCGCGAGAATCACTGCCCAGTCGTCGATGCAACACAGACAGAGCGTTTCGGGCACAGTGATGAAAACTTATTCAGCACGGCCGCCGATTAAGCTATCCGTTGGAATTCTGGTTGGGAGGCAACGCAGCCACAAGAACCACGCCTGCGTTCGATGCCGACATGAGCTTCGTAATGCCTGCGAGGCAAGGTAAGATGAACATCACTTGGGCCTGCTTGGGGTTTAGGGCTTATAGGGTTTGGGGCCAAGTGTGGGGCCTTGTTAAGTCTGCCTGCGGGAGACTTCAATGAAAGCATCGATGATATGGTCTGCCAGAACTGTGAGCCAAGGGAACCTTATTAAACCGCTCACCCTACATCCTAAACCTCAAGCCCTATGTCCTGCGTTTAGGATTACTGCAACCCTAAACCCTACAACAATAAATCCCTAAATCCCTAACCCCTATACCCTAAAGCCCTAAAACCCTAAATCCCTAAAGCCCTGAACCCTGAACCCTAAAACCCGAAATCCCTAAAACCCGAAGCCCTAAATCCTGTATTTAGCAGAAGGCATAAGGGCCTCCAGCGCTTCGAGCGTTGGGATCCTCGTCGAGAACTGCGTCGGGCACCAAGCCCTTGGCTGAGACGTAGTATAGGGGGCCTTAATTTTGCTGATGGACACAATCCTGCATTACCCTTTATAAGGAAGATGCCATAGGTCCCATAGTTTAGAGTCCTTGAAGTCATGCAGGATTTTGTCCATCAACAGTAGTATAGGCGCCCTTAATACTTAGACTAGGGTTTTTACAGGATCCTAAATATGAACATATAATAGGTTGAACACACTAGGGAACTATAACGGGGCCTCAAAAATTAGAATAGGGTTTGGGCGGTTCCTTATTGTACTACTTCTAGTATCACATACCCAACTCCCTGTTCTAATTCTTACCCGGGCCGCAAAAGTATGTAGAATAATAGCCTTTTATGGGTCTTGGGCCGTTATTTTGCCTTCTTTGGGGGGTCTAGGTAAGGACCCAGGACCCTAACATCGAACCCTACTATGGATCCCTTATAGAACCCTGTAAGGATCCCGTTCAAGGGAACACTACTCTAATGATAAAGGCCCCTAATATAGAACCCGTGTATAGATCCCTTACAGAACCCTTTAAGGATCCCTTTAAAGGAGCCCCCTTCTAACGATCCAGGCCCCTACAGTATTCCCTCGACTGAAAAGTTTCAATCTTGAGGCTCGTTATAGAACCCTTAGGGGGTCCCTTAAAGGAACTTAGTTGCTGAGTTCATAAGCCCCAAAAAGTGTACAGTTGTATGGTGGTAAGTAACATTAGCCCAACAAGTGCAAAGTGTATCCACTCAGCTACTATAAGGGAACCCCGAAACGGAAAAATGGGGACTGCAGGTAAGCAAGGCACAGTTTGGCCCTCGCCGGTCGTCTTCGATGAGATGGAGCCGCGCACGCCCACGAGAGCGCACATGGCCAGGTAGACATCCTGCAGCTTTGGGGGTTTCGGGCTTTTTGGGGGGTTTCGGGGTTTAGGGGTTTTGGGGGGTTTAGGGGTTTCACAGAACCGTAATCCTGAAGTCTGGGCCTTACCTAGAGTAACCAATGTACTCTTACAAAAATGGACATCCCCTGAAAAAAAAAAACGTGGAAATCAGGTCTGGCTGCTGATAGATACAGGGATCCAATATGAACCCTTCGTAGTTCCCTGAAAACCCAACAAGAGTTTCCGAAAATAGGGGACCCGAAAATAGTACCCTCAATAGTAGGATCCTCATTATAAGGACCCCAAAACAAGGTACCCCTAATTGTCGGAAACTCTATAAGCCCTTATCGAGCCCTTTAAAGGAACTCTTGTAGCACCCTTGTAACCCTTTTAAAGGAACCCTAAGGTACCCCTAACTTCGGAAACTCTCAGAGAACCCGTAATATAGATCCCTTTAAGGGAATCCCTAAAGGATCCCTTTAAAAGGTACCCCCTAACTTCGGAGACTCTCAGAGAACCTGCCTCCTGCGACAGCGCATCCGTCTCCGGCTCCCGATCCACGAGGTGGAAGATGAGGTCTGTAATCCTCAGATTCCCAGACCCCCGAAAAGATCCAAAAAGTAGATCCCTTAATGGGGGTTCCTGTAAAGTACCCTTAGTAGTATAGGTGGAAGATGAGGTCTGTAATCCTCGGATTTGCATCAAGTGGGTGGTTGTCAAAATTAGGGTCCCTTTTTGGGTACCCTAAATAATAGGTGCCGTATTACAAATAGGGACCCAAAAAGGGACCTTAATTTTGACAACCACCCTAGTGGATTTACTTGAAGGCTCATGGGACTTAGCAAGTAAGGTTGTAAGTAGGTTATAATTAGGATAACCCCACTAGGGGACTTGTAATCCTCAGATTTGCATCTACCCACAGGCCCCAAAGTAGCTCCTTTTTGGGATTACCCTATAGGAGTCTATATACTACCCCCAAAAGGAACTTCTTTTGGGCCTCAGATTTGCATCTACCTAGACCCCCCAAAGTAGGTAAAACAGTGGCCCGAGTAAAAAGGCTATTATTCTACATATTTTGGGGGTCCAGGTAGTGGATTTAAGGTGTCATGAGACTTGTGCACAAGCTCACCTGCGTTCTAGCAGGGATTAGAAGGGTTTGGAGCATCAGGGGTTTACAGCTGGAGGCTTCAGGTTCAAGGGCTAATTCTCCGCGAAGGCCCCAGGGATCCCGGGTACCTTACCCCTAGGGTCCAAAGGATCCAATCATCAGGTACTCGGTTTCAGGATAGTAGTTATATAGGTTAGGATTTTGGAAAGTATATGATTATCAGGTACTTGGACCCTTGGGGTTAGAACAGAATCCCAGAGGCTCCATATATAGTACCATTATGGACTTAGGCCCCGAAAGACCGTTCATGTAATGGATTTAGGGACCTAATTCCACAATGGTACTATATATGGAGCCTCTGGGAATCGTAGGAAACGGAAACTGGGACTCTATTGGGTGTGAATCAGGGAGAAGTACCCCAAAACAGGATCTTCCCGTGAGAGAATTCCACGGTTACTTGCCGCGGTCACCGTTTTGGCAGCCGAAGCATTTCCGTGTGTTATTAACCGAAACCCCTAAACCGTAAACCCTAAAACTACAAGCCCTAAAACCCTGAACTCTAACACTCCAAACTTGCATCGGAAGGTCTTGCCACGCACGCCGTACCAAGCGAAGAAGGCGTCCTCCAAACTCTGGATCCACAGTCTCTAGTTCATGGTTGGGGTCGGATTCAAAATTTATATTTTTATTCCTTATTGAGTTTAAGTACCAATGAAAATATAAAATGTTACCCAACTATGACAAAGAGTCTATAACCCTGAGTTGCACCCTGAACCCTAAATGCTGAACTGCTAAACTCTTTGCCCTGAGCTCTACTTCGGGGGTCGGGGGACTTAGTAAGTGGTTAGTAAGTAGACTTAGAAGTACCCTAAAAGGGACCCTAATTGGGGTTATGGTACTTATAAGTCCCTAAAATAACCAGTTACTAAGTCCCCCGACCCTCCAAGTACTCTAAACCCTAAACCCTATACCCTTATAGAATCCCTATAGATCCCTTTAACGGAACCCTAAAGGGAGCTCTACACCCTCATCGCACAGAGTCTTGGAGCTCAGGTGCCTGCGTCGGCGCTGAGGGCGCGTGTAATGGCGTGGCAGGTCGAAAGGCTCGGCACGCGACACGGTTAAGTCATGATTCTCCTAGCAGGATTCTATTCCACAGAAAAACAACAACTACGACTGGCTGCGGCTGCCCGCTACTGCTACTGCTCCTGCTCCTGCTCCTGCAGCTGCTCCTGCTGCTACTGCTACTGCTACTGCTACTGCTACTGCTACTGCTACTGCTACCGCTACTGCTACTGCTACTGCTGCTGCTGCTGCTGCTGCTGCTGCTACTGCTACTGCTACTGCTACTGCTACTGCTGCTGCAACACCACTACTCACATTAGTTACAATATAGTATATTAATTATTAACTAATGGAAGCTCAACTGCTATAAGAGTACCAATCAGGCACACTGCCACTGGCGCTGCAATGCACTACCGCTGCTACTACTGCTACGGCTAGCGCCGCTACCACGACCACGACCACTGCCACTGCCGATGACGGAAGACGACCGGCGACTACTAAAATCACTCGTGCTGATGCTGCCGCTGCCGCTGCCGCCGCCGCTGCTGCTGCTGATGGTGATGTTGATGCCAAACCAAGCTATCTCAATCCTACACCCGAAAGCTCCCACATGCATGAACCAATCCAAGAGCCTGAACCTGAGCCAATATCCGCTTTTCCCTAGCATGGCAGCTCCTGCATCTCGGTCTTGCAGAGCCTCAAGCGTGTTTCGGCATGTGCTTCGGGTTTCAGCGTGCCGTGTTTTGGGGGGGGGGGGGGGGCTTGGCTTCATGGTTTTGGATGGTGGATTCCGGCGCTTTCGGATGTGTGCTCCGGCAAATCTCAGAGTTTGCTGAGAGCCTGTGCAGGGCCATCCAGGTCTGCGAACTCTGAGAAGCTCCGACAGCGGTGTCTCGGGTCGCTTAAGCAAAACTTTGGGGTTCGGGCTACATGGCATTAGGTCCCAAAAACCATAGCAAGGGTGGCTGTTTGGGACCTAATACCATAATGGTAGTATGCGAGGAGCCTCTGGGTACATGGCTTGAGGTTCTCGAAGATGTTCCGGTTTATGCTTCTTAAGGACAGGTCCGACGTGGAAGCTTAAGCTTCATCATGCAAGGTTCAGGGCTTTGGTCCTGAATGCTGTGGCGGTTGCTACATTTCTGTGGTGCTTCGGCCTCAACCACATCATCCAACACACACACACACACACACACACACTGTGTGCTCTGAACAACTCCCAACCCTCTGGCGAGCCCTGGACCGGCAACCTACCGTAGCTCAAGGACGACTCCTACAAAAAAGTCTGTTGAGGCCTAAATAACCTGTAAGCCCTTAGACAACTTGGACCCTGAACCCTAAGCCCTGAATTGACCTATACTGATCTTGGCCAGAGCAGCATTCCATCCTTGTTTTGATCAAAGGTCTCGAAGGCATCTCGATACAGCTCCTTCCACTCCTGTCACGACTGAAGGGCTTGGGGTTTCGGGCTCTGGGTGTATATAGGTGTTTAGGGTTTGGAGCTCAGGGATCCTGATTTGGGGCTCGTTTTGTGTTTGGGCCTACTTCTCGACGCACGAGAGCCGTGTCAATTTGAGGTATGGCTGTGCCATACAGACAAAGAAACGTATGGGGACGTACCTTAACACATAAATTAAATACGTACAGTGTTACGGCTTCAAGATACCTTGATAATAGAATGTAGGGTTTCTGCACTAGGAATTCCAATCATGATTTGGGGAAGTATCCCCTATAACAGTACCTACAAGTAGGACCATGTGGGAAAGAATCTTGACCCCAAAAGGATTCACCATTGCAGCCGCGGAGCGTCAAACGTGTGCCAGCCGTGCCTGACGATTATTAAGACAGGGCCTGGAAAAGTGGACTCGGGTTTGGGGCATTTCGGGGCGCATAACTATTAAGAGAAATTTGCAGGAAGCCTATGCAACAATGCTTGCAACTATTAAGGCTCGTTGTATAAGTATTATGCCAGGAAGTGGTCCTCAGGAAAAAGGGATTTATTTTGACAAGCAGTTATGACTGACCGAAGTAAATCAGAACTTTCCCATTAAGGCAGACTGTCTCGGATACAGATATTTCACAGGTATCTTTACGCAGCATGTGGTCCTGTGCATCCCGAGGGCTTACACACATCCTTCAAAACGGCGTCCAAATTATGCGAAAAGCATTGTGTGAGCCTGATCAGGATCACACACCTTAAGCCTCGGGCTGTGCAGCCGATAGATACTCCCTATGATTGTGGCATGGTCGGCCATGTGCTGTGTTCGCTACCTATAGTCACTGGTTGACCAAAAACCATTTGATGGGATCCTAACCATAAGACTGGTTAACCCAAAAAGGAACTACGTACCATACTGATACTGTACTGGACTTAGACTATACTACACTATAGTGTAATGTACTATACTATACCCTACTCTGTACGAAATAGTCTAAGTCTACCCAGGGGCCCCAAAGTGGTTCCTTTTTGGGTAGTATATTAGAGTCCCTAATCAAAAAAGAGGACACACCCAAAAAGGAACTACTTTGGGGCCCCTGGGTAGTATAGCCCTAATCGATGAAGTAAGACCGAGCAGCTTGTCGTCGCGCAGCAGAAACTGAAGGTCCTGGCAGCAAAGCCCTAGCCCCAGGACTCCTAGCTCCCCACAGAACCCAATACCCCTTAACTAAGTTTACCGTAAATTATCGAGGCCTTAATATTATGATTTAAGGTATATTCAAATTATAGAGGCCTTAATAGTATGATTTGACGTATATTGAAACTATAGAGGCCTGAATATTATGATTTAAGGTGTATTCCTTAATTACGGGGTATCGGGATCTCTGGCTCTTTCAAGAGCTGTCCACGAAGTTAGCTATCCACGAATATGGGGAGAAGGAGGTGCTGCTAGTTGTGCTGCTAGAGGTTCGGGTTTCAGGGTTTAGGGAGTCAGGGCGCTTCGGGCTCAGGGTATCTGAACTTAGGTAATTTAGGGCCCTTAATAAGTAGAAATAGGGTTCTGGGGTATATAGTACCATAATCACAATACGGAACCCCCACGACATGGTGTTGGTACTGTTGATGGACTCAGTCCTGCATGACCCTATGGACTTTAAACCATGGGAACTATGGTATATTCCTTATAATGGGTACTGCAGGATTTTGTCCATCAGCAGTAAAAATTAAGGCCCCTATATTACCTACTTCAATCCTCGCTTCTCCCAGCGAAGCCCAGAGACTCCAATATCCCTTAATTAAGGAATATACCTTAAATTATAGTAGGATCCCTAATAAGATTTAAGGTATATTCCTTAATTAAGGGATACTGGAGTCTCTGGGAGGCTTGCAATGATGCACATCCACCCAAATGCCCTTCCCTTGAAAGGCGTGCAAGGTCAAAGCAAAGCCCTAAACCGATACAATGGTACAACTGATACAACCGTATATAATGTAGGGGCCTTAATGATTAGACTAGGGTTTTGGGGTTCCGTATAGTTATATGTAGTTATAATGCAATATACCTCATAAACCCCATTGGCCCCTACCCTAAACCCTACGCCCAAGGGCCTGCATCCAACACCTTGTTAATGCGCAACCCGAGCTCTGCGTGGAGTGCCCTTCAGAAACAGCGAAACTCCGAAAACAAAACTCCGCACCCCTGAACCCAACAATCCTGAACGATCACCTCAAACTATAACCCTAAACCCTAAGCCCTAAACCCCTAAACCTTAGCACTTAAACCCCAAGCCCAAGACTCCTAATTAAAGACCGACCCCCAAGCAAAGCAAACTAATCACCAGAACTCCTCACCCTGAGCTGAACAATGAACTTGCCTTCCGGGTAGGGCCCAGATCGGCTCTGCCCAAAAGCTTCACGAAGGCCTCAAGCGTCAAAGTGTGGGATGTGAATTGCAATAGCCTACTGCTTTAGTGCTTTGGTCTAAGACTTCGTGCTTCACTTTACTCTACATAGGGTTGAGGGTATGGCTCAGGGGACAGGCCCCTCTCTCCATCAAAATAAACGCACACCCAAACGTTCGGGGAGTCCTACCAAACCCAATGCCAGGCTTCCTGATCTCTGGATGCACTAGTTTTGGAGTGTGGTTGCAGGATGTCCACCCCTAGGCCCTCAACTGGGTATGGGTTTATAGGGCTGAGGGTTCAGGGTCTCAGGGTTAAGGGTTTCGGGGTTTCAGGGTCGCGGCTTCAGGCTTTAGCAAAACCCTAAACCCTAAACGTAGCATCGATCTTCGGATTTGCCAGAGCCGTTGCGCTTTATGGAACTACCATGGAACCCGAGTAGCTCCCGTTTTCAATGGCAGCAGCAGCCGACAGCCCCCCAAAAGCATCTAACACTGGATGGAACACTGGATGGAATCCCTCTTCTGAGGGCCTGCAATAACATCCCAATCGTAAACCATGAACCTTAAACTCTAAACCCTAACATCCCGAACAGAGGCTCCGTGTGTTTACGTGCTTTCTGTTCGCCTCGGGTGAAGGCTTCGCCCTTCAGCCGACAAAGAACCAAAAAAACATGCGGAAACACACACACACACACACACATAAACAACACTAAGCCCGACATCTCAAAACGGAACACCAAAGGCCTAAACCCGACAGCGTCAGCCGCGAACCTGCAACCTCAAGAGGCTTTTGAAGCAAGCAAAACGGAACACGTGTAAGCTTAGCTCTACAACGGCTCGTAGATAGAACAAGACTAGATCCACATGGAGTGCAAAAGTATGCGCATCAGAACCGAACAGAGCCCGCGAAGCCCAAACATTAAACGCCAAACCCCAGCTGCAAAACCCATGTACATCGCTATAGAGTGTGCGTGTATGGAAAACCCAATACAACCGTGTTAAAGTCTACAGCAATAGTACAACGATGTAGGTCAAACACCTGAGGCCGAAACCAACCTCAACCCCATAGACCCAAACCCCTGAACCCCCCTAAAGCCTACACCCTTATAAACCCTTATAAACCCTTATACACCCTTATACACCCTTATACACCATTATAAACCCTTATATACCCTTATAAACCCCACAGACCCAAAGCCCTGAAGCCCCATAAAGCCGAATTACACAGGCCGAGGAAAGCCCAAAGCCCGACCTCAAAGGTCTCCTCCAGGCCATCGATGCGGCTGTGGCTCTCCAGCTCTGCCCTCGGATTCGGAGAGAGCTTTGTGAGGGTTTAGGGTTTAAGATCTTGTTGTTGCTTTTGAAATGTTTTCTTAAGTTTGGGTAGGGTTTTAAGCTTCCTGCAATTAAGGTTTCATGACAGGGTTCCTTTCAGTATGCGCTGGTTCCTCCAAGTTGGCTTCAAACAAGGGCTTCTCCGGTTTAGGGGCTTAGGCTTTTAGATGCTGCGGCCGCAGAACAGGCCAAACCTAAAACGCGGAAGTCCTGAACCCTTAAATCCGAAAGCCCTTGACAAAGCCCCCCCCGCCCCCAAAACCCCTACTTGGAGGTTCATGGGTAGTTATATAGGTAGGGTTATACGTAGGGTAACTGTACTTATAACCCATACTAGGGGACTTATAACCCTACTTAAAACTACCCAAGAACCTCCAAGTAGCCACAAACCCTTGAACCCCTCCTCGGCTCCAAGATTCAATGCGATGTTCCCCACAGCGCAGTCCTGGCAGCTTTCAAGCCTAGTCATGATCATGAACTCGCAGGCCTCAGCCAAGTATCCTTAAGGGTCCAAAGGATCCAATAATTAGGTACTCGGTCTTAGGAAAGTAGTTATGTAGGTTACTATTTTGGAGAGTATATGACAATTAGGTACTTGGACCCTAGGGTATGGCCACGAGCAATTCCTTAGGGTAGGTCCCGTACGGAGAGTCCGAAGTATAAGGGTGGCAGAAAGTTGGCACATCTCATCCTCATGCCGGCAGGGGAAAGGTATAGGGTATCCCCGCACTAATATCTGCAATCCATGTCCTAGCTGTCTGGGATTCACTATACAACGTCTGAATACCTTGAAAAAGACCCAGCTTTTTCAAGTTTAGGGGACTACCCGAATGATCAGAGGCAAGCTCCCTATAGCAATTTGCAAACCCAAACAAACTCCACACTAACCCTATTCAATCCAGTCCTACGGAACGCAAAAAAAAACCCTCTAAAACACCCAGATACTCTATCAATCAGAGCCCCCACAATACCCTCTCGAGCGGTCAGATTTCCTAGTAATATAACCCCGCCCTATAGAAGTCCTGATCTAGCCGGAGAATAACTCTGACGACTCGAGTAGCAGCCCTATGAAACCCCAGAGCAACCCTCTGACAACTCACCCGAAGCACCTCTCACTATAAACCCTGAACGGCCCTAAATCCTGACCCTAACCCGCAAACCTCCAATTCCAGAAACCTACATGTCCATTGTAGTTCCCTTTTTTGGTTTAGCCAATCCTATAAGGCTATAAGGCAACCCCAAAAAGCAACTACAATGGAGACCCTCGCCGTAACCCCTACGAACCCCAACGAAGCCGTAAATCCCAATCCTAACCCTCAAACCCTACATTCCCGGAAACCTATATATAACCCCTACACACCGTTATTCACCCCTGAGCCCGAAGCTTACCTTTGGTTAGTGGGGAATGGAGAGATGTAGGGCTACAGGTATAACTTCCATTACTACCATTCTTCCATTCCCTACTAACCAAAGGTAAACCCTAAACCCCTAAACCCCTAAACCCTAAACCCTATAGATCCCTTAAAGGATCCCTTTAAAGGAACCCAGTACTACCATTTTTCCATTCCCTACTAACCAAAGGTAAGCCCTGAGCCCAACGAAGCCAGGGCCGGTAAGGTCCTGGACTTTGCGCAGCGTCGTCTCCCGGCCGAGCGGGAGGACCAAACTCTGGAGATCTTGGAAAGACACTGCCTTGGCTTTTCTTTAAGGGTTCTTTTAAGGTTTCCTTTAAGGATTCCTTTAAGGGTTCTTTTAAGGTTTCCTTTAAGAATTCCTTTAAGGGTTCTTTTAAGGTTTCCTTTATGGATTCCTTCAAGGGTTCATGTAAGGGTTCCTTTAAGGGTTCATGTAAGGGTTCCGTTAAGGGTTCCTTGAAAGGTTCATGTTAAGGGTGCCTTTAGGGAGTTGGCTGTAGGGGTTTTAAAAGGCCTTTTTGAAGTTTTAGGGCTTTTGGAGGCGCGACGGCTTCTTGGAAAGGTATCGCCTTTGCTGGCCTGTGGGTTTAAACGGTTTAGAAGATGCGAATCTACTAGCTTTTTGTCAGTGTTCCAACTTTTGGGAGTTGGCTCTAGGCTTCGGCCTTACAATGTCACCGCTTGGGTACAAAGTAGAAGGACTCCTGAACCTCGACGACCCAGCCGAGACACTAAATTCTGAGCACCCGACACACATCTGCAAGCTTCAGACCATGCCAGCCCCCACAAAGTGTGCATCAGCAGAACTGGACAAGCTCGGCTCAAGATGGGCATCTGAGACTGCAGCCCCGTGACATGACCCTCAGCCCCTGGAAATTGCAGCCGAAGAGACCCAGCAGCAACAGCCGAGCATCCCAGACCCGGAGCCTGAATACCCCAACACGGTATTCCGACACCTCGACCCGATACCCTAAGCACCTGAAGACCTTAGAAACCTCCAAAACCCCGAACCTGAAGGTCTGAGGACTTTGGCTCCTCCCTGTCTGTGCAAGGCGAGCATCGCCGGAATCGGGCTCCCGGTTGTAGTAAAACTTGACACAGTGCGTGCCTCGTTGCTCAGGGCAAGGTTCAGCGCCATAAACCTAAACTCTAATCCCTGAACCCCTATAGCCCTAAAACAATCCCCTGAACCCTAAGTCTTTGATGGTTTAGGGTTGAAGGCTTCAGGGTTGAGGGCTTAGGATTGAGGGTTTTCGAGTTAGGGTTTGGGGTTTAGGGTTTGGGGTACAGTAGAACTCCAGCCAACCCCAAAACCCCAAACTCGAAAACCTGAAATCATTACTCCAATCCGCTCTAAGCCGCTGGACTCTACAATCGCACGGCAACGCACTGCATCGGGTGGACTCTACAATTTCCAACCGACTGCATACCGGAGTATGATATGCTATCGCTGCTTAGGGACGCACCAGGGCCACACTGCGGAAAGTTCATTGTAAAACACTACCTGAAACCGTCAACACTAGTTAGACTATAAAATCAAACAGTGCCAGTTCACCTCAAGCTGTTTTTCTCAAGACACTGATACATTCAAGTACCCCTAAATTTCTGGAACCCTCATATACAACCCTGGCTGTGCAACGCCTTCAAGCCCCCGTAAACAGGATAGAACCCTATCGAACCGGTTGAAGCCGTATAAAACTTTGCCATGCCCTATCTTTCCAACTTCCCTAAACCCTAAACCCTAAGCCGAGACTCCATCACTCTCCTCGTGCAGCTCGAGAGTGAAGAAAGCACCGAAGCCAATTTTGTCCAGCTCGATGCCTGGAGGGGTTTAGAGTGTAGAGTTCAGGGTTCAGGGTTTAGGGGTTTAAGGGTTTAGGGGTTTAAGGGTTTAGGGTTTTGCTTAGTGCCTGGAGGGGCTAGTTTACTCTAAGGCCCCAAGGTAGTTCCTTTTTGGGGTTCACATTTAGATTGAATCCTAGTATGCGGCCTTAGGGTATGGATTAGAGTTCGAGTGTAAAGGGATGTCGGATCAGGTCTGTTCCCACGTTTCCTTTAGGGTTGGGGGTTTTGCTTAGTGCCTGGAGGGGCTAGTTTACTCTAAGGCCCCAAAGTAGTTCCGTTTTGGGGTTACCTCTATTATGAACCCCCAAAAGGAATTACTTTGGGGCCTTAGGGTATGGTTTAGGGTTCAAGGTATGGTTTAGGGTTCAAGGGATTTCGGATCAGGTCTGTTTGCTCGCTTCCTTTCGGATTTGGGGTCAGGGTTTGGGTCTAATTGCTTGTCCATTCGATCGGTACGAAGAGAATGAATTCTTCCGCTTGAAAGGGTTATACCAACCAAACAAGCCAAAACTTCATAATACCAGCACCTAGACTTAAGGGAACAGTGACCCTCAGCCTACAAGAACCCTCGACCAACGTGAGGCTAAGAAACGACCCAGTACCCACCACCAGGCTGCACACAAGAGCTACCAGTAGTTGGCCGAGATTCGAACCTCGGGGAGAGCGAAACGTAAAGACACTATTATATTCCCAAACGGTTCTAGGTACTGTTCTGGGGGATCCTTTCCCACATCATAAATGCAATTCCTATTATAGAAACCTGTATAGTACTTTCGACCCGGGTTCTGGTAGGACCATGACGAGGTCCTACAGGTTATTAGGTAGGACCCCTTGGTCCTTTTAAAGCTTGACCCTCACAGAGCACAGCCGACAATCCTACAACCCTAAAGCCCTAAAGTAGACAAGCAACTTACTGTAGAAGTTGATCCTGAAAATGCTAAACCCCTATCCTTACGCACTTAAGCCCTACGCCCTAAACCCCTAAACCCTAAACCCAAGCCCAACAAAACCCCTCGTTGAGACCCTGCACCCGCAGCACCTACCGACCAACTCAATGAGGTGTCTGGGAAAACGGAAGTTGCCACCCTATCAAGACTGACCAGAGAGAAAAAACTACACCATTATACCCTCTACATACATAAATATATATATATATATATATATATAGATATATGAATATATATATATATACACATACATAGGTACATATATATATATATATGTACATATAAGAGAGAGACATGCACAGTGTATGCCTGTGTACATGTAGACCTATTTATATGTAGATATAGATGTAGGTATAGAGGAACAGAGACAAACATTTTGTATTCATTAATGCTATGACCCTCAAGCCCGCAGCAGTACAGCTCTGACCCTTTAGAAATTAGCCAGGGGCAAGCCAGGATGCCATAGTGCGCTGCGAGTGCGCACATGGTAGTATCGTGGCAGCTGAACCTCGGCTTCAACTACGCTTGACAGCTAAGAGACACAGGAAATAAACTAAAGACTAAAAGTAGAGTACTATTTGTAACACTGCCAGTACTAAACAACAACAATAACAATAGTATTAGGCGCATATCTTCAAGCAAGAGGCTGCACGAAGCGCTGATGGCAAAGACCTCGGGCACCTTAGAGTCAGGGCGGATTTAGAAAAAGCCTGGGCCTTGCGTTTAGCTAGGTTCCGCAACTTCGCATATTCATATGAACGGAGCGCTTCAAAGGAGCGCTTCAGCCAAGGAGGTCCTGAAGTTGATCCTACGTCTTGAACTAGGCATAACTAGGCCTTACCCCCAGCCGGGGGACTAGACTTGTCGCAAGCCAACGCACAGGTTCGCTGCACTTGGATCATATCCAAAGGGATGTACTGCCGCAAGGCCAGGTGCTGTTTGGACCGTGTCCCTAAACCATAAACTTTAAACATCGAAACCTTGAATCCTAAACCCTAAGCTCCAGCAACCCCGAACCCTAAAACCCTAACACCCGAAGCGCCCCAGCTCCAAAACCGTAATTCAGGGCTTTGATTATCAGAATAGTGCTTTGGGGTATATTATGCTCTAACTATCAGAAGGAACCCACCAAAATAGTATTGGCAGTTATTTAGGCCCCTGTATTGCTTTCGGCAGACCGGGGGCGGGCTTCCTTCCCCCCAATGCGGAATCCTGCCAAAGCCCGCAGGGGAAAGCAGAATCAAGCAATGTCCGTCTTTCACAGACCACCGACGCCGAACGCCAATGCCATGCTACAAAACCACAGGATAGAGACCGTAAGTACGAAGCCCTCTGAAATGTTGTACATGATCTGCCCGGCAGCGTTCGTCGAGATGGCGCCATATCTTGTGTGCCAAATAGCCTGCTTGGGGGGTCGGGGGACTTAGTAAGTAGTTAGTAAGTAGACTTATAAATACCCCAAAAGGGACCCTAATTGGGGTTATGGTACTCATAAGTCCCTAAAATAACCAGTTACTAAGTCCCCCGACCCTCCAAGTGTGCTGTGAATCAGGACAAACTTCACTTCATGGGATGGGCAGGAAAGATATCTGCATGGGTGTCTGTAGACTTTCACTTGTTGAAGATAAACAGATAAAGTGTTTACGTCATGTTGATAGTGGAATGTACCGAAGCTGGTCAGCAATCGTAGTGCTGTGTGCCTCTGCCTCTCTGTCTCTCTGGCGCTCTGTCTCTCTGGCGCTCTGTCTCTCTGGTGAGCTTTGTTATCGGTTTGCGCTCCACGCTTGTTCTGCATGCATTTATCTGCAAGGTTCTGTTGCCTGGGAACTGAGGCTTACTCAAGGTTCTGTTATTGCTCCCGGCGTGTGCGATTTGCAGAACGGCCTCCTACTACATCACAATGCTTAGGGTTTCGGTCCAGGTTTTAGGGTTCAGCATGGTTTAGAATAGTAGCAGTAGTAAGTCGTAGCGGAAGTAATGGTAGTAGTCGTCGTCGTAGTGTCATTGTGGTAGTGGCGGCGGCAGTACACACACCTCGAAGAAGGCCGCGCACACATACTTTCTGCAGCTATCGGGCCATCTAAGCTTCCCACTATCTTGCAAAAAGCCCTCCGAACCCCGAGTGCCTGCGGCTTGCTTGCCGTACGACTGGCTGTACTCGCCGTTGGCATCACCGAACCAGCACCTCTAACATTGGGGTGGTGGGCATCAAGGTCTTTGGATGTTTACAGCGATGTACACTTGGCACCCAAGCTAACACTGGGAGTTTGTTTGTAAAGAAAATGGCAAGGACGCCCCTTAACCGTAAACCCCAAAACTCAAGCCCTAAACCCCAGAACGACGACTTCAACTTTAGGATAATATGTTTAAACTAAACCCACATTACGTGCTTTTGTGGTCACAGAGCCCTCAAGAGACATCTCATACAGACCGTACGGATCCTGAAAAATACAGGCTTCTCAACCCCAAACCGGAATAACAACAAGCGGCGCACCTCTTCAACTCATCGCCGATGCGTCGAAGCATTTGCTGCTCCTCAAGACACGCTGCCTAACGGTCTAAAGGGTTCATGGAGAGAACACGGATTCCACAGGCGGCTTTAGCAAGCTCTGAAAGGGCTACAGCAGGTGTTTAGGGGTCCAACGGACCCAATGAATAGGTACTTCAGTGGCAGCTCGGGATAGTAGTACTGTGGCTCAATCTGTGGGGAGTTTGTGATTGTTGGGTAGCTGGGCCCATAAGGCAGCAGCGGACGAAGCCCAGATGTAATGAGTCACCGGGCCACAGGGCTTGTTGAGTGTTGCAGAGTTTCGGGCGTAGACTTTGATATGGGGCTGAGGTGGGTTACCAAGCTTTGGTTATGCATGTGCCCAAATCTACTGCATAAACAACTGAAGCTACCTGGACCTGAAGCTTTAGGGCTCCGTATGATGGTTTCCTTATATATGATCCTTGAAAAGTAACCCTACACCCTAAGCCCCATTTTAGGTTCCCCGGTCGGGAGGTGCTACAAAGCCCCACCTTGGGTTTTTAATAGGCCTGAACTGCACAACTTGGCCCAGAAAGGATCCCTTAGGTCCCAAAAAGGAACGCTTAGAGGATCCTACAAGGGCTTACAGTCAAATGCATTGCAGCGTTAACCGTGGTATGTGCTGTCAAGAGAGGTAGAGGTAGACGAACACGCGGACGTAGAAGTGAGAATTGACGCAGATAGAAGTGGAATTCATCAGCATTTTCCTGTGAGTGCAGGACAGGAGTTGGAGAAGAGCAGGAGAAGGAGCATGAGTAGGGTAGGAGTAGGAGCACAAGTATAGAAGTAAGGGTAGAGGGACTAGGCCTAAGCATGGGCTATCCACAGCAAAAGTAACCGGTACGAGCAGCAGTAGTAGCAGTAGTAGCAGAGGCAGTAGCAGCAGAAGTAGCAGTAGCAGTAGCAGCAGCAGGAGGAGTAGCAGGAGTAGCAGAACAAGCAGCAGTAGCAGCAGCAGCAGCAGCAGCAGCGGTAGCAGTAATAGCTGTTGGTAGAAATCGCCGCCTCAGTACTCGTCATAGAACTGGAGCTGGATCTGCTGCTAGTTACAGAGCTGGAGTTGATCGTGCCGGGGTAGCTGGCTCACGAGGCTCAAGTGCTAGGACTTGACAGCTTCGAGGTGCCAATTTCTACGGCTCCTCTTCTGACAGCTCCTCACCAAACTCGTTGGGAAGGATGGGGCGGTTGTGGGACTCTTCCTTGGCTGGCCATTGCTGATGGGAGGCCAAAAGGGGGGTTTAAGATTCTTGGGGTAGGGATTCCTTAATATGAACCCCATTGTAGGAACCCTAACCCCTCCTAAACCCCCATAGGCTAAAACCCCTTTTGGCCTCCTATGAATTGCATCGGCAGGCCCCAACTTACCACTGTTAGCCCAACATCGAGGCTGACACAGAGCCCGCCTAAACCCTAAACCCTAAACTCATAAACATGGAACACTAAACTCCAAACCCTGAATCCCAAGAGCTAAACCTCAAAACCCTAGCTCCAAAACCTAAATACAACAAGCACTGAGGAGTATCGAACTGGGCTTCTATTCTGCTACACAGCAAATACAACTGCTCTTGAATTCCGACCTGCGAGCCGAACCCTGCGATTTCCCTGGAGAGAGTTACTGTTAAGCTGTTAACCCTAAGGCTCAAAATAGCCCAAAAGCCTCATATAGTATAGTCTTTGGGCCCAAAAGCCTTAAAATATGAGTTCTTAGAGCCTAACGGTAAGAGTTTTCTCTGAGGAGCCATCATTCCAACAAGGAGCCCTAAACAGGATCCAGGCAATTACAGGGCAATTGAACCCAAACCCCAAACTGCCCTGCCACGTCAAGAAGTGCAGACACGGGACAATCATCACTTGTGTGTCCACCTGGGCCACCAACTTATCTGGAGGTTAGGAACGATAGGGTTGTACGATGTGTGGTTGTGTTGCGCATTTGCCTGCTGGGGTGTGGGACCGGCTTCATATAAACCTAAACTCCGTTTGCTTTATTTATCTAACTTTCGTAAGTGTGCAAACCAGTAGGAGTAGCAATAGGAGTAGAGGTAGCGGTAGCAGTAGCAGCAGTAGGACTAGGAGTAAATAGTAGTAGCAGTACTAGAAGTAGTGGCAGTGGTGGTGGTGGTAGTAGTAGTCGTCGTCGTTGTCGTCGTAGTAGTATTGGAAATTTAGCAAAACAACTAACAATAACAGTAGTACCAGCACTCAAAGCAATAATTGTAGCAGTACAGTGCTGTGGCAGTATACAGTAGGAGGAGGAGAAGGAAGAGAGGCAGGAGGAGGAGAACCCATAGCAACGCGTCATAGGAAATCAACTCAAGTGATGCAATACTCGCACCAAGAGAAGGCCCTAACTTCCGTCTCATTCACCGAGACTTCAGAGTCAATCTTGATCTGAAACGCTTCTTTGAACTTGAGAACTGCCGTCTTTATACTCTTGGTTTAGGGTTCAGGGGTTTAGGGTGCAAGAGGTGTTGTTACTACGTCACGTGCGAGGGCAGATGTTGCAGTTGCATGTGCGTAGATGCCTCTTTCACTGTAAGACCGTTTGGGGCCGGCTACAATGGCATGCGCTAACTTCGCAGACTTGCAGAAATTACAAGCGGCAGCATGCAGAGTTTTGTGCCTTAAGGTTCCAGTCTGAGGAAACAAACCGACACACTCGCAAGGATGGAATGGGTCGGAAAGGAACATCTGACTACCCTAAACCCTAAACCCTAAACATCTGACCACGGTCGTCCAAGGAGCATCTTTGGCGGCTGTAAGCCTGTCCTCAGTGGCTTTAGGGTTTAGGGTTTAGGGCTTGGCTTTCTCTCAGATGCAATCGTTTGGCTCTGACGCGGGTCGCTAGGCGCTAGCGGGGACAAGCACCTCATAGCCAAAGCAGCACGACAGCCTAAACCCTGCGTTGAGAAAAGCAGCCCGGGCACTAGCTTCTGTTATCCAGCACCCCGGGCTGCAGGCTCAACCCACCCAAAACCCAAACCCTAAACCCTAAACCCTAAACCCTAAACCCTAAACCCTAAACCCTAAACCCTAAACCCTAAACTCTAGACCTCAGACATAAGCTCGATAGAATCAGAAAGCCCTCTATAGACCTGCCTATGGGTAAGTTGGGGAAGTATCCACCAATAGCAACAGCCCCCTAAACCCTAAACCCTAAACCCTAAACCGGTAGAAGCCTAAGAGTGGGAAGCCCAATAACTTCAATCCTTAAGCGTCAAGAACCGGGAATTCCAGCACTAATTGTCCTTCATCCGGTTTCCCCAGAGACTCCAATATCCCTTAATTGAGGAATATTCCTGAAATTATAGTAGGATCCCTTATATGATTTAAGGAATATTCCTGAATTAAGGGATATTGGAGTCTCTGGGTTCCAACTGTTTGAGGTTTGCTGTCGGACCTAGGACCCATTGGGTATGCAGGTCCTCGGAGCCTCCTCCGCAGACGTAAATCTTCAAACCTCAAACTAGGGTTCCGTAAAGGGTTCCACAAAGGGATCTATGAGGGTTCTATACCGGAGGATCATGGGACTTAGTGAGTATGGATATAAGTGTTATATTTTCTCCGGTTACCCAAAAACAGGTTACCACCCATAGAATATACAATCCCGGTAACCTTGTATTTAGGCAGCTGGAGCTTTAGGGAAATGCAAAAAACACAACGCCGCAAACCCTAGAACCCAGCACCTTCATCAGTTTAGGGCTTAGCGTCTAGGGTTTACCAATCCCTGTAATCCGGTAGCCCCCTGTATATGAGCTCTTCTAAGGGCGTCACGGACCCTGTAAAACCCTAGACCAACCCCAGAAATGCCATTACAGTAACACCCTATTCTTTAAACCCGGTTTAGGGTATAATCATAGGACCCTAAACCCTAAACCCGAAAACACTGAACCCCATGAAACCCGAAATGCTAAACCCCCAGCACCTGGAAGCTTCTCCTAAACCCTACCTTAACCCTGAATAACCTACCTTTTTCGGGTTCCTTATTAGGATTTTGTTATATAAGTCCGTAAAAAGGTAGGCTATTTCGTTTTTGGAGGTCCATCTTACGCCTTCAGCTGAAGCGCAAGGGCGTCTCCTCCTGGTGCTAGCTTCGGCTCCTGCAGCCGCTCCTGGTCTGTGTATGTTTATAGGGGTTTAGGGTTTAGGGGTTTAGGGTTTAGGGCTTAGGGATTTAGGAGTTTAGGGTTAGGGTCTCAAAAGGGTTTAGGGTTTTAGGGTTTCAGGGATGAGGGTGTAGAATCTAGGGGTTTAGGGTTTAGGACCTCGGGCTTTTTCTAGCTTGCGTGGGGCTGGACTGATATGTTCCAGGCTTTCCTTGTTGGGTGGTTTCAGCGTTGTATAAGAGCTTGTGTCAGCAACTTTCTTGTGATTGTGTGTTTGTTTATATGCTTATCATCAGCTATAAGATTAATGGGTTCACAACAGCGGACCCCAAAGCCCAAACCGCCCTATAGGCCCTAAACCCTAAAGCCCATACCCTAGGCCTCGAATCCCAATAAGCCCAAACCCTAGGCCCTAAACCCTAAAGCCCAAACCGTAGGGCCTATGGACGTTATAGGCCTTTATCGGGTTCAGCCTTTATCGACCTTTTCTGGGAGATTCACTAATCATTAGGTTCTTAAGCCTGAACCTTAAGCCCAAAAATGCAAAACCTAATGCGAGCCAAGTTCGTAGAGCCGATCTAGCAGCTCCATGTACTCGGGCGAGTCCTGGGTCGGCTGAGGGGACGGCGCATGGGTCCCAGAGACCCCAATAATTATCCCTTGACTAAGGAATATATACCACTAAATCATAATAGGGGTCTTATCATAATTTAAGGTATGCTCCTTAAATAAGGAATATACCTCAAATCATAGTAAGGGTCCTGAATAAAATTTGAGGTATAATCCTTAATTAAGGGATATTGGAGTCTCTGGGTTTGCAGCCTACGAAGTTTATAGGGGCCCTCCAGGACTTGATAAGTGTATTATAGGCTTTTTCTGGGCTCTGTAGCGCTTGACCGGGTTCCGCTGGGGTTGCAGTGCCTAGGGCATTGGGGGATTCGGGTTTTTGGGGATGCAGAGTTTCGGAAGAATGCAGAGCTATCGTTCCTAACACTCCTTCTCTTACTAAGCAGCTGCAGAGCGCCGCAATATCGTGGCCCTTCAAGGAGAGAGGCCTGTTAATCATGGGGTTCACACGGAGTGATAGAGGTTCATATAATAATGGATGGTGAGTCGTGAGTCTCATGAATCCAGAAGGGAACGCACTGACTGTAAAGCCCCTCACTGAACCCTAAACCTTCAACCCTGAAGCATGACAGTCTTTGCCTATAGTCTCCATTGTAGTTCGTTTTTTGGTTAACCAATTTTATGGTTAGGATCCTATGATAGAGATTTGGATAACCCAAAAAAAGGGACTACAATGGAGACTATAGGTGGTTGTATTCCTGCATGTGAAGACCCCGTTATTTTGTGTCGCCTCGTCGCTCCGACCGATGGTCTCTGGTCCCTGGTCCCTCAAACCCCAAAGGCCCCAAAGTAGCTCCTTTTGGACGTTCATATTATAGAATCCTATAGGGTAATCCCAAAAAGGAACTACTTTGGGGCCTCTGGGTAAACCCCAAAACCCTAGAAACCTCGCTGGACGTTCCCGGAAAGTCACTTGGTCTGAGGTGGTTTCTTGGAGGGTCGGGGGACTTAGTAACTGGTAATTTTCGGGACTTATAAATACCGTAACCCCTATTAGGGTCCCTTTTAGGGTACTTATAAGTCTACTTACGAACTACTTACTAAGTCCCCCGACCCCCCAAGTTGGGACTTCAAACTCCAGATCGAAAAGCTGCAAAGCAGCCTGAGGTACCCAGAAACTCCAAAACCCATTGACTAAGAAATACCTAGAGTAACCAAGGTACCTTTAAAAGAAACTGTAGATGTGCCAATTCCTAGGGTCCTTTCACTTGTTTGGCGGTACATTGCGTACTCTTGGTATGCCTTAAATTACAGGGGGTTCCTCATTACGGTCCAAGGTATATAATATATTCCTTATAAATTAGGGTGTGTTAAAAACTCCGGGTAGGCTGCAGAGCCACAGGGGAGTGCAGACTCCGCCTGTAACGACGTCTGCTCAACAGCTTCTGGCCAAGAAAGCATGGCCCTAAACACTTCAACTCTGAACCCTTTCCCTAAGGCCCTAAGGGTCCATGTATCCATATAGTATATACATTGGCCTTAAAGTCGTCCGTATATAGGTACTTTGTGGCCAAAGTACATACCATGTGGGTACATGGACCCCCTAAACCCTAAACCCTTACGGTTTGCTGGACCGCAACACCTTCAACCTTAAACCGCCTGGACCCTCAATGCTGACTGGGCTTGTCTGTTATACTCTTACGTATTTGACATGGTCTGTATTGGAAAGAAATCTGAAACGAGGGCAGAACCTCCGAATTTTTTCTTGCACACAAGAGAGAGCGAGTTTGGGGCTTAGGCTAATATACCAGGAGAACTAGACTTGCTTCGTGGTTGAATTGTAGATACAATAGCGACATTCAGGCATGCGAAAGGAACAGAATTGCCGGCTGCTTTAGGCTGTACTAGTCAACTAGTCCTGATATCAAAGGTTCAGAGTTTGGTGAGGTGGGGTGAAGTCGAGCCGCCTTGGCTTCTTGAAAGAAGACAGACTTCTTCAAGTTCTCCTTTCCAGGGGTTGCTTTGGTATTTAAGGGTTAAGGTTATTAAGGGTTTGTCGTTGATGTTTCCGATGAGCCACTCCTCCCCCCACCCCCCCCCGCCCCCCCACCCTCCCCTCGCCTCCGACGAGAATCTCCCAAAGCCTACGCCCGCAAGCCCAAAGAGGAACCGGCGGCTTCAAGAAACCCCTACCCAGACTGTTTACAAAGGACTCCGGACAGTTAGCACAAGGTGTCGGAATCAAAAATGGCCGGATTTCCTTTCCTTTCAACTTTAACCCTAAACCCTAAGCCTTAATTCGCCTGCAGGGTTCCACTCTAGCTTTGCGATGCGGGGGTCCCGGTTTCTTGACCATTGTGAGACGGATGTCAACCGCCTGCGAGAGGGGAAATTCATACCTCAACATAAACCCGTAAGAAATTTCCCTAAGTAACCACGGCACCTCAAAAATGTAACTTATTGTAAATGTACCAGTTTTTGAGGCTCATATCCCTTTTGGAAAGGTACATTGGTTGCTCCAGCCCTACCTTCCTCAAGGACCTAAAAGATCATGAGGCACCCCCCCAAAGTGAGAGTTCAGGTAGCTACTAAGGCTCCTGCAATGCTCTCAGCTTTCGTGGCTTAGGATGTTTGCACTCCCAAAGTTATGAACACTGAATGACAAGATTTGCGATCCAAACAGTCGCCGTTCCTGCTTCTGTGCTTCGGGGTCCTATCAAAACAAGACGACATCAGGGCGAGATGTGAACATACCCTGAACCTAAACCCAAACCCCTAAACCCTAAACCCCTTAACCCTATACCCAAACCCCCTGAAGGAGCCTGTTCTGCCGGACAGTTCAAGCCCAAATCCGAACACCCCCGGCCTTCTTCCACTTCTTGTATGCCTGGTCAGGACCCAGTTGGAGGTCCAGGGCACACTCCCCAGAGAGCCCGAAACCCCTAAATTAAGGAATAGACCTTAAATAGTAGAGGGCTTCGTATTACGATTCAAGGTATATTCTCCAATCAAGGGGTATTGGGATCTCCGGGTCTACATAGTCTTCGAGTTAAGCTGGTGTAGCTGTATAGGTCTGAGAAGTTTAGATCTTTGTGTGGGGCTCGGGGGCTGTCTGGGCCGACTGGATTTGGGGCCCACCAAGAGTAGGGCACCGCGCTCGGGGCACGCTCCGTTGAGCGAGTATCCCTCATGAATCTCCGAACTTCCAAACGCTGTGCAACTGCTGCACATGGTGGACTCTTCTTGGCAGAAAGCTTGATGAACCAGCAGTCACAATGCAAGGTGACCTGCCTCCCAAAACTGGGCCATCTATGGAAAGTATACTTGGGGTTTCTAGGTAGGGTTTAGGGTTTAGGGTTGCTATGCTCAATCCTTCAAGTATCCCAAGCTGCACCTCCTTGTTCAGCTTCCACTCGTGGAAAAGACGGTCGTCACCCTCGGTTGCATCCTCGACATAGATCGGAACACCGACCTCAGCAATGCTTCAACGACCCAAATGCAATTTTCAACCCCTACGCGGAATGGTACCATGAACATCAAGCCCCATAGCCAAAATACAGCAACTCCCCCTCGCCAGAAAAGCTACGTAAACAAACATCACAGTAAAAACATGACAAGTAAAACAATAAAACCTATCTGTAGCCCTTCTCTCCAACTGTTGACAGCCTAATGATTTCTAAACAACCCAAATCCTATAAGCCGCCAACCTAACTCCCAGAGACCAAGAACAGCAAAAACAGTACCAGCAATGGTCCTAATGATGATGTGAGAAGGAAAACACCCAACCATTGATCCTAAATCCCCGGAAACTTGAATATCCCAAAACAGCAAAGCCGCATAGAATCCTCTATCAAAGGCTTATGGTAGGCTTTTTGGGCGCCTGTCGACGAAGCCTCAAAATTTCAAGGAGGAACAAAATGACTCAAACCTGCAACTCTCAGGACTTCGGACACTGAAACTTGTACCCTATATAAATCTAAAACAAAGTGAAACCCTATGAATCCTTTAAGCCGGGATGTAATCTCTTTCTGAGCCCTGCAGAGGCTCTTACGGAATCCTTTCTAGAACCGCTTCTAGAACCCTCATAGAACTCTTATGGAACCAACTCGAAACCCTGTTTTCCCAAAACCTTCATAAAACCTAAACATCCTAAACCACTAGAGAAACCCCTTGAAGAAGCCTCTCCGATCCCTCCCTCAGCCCTAGTCTCTTCTCGAACCCTTTCTAGAACCGTCCGCACTTGGAGGTTCCTGGGTAGTTATAAGTAGGGTCCTAAGTCCCCTAATGTGGGTTATACGTACAGTTACCCTACTGATAACTCTACTTAGAACTACCCATGAACCGTCCGCAGAGACTCCAACACCCCTTAACTAAGGGATCTACCTTTCATCATGCGTACACTCCTTAATTAGAAGGTTTTTAAAGCCCCTTGAAAATCCCAAATGCCCCGAAACCCGAAACACCTTCGACTCTGCACGGCCGAAGCTCTTAAACTCTAAGCTCTCTCTTTCTGAGCTCTATATACACCCTAAAACGCCCTAAGACCGAAACACCCTAAACCCTACTAAACCCTTATAGATCCCCATGGAGCCCTTCAAGGAACCCTAACCCAGAGCCCTCTTTCCGAGCCCAGGGCTGCCTGCTTCAGCGCCTGGGCGAAGACCCGCTCCGATCCTCGCTCGCTCCACCGTCGAAGGCAGCGGCAGGGAGTACTTGGAGGGTCGGGGGACTTAGTAACTGGTTATTTTAGGGACTTATAAGTACCATAACCCCAATTAGGGTCACTTTTAGGGTACTTATAAGTCTACTTACTAACTACTTGCTAAGTCCCCCGACACCCCAAGCAGGGTTCAGGGTTCCGGATTGAACGTTTAGGGTTTAGGGCTTAGGGTTCAGGGTTTATAGCCTTTAGGGTTTAGTTCTTAGGGTGTTAGGGTTTAACATTTAGGGCTTACGGCTTTGGGTTTAGGGGTTTAGCTTCAGGGTTTAGGGCCTAGCTAGAGTGACCAATGTACCTTTAAGAAGGGGGTGGCACCCTAACAGGATTGGTCAAGGTATCTGTTTCTATGGTACCTTTTTTGCTTTAGGTAGAGCTTCGGCTTTGGGAAGAGAGCTGAGGGTCGGAGGAGTATTGGGGTTGAAAGCTCCTTCACGAGTTCCTCAAAGGGATGTGTAGAGGTTCTCTGAGGGTTCCCCAGAGATTCTCTAAGCCTTCTTTCAAACTTTATAGTGGTCACAACGGGTTGGGGCTCGAGGGCTCAGTGCTTTAGGGCCGGTAGGTTTTGGCTCTTGCGGGTTTACAGGGGTTTCGAAGCTTGTTGGCAGGGTCCTCGAAGCGTTCTGTGAAGGCACACAAGGGTTGCAACTGAACCCTATGCTGATTCTTAAATGACCTTATATGGGTAGTTGTCAAAATTAGGGTCCCTTTTTGGGTACCCTAAACAATAGGTGCCGTATCATATTAGGGACCCAAAAAGGGAGCATAGTTTTGACAACCACCCTATATTCTTCTACTTCAACAGATTTTTTCGAGGAGGCTGAAGTCGGGGGTCTCCTGACCGAAAAAACTCCGACGTGTTTGTGGCCTATACAGACATTAGGGGCCCGCATTTCCAGAAATTGCAACTTCTTGGCCTGGACTTCGTCTTGCGCAAAGCTATGGCCCTGACGGAAAGCAAAGAAGATGGAAGCGCCAGGCACCAAACCTTGATCAAAATCACACATGGATTGTCTCGTATTTGGCTTTCGGGTGTATAGGGTTAGTTCAAGGTTCAGGGGTGAGGCTATGGGTTGTGTGTTCCCAAAGGGTCCTATGTACTGTTATGGGGGTTACTTCCCTAAGTCGTAATAGTAAACCCTAAACCCTAAACCCTAATCCCTAAACCCTAAACCCTAATCCCTAAACCCTAAACCCTAAACGGTTCAGGGTTTAGGGTTTAGGGTTTAGGGGTTAGGGTTTAGGGTTTAGGGTTTAAGGTTTAAGGTTTAGGGTTTAAGTGGTTGCGCCGCAATTAAGCCCTAGCTTGCCAAACTGTAAACTTCAAATTGCTAACCCTCGGCTTGACAGGATCTGTGAAGCTTGATATGAACGTATCGCTGTAACATGCTCTTGACTTGACCGCACTCAGATGCTCAAGGGACTCAGTAATTAATCAAGAAGATTTCGAGGGTGACAACTACCCTCAGGGGTAACCCGACCTCACGCTGATAACTCTACTACCCTTAGCAAGCCCTCTGGTGCCTCTGCTAGATTATCATCTGTCCGCTTTCATGTACAATATGGGCTTGACATGATTCTAAAGATTGTGAGCCAAGCTAGATGACTTTGTATGGCCTGGTGCTGGAGGGTGCTGCTTAACACTCACCAGTCCAAGCTTCCCAAGAGGAATGACCATGCACTCTGCAGGGTCCGCTGGACGTTAGAAGTGTACCTGCGACCACTTAGGACTTAGTGCTTCAGGCTTAGAGCCAAGGGTGCAGTGACTACTCTGTTTGCTTCCAACAACTGGATCCTTTCCTACGGGTGTATGATCCTTTTTGATCAGGGTGGGTACTCAATTTGCTGCTACCCCTATTGTTTCTCTTCGTGGCCAGTGGTGGCAATCTGTTTCGCATCACCGCATGCTCGAAGCACTCTATACATGTTACAGGCTGCGACCCCAACCCTCGGAACTCCATCCATGCAAGCCATCTAGTTCTAGATCACCCGCTGCAAATTCCAATCGCTATCTATTCCTGTTCCGTAGTTCAGAGTTACGACGTAAAGCCCCGCCACAACCCAATCCGCAAGGTTTTCTGAAGAAACAGGATCGCTACATCTTGCAGCTTATGCTTCACAAAACCCCACATGGCACACGGCGATGGCGCGGCCGTCAACTTTCTCGTCACGCTCAAAAAGACCTCCTGGTCCTCTCGAGTAGGGCTAGGTTTCAGGTTCGAGGTCTTGATGTTAAAGACTTGAAGACTTGGGCATGACGCTTGGGGTGTACAGTATAGGCGCTACAGTGGCCAAACGAGTAATCCGGGGTTAGGGTCCTGGGGTGCGTGGGCTTGGGATATTCGGTGAAGCCTCACTTGGGGGGTCGGGGGACTTAGTAAGTAGTCAGTAAGTAGACTTAAGTACCCTAGAAGGGACCCCAATTGGGGTTATGGTACTTATAAGTCCCCAAAATAACCAGTTACTAAGTCCCCCGACCCTCCAAGCAACCTTACAGTTCGAAAAGCTGACGGCTCGATCTCGTGGATTTTAGCTACGGAACCACAGGGAGCAAGAGAAGGAGGTAGCATGAGTAGCAGATGTAACAGCTGCAGCATTGGGGGCATGCTATTGTGGTGCTTTTCGGCAGGATTCCCAACATGAAGTGGTATTTGCAATCGTCTGGGGGTATGCAACAATAGTAGTATGGTAAAGCCGGGCATATCAGAGAATGCAACTATCAGTAATCCAGACCCGCGTCTCCCCTAGACCGCCAGGGCAGTTCGTTGTGTTGCTTAATTGACTTGATGGTCCGGGTTCGGGGTTTAGGGTTTAGGGATTTGGGCTTAGGGTTTAGGGTTAATGAACCCAAGACAAGACAAAACAAAAAGTGACAAACAACAACTGTTCTCTGCATGGTTCTATCCCACTAAGTAAAGAAGCACCCATATCAGGTTACTAATTCTCCACCATGTTCTCACTGAGGGCTCCGAACAGCGAAGAAGCTTCCTGGACTCCTAGACCCGGGGAGCCAAACCAGAGAGAAATAGTAGACAGTCCCACAGCATCCTCTTTTGCAATTATGTCGGGGATCCTAATGAACAGGTGGTCTTATTCCTCAGCGATCTACATGAGGTTTGGGGGCTTTGGCACGGAGGGTCTGCAACGAACGCACCGAAAAAATCTCCAATGCCATACATCCTGCAGTATTCCACCAATGCTGGACCGGAAAGTTAAGCATTCCCAACACTACCGCAAAACCCCCCAAAGCCAGAAACGATGAACCCTTTGCAAGCCCCGTGCCTATGTATCGTTTTCGAAGAACAGCGCCTGCCAGAGGAAAGACTCTACTTTGTGTAGAAACCTATAGCCGTTCAAGTTCTATTAAAAAAATGGTTTAGGCTTCCGGGCTTAATTAAGGTTCAGGGGAGGAAGCTGAACCAATATTACACGGGGGCTTGAAGGACTCATACATTAAGGCTTTTCGGCCCAAAGACCATACTATATAAGGCTTTTGGGCTATTTGATCCCCAGGGTATGGCACGGCCCCTGCAAAGCACAATCTTCGACAGCAGAGCGGAGTTATTGACTCGTCCCTGGATTGCGGTACCCTAAACCATAAAAGCTACAGCTAGAGCTTGAGCTAGCATTATGAGAACAACAAAGCAGCAATATAACAACGTAATAAGAACTATGATAGTAGTCTTAAGAATAAGAACAGTTACAAGAAGCCGCAATGTGTATAACAATATACTAATCATAATACTTAATGGCATTGCTTGTAATGTAGCACGAATACAACTAGACCAAAGACAGCAAATAGAAACAGGAATCGAAAAGCTACAGCTGAGGCTCGGCCTGTGTCCGTCAGGGTCTTTGCGCCCAAAGGAGTCAAATGTCCTAGCCGAGCAAAGGGCTTCAGCAAAGAGGAAGCCCAACACGCTTTAGGGTTTCGGGTTTGGGGAGGCTTCTGGTTTGAGTCACTAAACCCTAAACCCTTTTGAGGTCATAAGCCCAAGAAATGTACAGTTTCAGCTCAACCAAAACCAAATCACGCCCATGCGCAGAAAGTGCCCGCCTGTGGACCCCACTATTTTGGGGTTATACTTGGGGAGTCGGGGGACTTAGTAAGTAGTTAGTAAGTAGACTTATAAGTACCCTAAAAGGGACCCTAATTGGGGCTATGGTACTTATAAGTCCCTAAAATAACCAGTTACTAAGTCCCCCGACCCTCCAAGTAGGCCCAGGGTTTCTTAATCAGGTTCCTACAGAACTGTTGCTGTCAGCCTCAGGGTGCGGACCTAAGGATCCTAGCGACCTCCCACACCGGTTGTCTTGGTGCAAACGGTTTAGGGTTTACCTTAACCCTGAATAACCTTAGGGGTCCTTATTATGAGTTCTAAGTCCTTAGCAAGGTAGGTCCTTCAGGGTTAAGGTAGGGTTTCGGGATTAGGGTTGAGAGCGATATCTCATAGTAACCGACTTGTATAGGTAGGCGTCTGCTTCTGCGGTTGAGGTGCTTCGGGCTTGGGGTTTGAGTGGAGCTGTTCTACTTTAAACGGGGATCAGACCCGGCCTACACCCTCCCCCTAGCACCCCCACCTTGAAGAACAACTAATCACTGAGGCCCCCAAACTCCCCTCCAAAAAGCAAAACCCTAAAACAAAAAGACTAACTGGTCGTTTTCTGGCCCCTATACTCCAAACCAAACCCTAAATCCCTTATACAGCTCTGGTCTGTTTCACTCCTTTGTAGCTCTCCCAGAATTGTGCTCGCACTGGCCAGCCGAGATTTCCAGGACCTCGGGCAGGAGCAAAAAATGGGTTCCAGCCGAGACGGATCCTCTTGGGGTGCCACTTACGGAGGGTAAAGTTTAGGTTTAAGGTTTATACGGCTTCAAACTGAGGGCTCCTTTTGAGTACTACAGGGGCCTTAACAATGTGAATAGGGTTTTGGGGCCCATTAGACTATACTTATAATACTGAACCCAAAGATAGTTAGGTAATTGTTCTGAGTAAGCAACGCCGGACCTGCCATCTGCATGGCAGAAAGCCTTAAGAAGTCTTCACTGTACAAGCAATGCACACGTTGGGGGGTAACAACTTCGGTGCAGCTGGTGTGCCTCCTTCTTGACGCAGGCATCGGGTAGTATTTGCGAATATCCCATAATTCGATGGAAGCGCAGAAACTTCCTTAACATATGGGTAGTTGTCAAAATTATGGTCCCTTTTTGGGTACCCTAAGTATTAGGTGCCGTACTATATAAGGGACAATCAAATTAGGGGCTCCTTTAGAGCAATAATGTAGGGGCCTTAACGATGGGAATAGGGTCTTGGGGCCCATTATACTATACTTATGATAAAGAACCCAAAGATGGTACATCTAGTGCATTCACAGCCCAAGGAGGGCTGCTACCACAATCACAGCCACGGTCACTGACCCCTCAACATAGATACCAACGGCAGGAACAATGCGAACCCGATGGTCCAAGGCGCCAGAGGGCTTCGTGGGAAAGCGCGTCCCATGTCGATGCACGATGACCTGACTTCTACCGAACTTCTACCCCCTATAGCTGAACAAGTCACTTCACCTCCAACCCCTGCCATGTTGCACCACTGAGCCGACATCCCCCCAAGACCCTAAACCCTTAAGCCAACGAGAAGCAGGCGGGAAATGGTGGCCACCTAGAATTCTGTCGGAGCTTGGCTGGCACTACGAAAGGATGTACAGGGAAAGTCAGGCCATAGAAACAAAGACCATCAGGGACCCCGATGGCCGCCGCTCTGGACTAAGAAGAGCCACCATAAACAGCAACCAGAATGAAATCGTAACAGCAATGCCTCAGCTCCTTCGGATGTCTGCCCTAAGCCTGAGGTTCTGGCGATAGCCCCTAACTAACGGCCGCGGTCCCCGTTCCTTCCTAGTCAAGACACAACCTTTGCTTCCAGATCCTAACCCCCAAAGGGAACTGCAATGGAGACTGCAGCTGTAGCCAAAATTACAAGCAGTCCATGACTGGCAGCATAAAGCCGCTAAGGAGAAATGGTGTCCAGGGCAACAAGAGCACCATTGATCTACATGTCATCCGATACTCCAACGAACCGCCACACTAACATTGAGCTGCGGGCCGTTAAACCCACATTTTGCCCAATCTCTGACTCGCAAAATAAGCCGCAATCCGACCGCAACGCTGAACCCCAAGCCCTGCATAGCCTTGGACGCAAGAATGCTGAGACCCCTGCAACTTGCTTCAAAGTCTTCCGGTCCTCCACAGGGTGTCCAGAACTGTGAATACCCCCAATGGGCCTACCGCCTCTTGCCTAGAGTCCAACCACCTTCATAAGCATCAATCCACAAGGGTTGGTTGATCCGGGACCCTGGCTTCTCTTGCCTGTTCGTCTGCAAGGGGCTCAAGCGGCGGTACTACTATTGAAAACGACTTCGAGGTACTGGGCTTCGAAGTTAGGTGCCGCTACTAGTGTGGTTTTAGCCTAAACCCTAAAACCCTGAGAGCGGTTTAGAGTGTATGGCGACTAGGTGTGGTTTACAGAGGAGTCTACGACTATGGGGCAGAACCAAGGGCTTGAAGTGACCTTTCGATTTAGGGTTTACGGTTGGGTGAGGGCTTTAGGCTTTAGGGTGTACATGGTGCAGAAGCTCGAGCCTCAACCCACACCATGAACCCTTAAGACAGGGGCGTTAATAGTTAGAATAGGATTTTGGGGCCCATTATACTATAATTAGAATAAGGAACACCCTAAAATAGTAATGGTAATTATTTGTCAGGCCCCTGTATTACGTAAACCCTTTCAGCACCTTTACCCTGATGCTCAGAATCGCCCAAAAATCTCATACATATAGTATGGTTTTTGGGTCCAAAACCTCAAAATGTCAGTCCTTAGAGTCTTAGGTTTAACTAACCCCCCCAGACCCTGAACACACCTGAACCTGAATCCGAAACCCTACCCTCACCCGGAATTAAGCTACCGTGCTAAGGACCTGTAAAAAGAAATCATAAGAAGGAGCCCGAAAAAGTAGGTTAATCAGGCTTCAGGTAAACACTAAACCCCAAACCCCAAACCCTAAACCCAAAACCTAAACCGTAAACCCTAAATACCCTAAATCCTCACTCATGCCTGCCTCTTCGGAGATGGGCCAAACGGCATCGGGACTGGAGCCTATCAGTGGCTCATGAATGTTTAGGGTTTAAGGGTTTAGGGGTTTATAGGGTTTAAGGGGTTAGGGGTTTAGGATTTGGGGCCTTCGGTGTTTAGGGTTGAGGGTTGAGGGGTGTAGGGGTTCGGATTTGGGGGTTTAGGTGCTTAGGGATTCAGAGTTAAAGCGTACATAGCTGTTCAACTAGTCTCGCTGGTGCAGGGCCTGGTGGGCTTTCAGGCCGTGGCGTGGTGAGGGGTGTCAGATCACCTCCGAAAAACTGCAAAGCTCAACTTCACATGCGCATAATACCCAGAGGCCCCAAAGTAGTTCCTTTTTGGGAGTAGCCTAGAGGATTCTATGACCCCCCAAAAAGGAACTACTTTGGGGCCTTTGGGTAAACCCTGATGTGACTCAAGTTCGGTTCTCATCGGAGGCAGCTTGACTATGTAGGAGCGGTTCAGGACGGCGTTTCTTCGGGTCGACTCCAAATCTATGTGTTCGCCTGGGCGTGCCTGTTTGCGGGCTCTTTCCTTATGTGGTGTGATTTCCGAAGCCAGCTCTAGGGCAATGTATGTGGGTTGGCAGGTTGGGAAAATCCTCATTAAGCCCAGCTGCGCAGCGATGTACGTTTCTGTCGCCGCCGACGCATGGCGACAACGCCGAATGCACCTGCATCTGGACCGACTTGATTCACGAAAGCAACATGCCCGAATCCCTGGAGATTGATCGCAACCCTTATCCCTAAACCCTGAACCCTAAACTCCGAGCCGCTCAACTTTTTCGGCCTTACTACATAGAACAGGGTTTTTGGGGCCATTATACTACACTTATGATAAGGTGCCCCTAAAATAGTATTGGCAATTATTAAGCGCCCTGAGCCCAATATTCACAAACACCAAGGGCGGCCTCCCAGCAACGCGGCGCTGGAGGGCCTGGGTGCTCGAGCTGTGGATTCTCAGAACTTGCTCGGGAAGGGGGGGAGGGGGGGAGGGCGGCGGGCGTGGGGGGGTAGGGTAAACCTCAGGGTCCAAGTACTCCTTATTTTAGATTAAGACTTTGGGGGCTTCTTTGGATAACAAATTTACCTTTGGTTAGTAGGGAATGGAAGAATGGTAGTAATAGCAGTTAGTTGTACCCCATCTACTAACCGAAGGTAAGCAAAAAAACACATAGATAAGGACTACTCGGAGCCTTAGGGTAGGGTTCAGCAGGCTGTGCGGCGTGGAGTTGGGGCTTCAGGTACTTTAGCTTCAGCCTTGGCGCTTGATTCTTACAAGCCCTAAGCTCTAATATTTCGGATAGCAGGGAAGCCGCTTATTGTGGGTCGCTACTATAACCGCATATAATACGATGCTATGCTTTCATTTTCTCAACGCCCTCGCAAACGCAGAACACCCAGGGCCCAGCACACCCACTGCAGTTCTATAGTGCACCTCGACACCTTACATAGGTGCCCTAATGCTTTGAGAACGGAACTTGTGGCCATGTTGTCGCATTGCTGTGCTTATTGCTATAACATTATCGGACTGCAAACAATGGCGACTACTAGACTCCTCCTCCTTCTGCTACTACTACTACGACGACCCTGAATAACCTGCCTTTTTAGGTTCCTTATTATGATTTCTTTATGTAGGTCCTTTAAAATGTAGGTTCTTCGGGGTTAAGGTATGTACTACTCTAGAAACCCTTCAACCCTAGGCCCATACATCGACGGGCTGCTGTGGAGTCTAGTGGCTGGGCGTTTGGGGTTCCCCAAGGCAAACCCGGAAAGTGTCCATGGGCTCATAACACATATGGGAGTGCTCGAAAATAGGGGACCCCAATATAGTACCCTGAATACTAGGATCCTTATGATAAGGACCCCAAAATAAGGTACCCCAATTTTCGGAAACTCCCATATCTCGGGCGCACAGCACGCAGTATGGAATAACATCACGTGTTACCTGTTCATAAGGCAACAAGCGACGGAACCCAATGCAGTAAAAATGCTTCTTTGGTGTAAGGTGTATATGAGGTCCCGTCCGGAGGGGGGACTCACTCCGATACTTGCCGGATGTGCCTGGACGGACCCGATGCCGCCGTAGCCAACTCCCGCACAACCCGATCATTGTGAGCCTCCCAGAACCCGGTATTCGAGTTTAGGGCTTCGAGGCGGTTAAGAGGGCTTCTAGGGCTTACGGTTTACAAGGTTAGCTGGTGATTGTCCTAGTTGGGGGAAGGGTGACCCACGGACATTAATATGCAAACAGGTTTCATTTACTCGGCTACATAGTCAAGCCTGATCGGGGCTGTGTGACAACCGCTGTTCACACGATGAGACACCGAGCATCTGGTATCGGTGTACGTTTTGCAGGCCAGCTGCTGTTGCCAGTCAGAGACTCGGATCAAGACATCATGGCACTCTCGGTTGGTCTTGAGCTCTAAGTTTACCTGGCGTGGCCATTGCTGCCCTACCGATGTCGCTGTGCATGCCAGCATTCACTGACTGACATGAAAACTTAGGGGGGCCTTTTCTCAGCATTGAGTTTGCAGCAAGCTCAGACTTTCTGCTTCCAACACTGGAAGTTACCTTCGTGCTGCCAGCACGAAGAGAACCGATACAAATACTTTACCTTTCACGTGTTCTAGACCGTGCCACAGTGCTGCAGTTGCAAAGGCATCTCCTATTCAAGGACATAGTGCTTATTTTCTCATCAAATAAATGGTCACCTGGACAACAGACACGAAAGCAATTGCTGCACGGGGTCTACGCTGTCACGGTCAGGTGGCGTCCACATCTTCGGTCTATACTTGGGAACAACAGGTACGTAATTAAACTTGATTGTCAGCAGCCCACTCCCAGACGACAAGCACATGAAAACACTTGCCTGCAAAACAAGCAGCGTTGACTTTGATAGCGTACAAGAAGGACGACAACATGTCGGCCTCATCCCCCCTCACCCCCCCCGCCCCCAACGAGTACGTAAGAAGTTGAAGCTGAGAATGTGATTTGGACAGTGGCATAAGGGCTTTTTTATCTGGATAAGGGTCAACTGTGGCTGCATCTAGGGTTAGGGCTAGGAGAAACAACTTCAAAATTGTAGAGGCAACCCTTCCAAAAGGCAAACCCACAACTGCGGTGATGATATGGACCTGTTCTGCGCATACCAGTCCGACAAACCGCCCGAACCATAAAGCCGTGGTTTGTCGGCTTGGCACCACCCAGTTCCAGTGTTAGGGTTTAGGGCTTATGGTTCCCTAAACTATTTGGCATGCTCAGAAAACTCAGAAAACCCCTAAAACTGCAAGTGTCCCCGCAGCAATCACATTCCTGATGGTTCCTACAGTCTTAGAACCCGACACCCACAGCATCCAGACGCCTAAGAAGACCCTAGAGAGTCCCTTATGCGAATTTTGTGCAACCTTGAATAGCTAACTTTGTTGCTTCAATGTCCTAAACAGTTGATTTGAGTAGTCTGGCTCTACCGCCTCGCCACAATCATCCCGGACAAAAACTTAAAACAGCTGACATGGATTCAGATAGTTTGCTGCGCTGAGTATAGGTGTCTGAATGATTGGAATACCGTGTTTGGGTAAGTTCTACTGCCAATATGGGGCTATAAGGGGCATTAATACTAGTTGTGCCTGTCCAAATCTGCTACCACATAACCGAATGAACACTGACCAAACTGTATATGGCCGACCTAAACCTAAATCGACCCAGACAGCTCCACCGGTTCAAGCGATGTGGGTGGTTGTCAAAATGATGGTCGCTTCTTGGGTCCCTATTGAATAATGGCACCTCTTATTTAGGGGACCCAAAAAGGGACCTGAATTTTGACAACTACCCATGTAAAGGGACATGGCGTCCCTGTCGACCAAACCTCGCTATTTCCGTTCAGCATTGGGTCCAAGCCCTATTTAAGGCCCAGAAGTGCGTGGCTAATACATAACTCGTACTATGAGTTCATCGTGTCGACAGGGCACCCTACAATATACTATAGCTTAGGAGCCTGAACCACTGGTCAGTACTATTTCTATTCGATTGTAGTTCCTGTACAACTAGTTTGCAGTACACTCCAAAAGCATATTACAACTATTAAGGCCCCCCCCGGCACTTGGTCTCTCATGCCTGGGCAGCAGTGGCACACCGCTGGCCCAAAGCCACAACACGCACAGAGGGCCTTGGACAGTTGTGGAAAAGCTTCTAAGACTCATGCGCCCAAAGAACATTTTATGCAGCATTCGGTGCTGCCTTCAAGGTATGAGCATCTGTTCTACAAGCGTCGCATGAACCCTAGACGAGCTTTATGGCTCTATTACACAGCCCAACGCCTGGTAAAGGGTATGTGGTCACTAAGGGAAGGTTCCTTCGAATTCGACAGATCTTTCAGGGTTCATGGCTGTAGGGCTCTCGGGTCTAGGGCCGTTAGGGTTTGGGGTTTTAGCCTTTGGGTTTGGGCTTTAGGGTGTAGGGCTAGGGGACTCTACAGCCTGAGGCAGCGGGTTGGGGGGCGGAGGGTTCCAAACAGTAATGGAGGGAGCGTGAAGAGGCAGGGCCAGGGAGAAAGGGGCAGGGGGTCGGGTGGTGGGGTGGGGCAGCGGGTCAGGTAGGGGGAGAGGGCGTTGAAGGGGGAGAGTGGGAGGGGGGGGAGGGGAGAGGGTTCCAAACATTAATGGAGAGCGTGAAAAGCAGGTTGCAGGGAAGAGGTAGGGGGGGGGGAGTAGGAGGGGGGGCCAAACCCCCAAAACTATATCGCCTGTCACCTGTATTTACAAACAAGCCCCAGAGCCCTAGAGCTCAACTGGCACTTTTCTGAAGGCTGGAGCATATAAGACCCATGATCAAGTGCGAAAGCTACTGACCATAAAGCTAAGCCCACCCCTAGGCCAAATGTCACCGATCGAGTCCCTTGAATCCTAAACCCGGCTCTGGGTTTAGGGTTCTACCTCGGGACTCCAGTACCGCTTAATCGAGAAGTATACCTTAAAGTCTGATGGGATCCCTAATATGACTTAAGGCATATTCCTTAGTTAAGGGATATTGGGATCTCTGGGTAGGGACCTTGCCAAATCCTAAATCCTAAAAGCCAAACCGAACATGCGGCAGAGGTGCGCAGCCAAATGTGGCGAGGCGCGCAGAGCCATGACAGCTTAGGACACTGTAGGATCTTATTAAAATAGAAACGTGGAACTAAAACCATAGTGGGGTCCATCTAGCCGAGTCCGTCCGGAGCAGCTTCACGCCATTTCTACGGACGTACACCTTTCAGCCCTGGAAAGCCAAGGAGATAAGGACATTGGAACACATCTCAGAGCACCTGAACTCTAAACTCCGTAAGATGGCTTAAGAGGCCACTGCAGTACTTCGGAAGCTGCACGCTTCGACATGCTTCTTGAGTCGGCGCGATACGGGTCGAGCTTAGTTTGAGGGTCTAAGGTTTCGGGTTTAGGGGCTTGGGATACGGTTTACAGGGTTGTGGGTTTAGGACCTGTAGGGTGCAGGGATCATGGTGTAGGGTTGAGCGAGCCTCTTCGGGCTTGTAGGGTTCATGGTCACGTGGGAGCTCTTCCCAGTTTAGGCTTTAGGGTTTACGGTTTGAAGTCCCTCCTTCAAGGACCTAAGCCCTAAGGCCCTAACTAAGGACTACATCAAATGACTGAGGCACACCGCTGAAGGAACCTCGACCTCTCATGAACCCCACACGAGGGTTTCGGCTTTAGCGTCCCGGGTTAAGGGTTTATAAGCCGCAGCTCAAGTTGGCATTCATAATTGGTAGGTTTTGAGCGTTCGAACTTCGTAGGTTTTCGTAACTGTAAGAGCTGATCCAAGGGGCTGTTCAGGTAAACGGCTTCACGGTTTAGGTAACAGTGTATTCTCACCGCCCCTGTTTAGTTCACCAGATAACACCATGCCAAAAGATCCCAAAGCTCTAAACCCTCCTAGACCCTATATTATGGGTCCCAGGAATCCTTTTCGGGGTTTAGGGTCTAGGGTTTAGGGTCTAGGGGTTTAGGGTTTCTTTCAAAGTCGCTGTATGACTTCATGATGTAAACGGAGCCTCCGACCCTAAACCCCAACCCCTAAGGCCTAAAACCCTCCTAAGCTAAACCCCCAGCCCAAGACCCTATAGCCCAAAACCCAATGCCCTGATAAGGGATTTAGGGAGCCTTCGGCGTTCGTAAACTCTCCTCCAAGCCCTATACCCCGAGACTCCAGTATCCCTCTAATCAAGGAATATACCCCAAATTATAGTAGGATCTCTGATATGATTTAAGGTATATTTCTTAACTAAGGAGATAATGGAGTCTCTGGGTAACATCTGCTAGGGTTTACGGTTTCGGGGTCCAGGAGTTTAGGGGTTAGGGTTCAGGGTAACTAGGGTTGAGGGTCGAGGGGTTTCGAAGACATGACAACCATATTCTGCAATTGCAGACAGTGAATGCATCAAGGATGTCGGCATGACCTTGGTCAGGAGAGGCCTGACACGCTGACATAGCCATTTGGTCTAGGATTTGTAGGGGTTCCTTTAAATGCAAGGACGTTGTCGAGCTTGTTGTGTTTATGGGTTTATACAGTTCTGTAAAGTCCATGTACCCGTGCAGTCTACAACATCATCTACTCTAGCCTGATTTGAGAGCACTATGCTACGATGCTACAAGATGATATTCCCATTCCCGTTTCATTAAACTTTGTCATACATTTCATATCAGGCTTTGGAATGTTATGTGCATTATCGCAGACCTCCTTTGAGGCCCAAGTGTATACTATGTTCGGGCCCATCGGGTTGCTGAAGTGTTGCAAAAAAGGATTAGGGTTTAGGGAGTTTAGGGATTCAGGAACCTTGGGTTTTGAGTTAGCTTCATCTGACCTATCCACCGGCCGAGACCTTTCAGGCATGCCGGAATCATCTTGCTTACACAAGACCGAGATGTCATGAGCTTGCCTGATTGAAGAGCAGGTTTCAGATTGAACAGATCGGAAACCCGTAAGCGAGATCTATGGCAGGTACGTAGATGCTCAAAGGACTCACTAAGCTGGCTGATACACATATGACAGGGGCCTGAATGACTAGAATACTGTTTTGGGCCACAGTTGTGAGGTATAGGAACCCCAAAATATACTGGTAAATCGTTAGGCCTCTGTACCTATAGTCTCCATTGTAGTTCCTTTTTCGGTTAAAACTGGCTAACCAAAACAAGGAACTACAATGGAGACTATAGGTAAACTGGTAAATAGCTAGGCCTCTGTAGTACCCGAGTTGATGTAATCCTACTTGGAGTTCGCAGTATGGCCTGCTTACTACGCCCGTTGAGAGTTTGAGTGTAGCTAGAGAAAGATCCTCAAGCCCGAGTGGAGCACTGTCTCATGACGGATTCTATAGGCTGAGTGTCAGGTGTTGGGAATGGTTTTGTGTTAGGATACAGTCGCTTGAGGACCCGTGCCCTATATGGGATATGATCCACAACTTATCCTGGGGTTCATGTGGCTCCTGAAGACTTGACTTATAACCGTTCAGGGTTTGTGCTCAGGCATGACGCCCTCGACGCCTCGAAAACTCAACCCCGAAAACCCCATAATCCTTAACGGTAACCTGCCCTAAACCCTTAAACTCCAAAGCCTCAAAAGCAACACACTCTCCTTTGCAGAACTGAACCCTCAAACGGCCAAACCATGAAGTTCTGAACCCACAACTGCACCTCGCTTACCTCTTCTGCTTCGGAAAGCGGAATGCCCTCACTGATTGCCCGCCTGGCAGGCATCTGTGGATGGACAGCACATTAACTGCCTAACAACCATAACAAGCACGAGAGCAGAACATGTCTAGATATACACACATATATATATATATATATGTGTATATATATATATACACATACACATGTAAGCTCTATGTTTGAACATGAATACATACATACATACATATATATATATATACATATATGTGTACTCAGTCACTTGTAAAGCATAGTAACGGACATGTCTGATTCGCATTGCGTAAACGCACAAGCGTCATGAAAAGTCAGGTGGAGCTGATAAGGTCTGGTCAAAACGGTTTTCGGATTTGAGGGCTTCTAAATCATGGCTCGACAAACCCTGAACCCTAAACCCTAAAGCCCAGACCCTAAAGCCCAAACCCTAAAGCCCTGAACCCTACAGCCCTGAACCCTAAAGCCTAAACCCTAAACCGCCTGAGTAAGACATTTTTGTGTCCAGGCCGGGACCCATGCTTGGAGTTTAGCCTTCTGGGGTCGGCCCTAAACCTCTATGTTTTAAGGCTTTAGGGTTTTAGGGTTTAGGGTTTTAGGGTTTTAGGGTTTAGGGTTTAGGGTTTAGGGTTTTAGGGTTTTAGGGTTTAGGGTTTAGGGTTTTAGGGTTTTAGGGTTTAGGGCTTAGGGTCTGAAATCTACTGCATTGTTGCGTGCCGCTCCCCACGCCTCAAACTCAGCTTCCTCTGAAGGTCCTTGTCCTTGCAAGAGCGCGAGGGCAGCGAGAGCGAGAGCGAGAGAGAGAGAGAGAGAGAGAGAGAGAGAGGGCGGGTGAAGAGAGAGAGAGAGAGAGAGGGAGGGAGGGAGAGAGAGAGAGAGAGAGAGAGAGAGAGAGGAGAGAGAGGGAGAGAGACAAAGAGAGAGCGAGACAAAGAGAAGGGGGAGAGAATGGGGTTTACCGTCTAGGGTTTCGGATTCGGAATAAGGTTTAACATTCAAGGGAAAGAGGCGGCCTACACAAATGCTGGCAAGGTGGGGTTTATAGGGTGCAGCATTCTAGCAATCCCGGTTAACGTAGTATGGCCAAAAAGAGTGCAGGCAATCAATGCCAGGCGCTGCCAACCCAGGCTTCCACCGACGCCACAGCAGATAAGGTTTAGAGTTTAGGGTTTAGGGTTTAGGGTTTAGGGTTTAGGGTTTAGAGCACATGAGAACCAACCCAGCAGGACAGGAGTATGCAAGCGTCCACTGACCATTATTCCTGACACGCATGTGTTAACTAGCTTTTGCAAATCGTGGCCTTATGCTCAGCTCGGAGAAAATCCCAAACCCCAAACCCTACAATCCTAAACCCCCAAATCCGAAACCCCTACACCCCTAAACTCCAAATGTGAACAGCAGCGGCTTGGGGCTCAATATTTCTGGCCAAGGAAACTGACTTGACTCACGGTAGCAGGTGATCAAACCCAGGAGATTGAAACCCTGATCGAAACCAGCAGCACTCGATGACTCATAAACTCAAATGGGCAAGATGTAGGACTCTTTCCGCATTACCATCTTTTCCAACCCCGGTGTCCTTGAAAGGAGACGACTCCATCTTGCTTTGCGAAGCCTCGCCGGGGACGGCACAAATCACTGCTGCTGTTGTGGTGGTCGCTTGCAAGTTGCAAGTGCTGGAATCCTGAAACCTAGAGGCCCTAGACCCTAAACCCCTAAACCCTACACTGAGCTTGGTATTCTCTGCCATTTCCTGCTGCTACTCCTCAACTCTCGCTTGATTCTTACAAATGTAGCCAGATAGCCCCTGAATCTGAAACACCGTTCACTTCCATGACACTGCCTCACTTGCCCAAACAGACACACACTCCAAGACCAGAATCCTAAACCCTAAACCCTAAACCCTCAGCCCTAAATTTAAATCCCTGACTGAACCCAATAAGCCCCACATCCCCCAAACAAGTTCAGAATCCCAAAACCCTAAAAAACCTAAATGAAACTATATAAGCTTAAGCCCCATATCCCAAACAAACTCAGAATCCCGAAAGCCTAACAACACCTAAATAAAACTAAATGAGCTTAAACCCCAAATCCCAAACAAACTCAAAATCCCCAAAGCCTAACAAACCCAAGAACACGCGCTAAAACCCTGAACCCTAAACCCTGAAAGCCTAAACCCGAAACTCTAAACCCTAAACCCTGAAACCCTAAACCCAAGGCCCCAAGTTCTTACGGAACCAATACCCTACAAGGCTCAACATGGCCCAACAAGCCTACGAGAATATGGTCTTTAGGCCCAAAAGCCTTGAAATATGATTCCTTAGAGCCTTTGGGATACCTAACATAATATGGTCTTAAGGCCCAAAAGCCTTAAACTATGAGTCCTTAGAGCCTTAGCGATACACTTCGCGGCCTCCCGGTGTCTAAGACCTTTGGGCCACTGCGACGCATCGAGCTCCTTGTAGCAGTGGGGGTGATCCGGGTCGATGTAGTATATTGTGTAGAATTGACCCAGAGAGCCCGATACCCGTAAATTAAAGAATACCTAGGGTTCCTTAAAGGGATCCTTTGAGGGATCTGTAGGGTTTAGCGAATTCTGATACCCCTAAATTAAGGAATATACCTTAAATAATCGCGGCCTTAACCTTATGATTTATATAGGTATAGTCTTTAATTAAGGGGTATTGGGATTTCTGTGTAACCCTAAGAGTCCATGTACCCAAATAGTCCTTGAAGGGTTCCTGTAAGTAAGGGTGCCATAAGGTCTCTATAGGGGTTCTATAGGGGTGTTGGCTGAAGCGTCCACGTACCCAAATAGTATGTACTTTGGCCCCTAAGTACCTGAAAAGGGACTACTTTAAGACCAAATTATCGTAGACAATATTTGGGTACATGGACCCATGGGGGTAAGGGGCTGAGGTTATAGGGTTTAGGGCTGAGATTAGATGGCTCAATAGACGGGCCCGAATAATGTGAGACGGGTTTAAAGTTTAGGTCAGTTGTAGTAGGGTGTCATGGGGCTGGTACAGGGGCAGTGATAGACACAACGGGGTGCTGGGCGTATTGTAGCACAATTATGCCGGGATGTTGTTCTGGATACTGCTACTACTGGTTCCGGCCTTCATATTGCGTCTTATGTGCTACTTACTACTAGAACATCTCTTTGAGTGTGGCACTCAGCCATCAGCAGAACGGCACTCACACAAACTGAAGCTGGGTAAGTGTTGAAGCTATATGTCCTCAGCGAACCCCAAACTCGATTGCAGTGCACAAAGTCCCTTTACAAGACTCTGTATAGAAGCCTGGATAAGTACTATACTACTGTTCTTTATATAGGTTTCCCTACATACTTAAATATTCTAGAATAGAGTGCGAAGCCCCGATCTAACTATGACTGAAGCTCCTACATGTGCCTCTTCATCACGGCATGCGGCTCTCGCACTCGAAGTGTCTGAAGGACAGAGTAGGGACATTCATCATTAGAATAGTATATAAAGGTTTTGGAACTATTTCTACTGTGAGCCCATTCGGGCCTCTGCTCGCACCCCGGCCAGCGTGCAGCATGTCCTTGCACCAAGTACGCCACGTGGTGGCACAAGGCGGCGAGGCGGGTCTCCGCGACTTCAAGCCGTCCATTCAGAAGCCTCGATGCCTCGATCAGCTATTCGATTCATTCGAAGCCACAAGTAGCTCGATCAGCTCGACCAATGGTGCTCGTCCCAGGTACCGCAGTGCAGCGCTAACCTGTGTCCGGCACCAGATCTCTTCGCACTGCTAGGAAGTGAGAGTGCCCCGGCCTGAACCCTAAGCCATACACCCCGTAGACCCGGAAACTACAGGCTCTAAACCCTAAACGCACAACCAAACCGTAAACCCCTAAACCACGATACCCTAGGCTAAACCCTATAAGCGTTCAACCCTAAAAGCCCCAAGCCCTATAAGCCCTAAACCCCCTAACATCTAGAAGCCCCTAAAGCTGGATTTGCCCTTCGACCCTTGAAGTGAACTCCCTTGAACTGAACCCTATAAGCCCCGAACGCCGAGCCCTAAACCCTAAACTCCCGAAGCCCTATCTAAACCCTCAACCCTGCGCCAAACCATGAACCCTAGTCTACTTGCTACCTGTACTTACTCAGAAAACCTAAGCTGCCAACCCCTATAAACCCTAAACTCTAAACCCCTTATTACCTACTCTGGGCTTTTAAATAACCAGGGAGAAAAAACTATAAACTTGCATTTCATAATGGCCTTTAAGAAAAAAGTATTCTTAGTTGCTGAGTTCACAAGCCCCCCAAAGTGTACACTTTTAGTTTTATAGTGGGTAATATAATCCCAAAACGTGTAAAGTGTATCCACTCAGCTACTAAGTATTAAAGTATGGTACTCCAAAGCCCTGTACTCAGTCCAAGAAGTGGGCAGTTGCCAAAATTATGGCACCGTTTTGGGGATACCCTAAAACAATGTGGTTGGAAGTGAAAAGCTTGCTAAGCTTGCCATCTGCGAACGCAGGTGAAAACATGAACACACGAAAATACACGCCGCCAGGGCGTACCATACTGAAATATTAGGTGCCGTTTTATAATAAGGACCCAAAAATCCGAGGCATCTAAGGACTCATATATTAAGGCTGTTGGGCCCAAAGACCACATAATATAAGGCTTTTGGGCTATTTTAATGCCCAGGGAAAGGGACCATAATTGTGACAACCACCCATATGGGAGTTTCCGACATAGGGGACCCGAATATAGTACCCTACATAGTAGGATCCTTACTATAAGGACCCCAAAAAAGGACCATAATTTTGACAACCACCCACATAGATCCCATATAGATCCCTTTAAGGAACCCCTAAACCCTAAACCCTAGGACCCAAAAAGGGACCAGAATTCTCACAACCACCCACTAAGAGAAACCGGGGCCGGGCCGGCCTCGGAGTCGCATCGTGAGAGGAGAGCCGGCGTGCTTGCCTGAAAGCTTAGGGCTTCTTAGGGTTTAGGGGTTTAAGGTTTGGGCTTTTTAGGTGTTTTTAGGGGTTTAGGGCTTTGAGGGTTTAGGGTTTTTAAGGTTTTGAGGGTTTAGGGTGTTTAGGGTTCAGGGTTTTTAGGGCTTTGAAGGTTTAGGGTTTTTAGGGTTTTGAGGGTTTAGGGTTTAGGGTTTGGGGTTAGGGTTTAGGGTTGAGGTGGGGTTTGGGATTGTAGGGATCCTTTAAGGGTACTATAAGGGTACTGTGGGGGTTTAGGGTTCAGGAATCAGATTCAGGGTTTAAGGTATTTGGGGTTTAGGATTTAGGGTTTTGGTTCAGGGTTCAGGGTTCGGGGTTTGGGATTTAGGGTTTAGGGGTTTTGGGCTTGCGATTTGGGGTTTCGGGTTTGAGGTTTAGGGGTTCATGGGCTGACATGATGCATGTATGATCTATAATTAAGGGCTCCTGATGTCATCGTTTCAGGAACGCTGCTTTTGTGTAGCGGTTTTGAGTTCTTTCAACCACAACCACGACGGTAGTAATGCAATCTAAAAGCGTTGTGGCACAGTAAAGGAGCTGGGAAAATTCACTATAGAAGCCAATACTCTTAAGATTTGTGGCCAGCTTGTCGTGAATGCGGGGGCTTTGATGGCAAGAGCTCCATGGCCCTAGGGCCCAAAAGGCTGCAGGGTTGCAGGCTGTTGCGGGTTTAAGGTTCAGGGTGGAGGCTGTTGTTGCCCTTAGAAGCAAGTCCTGAAGTTTAGGGCTTAGGGCTTATAGGGTTTGCACAAAATCCAAAAACATGGACCTTGAAACTCTCTACAGGTCATGTCTTGTACCTGCACAGTGCCTGCAAGCCGCTACTAGTGCCTCCCTGGACAAAAGCAATCTAACAGCAATCCTGTAGATGATCACTATACTCCAAGCAATTGCAAGATAAGTGCACGCAACATCGTCCGCAAGTAGCATAGCAAGAGCAATATGAATAGCAGCTGTAGCACGAGTAACATCAGCAGTAACATTGCCACTAAATGATGAAAGAACAACAACGTCACAATCGACAAAGGTCGTAGGACTAGTAACCCGAATCATAGTAACATATAGTAACTATCACAAAACTACAGTATCGTTGTTGCCGTGGCAGGAATACTAAAGACAACAGCAGCCGACAAGAGCAACAACAAGAGCAATAGCAACAGCAACAACAATCGGAACAGGAATAGTAAATCACTGTAGACCACCCCCCTAACAAGACGGCAATGATGGCCTTCAGCTTTGCTGCCTCTGCTTCTTCTGCGGCCTTCTGCTGCTCAGCTACAGCCTTGGTTTATGGTTTAGTGCTCAGGGTTTGAGACTACGTCCCCTGTTTATAGCAGTAAAATACCCTACTTGGAGGTTCATGGGTAGTTACAAGTGGGGTGATAAGTAAGGTAACCATACTTATAACCCATATTAGGGGACTTATAACTCCACTTACAACACCCTAGACCCTAAAGCCTAAACCCTAAACCCCTAAACCCTAAACTAGCAATCCAGTACCCTACAGTAGTGCAGCACCTCCCAGACCCATGAAGTACTTGGGTTCAGGGCAGAGGTAACTGCAATTTGGATGGGCGGCCAAACGGGGGGGTTTAAGATTCTTGGGGTAGGGATTCCATAATATGAACCCTATTATGGGAACCCTAATTCCTACTAAACCCCCATAGGCTAAGACCCCTTTTGGCCTCCTATTCAAAGGTGTCACTGTGCATGCTGGCTGGATTTGCCTGCTACTTCACTCTTGCCTGCTGGCTCGAATCTCTTATGTTGGTGAACCTGCTGCTTCGATTGTCTTGCGTTTGCGAGCCTGCTGCTTCAGGTGTTTTATGTTTGCGCGTTAAGCTTACAAAGCTTCTCTCCGAATGCACTGTTTTTTTGCTCCGCGAACCGAGCTCTCCAGAGTCGGGAGCACACTGCTGTTTTTTTCCTTGTTTTTGCCATATTCCATCTGATATTCAAGCACATCTCAGCTCTGCTTCGGCTTCTTCATTTTCAATGCTCTCTGAGCCCACGAGAAGCAAATGAAAAAAACCTGAGCTTGCGGTCGTTTCTTCGGCGCGATCGCGCTGCCAGAAAAGCGAGACTCATCCACCAGATCTACTTGAAGATTTGGCTTGTAAGAGGGAGCGCGAGAGCCCCAGAGACGAGTGGTCACTGCCAAAGACAAAAACTTTCGAGGTTGATCTTCACGGGGGCCTCCAAGTGTTTTTGGCCCTTGTATGTGTGAGGACGAACCAGGTGGACCCCAGTGCCGATCTGCCAATCAGTGGCGATGTCCGCTGTGTTCCCTTCACTCCTTAGTTTTAACTTATTAATGCAACGATCCACATCATCCTGGTTCGGACTTAACTGTTGTGACTGACAATACAAAACCGCCGCTGCATGACTGGCTCAGTCGGATGTACCAGTTGCAGTACTGGGTTCGCAGTCCAGCAATTTCCACATTTCTTCGGTACGTAGCAGAAGCCTGTACCCTTTGGCGTGTGACGTCAAGTCTGGCACCTCGTGCGAAGGCTGTGGCACGTTGTCTCAATTCGTGATTGCATCTATGGTTGAGATGGAAATTGCAGCCAAATAGCATCGTGAAGCTGCAAGACACATTTCGTTCCAGCCCGACTCGGCAGGTAGTAGATCTTCTTCGGAGTCAAAGAAGGAGCCGACGGAGCACTGGGGGATGCTGGGTCTTCGATCTCCAGAGTGTTTTCCAAGGGCAAATCCAGGAGCTGTCGCGGCCTGATTGGCATGCCCACTGAAGCTGTTGATCTGCGGGTGGCATCCAGCATCACCTTCAGGGCCAACAGCTTTTCCACGACTCAACTCACGGATTGAGTTCAATCAGGAGACTGGAAAGTGACAGAGACACTTCAGCCAAGAGATGTAAGGAAACCTATCAGAAGACCAAACCTGGACTGCACGGGCCGCCCACTCAGAGGCCTTGAAAATGCCAGTCTTCTCCGAGACCGGCTCCTGCTTCTCGATCTTCCCATCCGCAAGATCCAGGAACTTCGCAAAGCATGCTTTCAGTGCCGCCTTCTCATTGGGATCTGAATAGGGACGGTCGTGTTTTGATTTTAATGCTGCTACTTGGAATCGGTTAGTAAATCGAGCCAGCAGGCATTAAGGCCATTAGGGCGAAAATCCCGGATTCCCCGCTCGGGGGGCCTTCGCCGCTCCTCCACTTTGCTGTTCAGCCACCTGTCCAGGGCCTCCATTCTTCAGTCCTGGGATCTAACGGGACAGGTGGCTTAGCGCCTGCTGGCTCGGCGTCTGGCGGTTCCGGCGCGCTTGCGGCTGGCGACTCGCGAATTGCGGTTCGTCGAGCCAGCAGGCATTAGTGAAAACGAGCGAGCAGGCACCTAAAGAAGGCCGTTATGTCTATTTAGAATCTTCCATTAGATTTTGTCCGTTAGATCCTTAATGCCTGCTGGCTCGTGCGTTTGCGGTTCGCGAGTCGCGGGTTGGAGTCGTGTCGAGCCAGCAGGTACTAACGAGCCAGCAGGCAGCAACTAGCCAGCAGGCAGTAAGGCCATTAGGGGCAAATTCTGTCGAGCCAGCAGGCAGGCCCCGGCCATTAGAGCAGATTTCGTGCCTGGCCAGCCCAGCTCTGATCGGATCCCCAATTCATTTGATGCAGCCAAGACTCTCTCTGGACAGACTCGCGAAGTCGCCGGTCTGAAATCCAAAGCACCTGAACGTTTTGGCTCCGGGAGCACCAGCACGAGCCGTCGTTGCACGATTCAAGTACCTCGGTTAGTGGACTGCATGTTCTTTTCAGTGACTCTGAAGGCAACATTCAAAAGGTTGGCAAGACATTCCGCACGGCTTCAGATAGGTGGCACACTCCTCATATCCGGCTGCTTGCCGATGGCATTCAGCACCCGAGCGGTGGGTGCCACACAACACTGTCGGCTGCCTCAAGTGGAAACATTGGCTCCCCACAAGGGTCCCGGTCTGCAGATAAATGCTTCCTGAAAACAAACCTTCCATTTGAAAGCCAGGCAACACCACCTGGTGGGCAAAGGCACCCATGGCGAAAACCACCTTTTCGCAACCAGTGGCATCCACCGCGGCCTCAGAAGCAAAGATGACCCAACTTGAAGAATCTGCTGCTGCGCTAGACAAGTCTTCTGCTTCGAGACAAGAGACGAGCGTCGATGGAGAATAAACATGCAGCTGCTTCGAGGCTGCTCCGTGACGGTATACATGCCACAGTTGAAGCACAGCTGCATCAGATTGGCCTCCCATTCCTCAGGTCGTATCTGCTAGTTGAGTCAAAAGCATGTGCATGCCAACTTATTCAGTCGAGATTCACAGGAGACATCACTTTGCCGAGGCTCTAGAAATCGTCGCCTCGGAGAAAGACAGACTTCTACGTCCAAGCACCAAGACTTATGAGGTGACGCTTGATAGGCAAAGCCGAGACTCCCAGACTCTGCGGCCACCCGCTTTGGCGATCCCCAGCGAAGCCCTCCTCTGCGAAGTCGCAGCACATAGCCCAAACCTCGGATATGCAAAAACTAACTATGTGCGGCTGAGTGTCTTCCTCTACGTGGAGCCAAGACAAACAAAAAACTGATGAAGACAAGCTGCAGGTCACTTTGTCCTGGTATGTGCTGTTGAGGCTCATCGTCCGAATGTGCAACTCAGACAAGAAGGTATATTGCTTGCTGGCAAACATGAAACAACTGAAACTCGAAGCGACACAGAAGAAACCAGGGCCAACTGCAGACAAGAAGCATTGTTGCATTCGTCGACCACCCGATCTTTGCCAATACCATCGACGCACAAGACAAATTCGAGGTTCCTCCGCGGGTGGTCCCAGGCCATATAGTCGTCGTCCAGGGCCCAAGCATGCTCCTAGCGGATCATCAGGTGCACCAACACCGGAAGCCCACGACACACCTGCGAGTGTTCCCGGTGACCAGAAATTGCCAAGACCCAAGCAACAAACTTGCCTCAAAGTCCATTATTACCTCACAGAGGACAAGGAGTTTAGCCAGCAGGCAAGAGTGAAGCAGCAGGCAATTCGAGCCAGCATGCAGAGCGAAAGCTTTGACCTATGAAATTTGTCAGTTTGTATCTGGGGGAGTAAGCTCTACGATTAATGCGCGGCTGGACTGGACCTTCAAAGAGGCTCCGGAGTAACTCTTCGTTCGTGGCACTCTTCATCTCGCTTTATATCCCCCAAATCCGAAAGGGCCAAAAGTCCCAAGCCCTGTAAGCCATCAACCCCGAACCTGCAAGCTGAACAGCCCCACCAAGCCTGAAATTGAGATTCCTAAATTGAGGGGTCTTAATTAAAAATCAGACTAGGGTCTTGGTGTATATTATCATATAGATATAGATGCAATACGCAACCCGGAAAAGTAATATTGGCAATTATTTAGGCTTCTGCAGTATGCTGTTAAGTCCCACTGCATGCAAGCCAGGTGATGGTTAGACGTGCTGCACCGCGTACCGGATGCCATCATGTCAAATGCTGGACCTACAAGCCCTAAAGCCCTACATGCCGAAACCCTGAAGGCCTGGAATCCGACACCCAAAACCCCAAACCCCGAAGCTCCTAAACCCAAAGCCTAAATTTAGGGTTTAGGGTTTAGGGTTTAGGGTTTAGGGTTTAGGGTTTAAGGGTTTAGGGTTTAGGGTTTAGGGTTTAAGGTTTAGGGTTTAGGTAAACCCTTAAACCCCAAATCCCAAACCCTAAACCCCCAAGCTCCAAAACCCGGAACCCTCCAGACTCTCTGGAACTCGGAACGGAGCCCTGAACCCGAAAACCCTGACACCCAAACTCAACAACCTAAACCCTAGGCCAGAAACCCTGCAGCTAGGAATTCTTTCGAGAATATCTATAGTAAACCACGTTCTAAAGCCCTGCAGGCATCATCCCCCAATTATCATATACTCTTCCAAAATAGTAACCTGCACAACTACTATCGTAAACCCGAGTACCTGATTATTGGGTCCTTTGGACCCTTAGGGTAAGCCCTCATCCTACTCGTGTGCCTTGTGCTTGGCCTCTTCGGTTTCTTGGAGAAGCTTCTCTTGCTCTGCTCTTGCCTCGAAGATGAACATTGCAAAGCCCACAAGCAAATTGAGGTTCAGGGCTTACCTTAAACCCTAAATGTCCTACCATTTTAGGGTTCCTTAGTATGACTTCCTTATATGAATCCTTAAAAAGGTAGGTTATTCAGGGCTAAGGTAGGGTTTAGGGAAATATTCATGGGGTCTTCGGGTTTGGATTTAGGGTGGAGAGATTGATCTGCAAATAGGTTCGCATCTTGGGGCCCGCCAGTTCTTCATCTAACCAGCGGATCCATCAACTCCCAGAGAATCCAGTGCCACGGCTTTGGGCTTAGCTGGGCCCTAAGGAGCCTACCTTTTTAGGGCCCCCTAAGATGATTTCTTTAAGTCCCTAAAAAGGTAGGTTGGGGTTAAGATAGGTTTTGGGGTTCAACATGACCTGCGCAACTGGCATCCGCCCTTTACGCTTCAGAAAGGACGGCGGAAGCCGACTGCAACACGTGATCATCTGCTGCCAGCACCCTTTTAACCCCAAAGCCCAAGTTAAGCTAAACTCCGAACTTTAGGAGGTGAACCTTCTTCTACCCGAACAACGAACAGTAAGTCCTACAGGTTTAAAGCCGAAATCTGTCCCCTGCGTTTTTGCTGTTTTACTGCTTTCAAAACATCAAGGCAGCGGATACAGATCGGCTTTTTTTAACAGAAAACTTTCGCACCAGCACTCACAACAGAATATCTTAGTTGTTTGCTGAAACCCATTACTTCGATATATGTGTGATATTCAAATGCACAGAGAAGCAGCAGAGAGAGTTCTTTTTTTGGGCGCACACATGTGTTCCCATGTTCTGTGTCGCTCACTCGACCCGAGAAGGCTTCACGATTTCGGTGAAAGCAGCGGTGGCGATGTTTCGCCGATTAAAATATTGGGGGTTCAGTGCCCTCAGAATTACCCACATTGTTTACTGGCTTATACTGGTACAGATTAGAGTCTATATCCACCACTATAGGATTTCACTGTTCTCATTCGCAACTTATGGTATCAATCTTAGTCGTATACTGTCTATAGTTTAGCTATAGCAGCTCTGTCATCAACATTCACACCTATGTAATTCACTGTGAAATCAATAGGTTGATGTTAAGCTACATAACCACGATAGAACTAGATCAGTTAGGACTACGTCATCTATCATATTAATGGTTCTACCAATATTAACAGGTGTGGTGCTTTACTAATTAAGGCTATTAGCAGATATGCACCTTTAATACAGTTGCATTTGATTCATATTCGGAGGTGATGCTATGTTCTATCAATATTTGATTTGGTTCTCTGGGAATTCAGGAGTCTATCCTTCCAGCATTTGGTAATCAATAGTTTAACTCTATAATCGGCGAATCCTAGCTATGAGGCTATGAGTTGTCTTTGTCTACTAGGCTAAGTTAGTTTGGGCACATCATTTGTTTACAATTAGTATGGAACAGTGATACAAGAGCTATAACTTTACAGATTAATACATTGGTTATATTTTCATTACCAACTAGTTCGCTAAGGTCATTTGGTTGGTATTCTACATATCTGGACAAGTAGTGAATGTCTACTGAAACTATTTTCCCAACTAATGCTATCTGTTACACGGTATCTTTCATATAGCCTGTTCACAATATGGCTCAACCGGTATTATACTAGGAAATTAGTGCTATTGGTATAGATGTTCATGACTCTAATTGTGTTGTTGCACTTTTTCGTTATGCCTTATGATTAGTACAACCAATGCTACTCTATCAGGACTATTATATGTCTTGTCAGGTGCAGTGTTAAAATGACTTACTAACACTAGATGAACAGCTATAGGTATTGGCATGAATGGTTTAGGTTAGCTGTGTGTAGTAATTGATACAAGTTAAGTTATCTAAGTTGTTCATGGTAGTTGTGTTCTAGTGATAATATGTGGAGGTTCACACCATTACATCTCATTTTTTGTAATGTTTAAGCCTAGTAGAGTACAAGACTCAGGAGATCCCTTAATGCAGTGGTTGGAAAAATACTAGTTCAGTTGGTTAGAGGTTGCACGCTAGTTTCATTCTTTATCACTACAGTCCTTTCAAACCAAGATAATTTAATAGGTATTGGGGAGGCCACCGGAAGCTCGTCATGAATCGCGACTGCTATGCAGATATGAGTCACCGGAAAATAGAACTAGGCTTGAGTACGGAACGCCACGAATCACAAACTGTATCGGCGTGAGTGCCCTCCTCGTTCACAAAACTCGCCATGGCAAGATGTGTTTTGCTATTTTGCGCTTTGACAAGGCCACAACCCTGCAGGGCAACGCGGCTTACAATAGCCATGGTTTGTGGTAGAAAACCAAAACCATAAAACCAAAAAAACAAAGCAAAAAAACAACAACAAATAATAACAACAACCAATTTTCTGAAAGTCTTATGGAATGTTATTATCCAGGACTATACACCAAGACTTTCTGAATATTGTTTTTTTTTGTTTTTTTTTTTTTTTTTTTTTGTGGTTTTGTTTTTTTTGGATTTATGGTTTTGGTTCTCTTGGTTTTGTTAGTACTGTTGTGTGTTTGTTCTTCTGGTCTTGGTTTGTTTGCTTTTTTGGGTTTGGGCTATTGTCATTGAGTGCAGTCTGTTGCTGTGGTTTTCATGAACGAAGGCAAAACAGCGAAAACGCATGGGCCAGTTTTCGGCCTCAAACCCTACAAACACACTGTAGACAAACTTCAAGCATCATGCTAGCCGCAAATGATTCACCCTAGGTCTCCGGTTACCTAAATAGCAGGCTACTACCCCCATATATAATATTTGTAATATGTAACCCAGTATCGCATGATTTAGAGAACTGGAGCTCTATAGGGTTACCTAACAAGAACGCAAGATTGAGAACTAAACAGACGAGACAAAAAACACACAGTCGCCCTACATTCAAAACACGTTAACATCGGGTTTATGGTTCAAGGTGAAAGTTCTGTGTCCCTGCGGCCATAACCCTTGGGGTCCAAGTGACTACTTATCAATGACTCTTCCAAAACAGTAACCTACACAACTACTATCCTAAACCCGAGTACCTGATTATTGGGTCCTTTGGACCCTTAGGGTACCCAAAGGCCCAAAGTATTTCTTTCTTGTGGTTCATATATAGAACCCTATAGGGTAATCCCAAAAAGGAACTACTGTGGGGCCTGTGGCTAACCCCTCATCCTACTCGTCTGCCTGGTGCTTGGCCTCTTCGGTTTCTTGGAGAAGCTTCTCTCGCTCTTCTCGGGCCTCGCATCCCAGATCAAGGATGAACAAGCCCATACTTACGGTGGTTTAGGGCTAATATCTGAGAGGTTGATACAAAATCTGCCTCCTTAAACCTACAAATTACTTGAGGCCTTTGAGTGCAAAACCCACAAGGACTTGATTCGATGACTTCGCTTCGGCCGACAAAGCTTCGGCTCGTGAAACATGCCTTGCTTCGTTCACATCTCCGAAGAATAAAAGAAGTGCGCCTTGTAGGGGTTTAGGGTTTTGATTCTTGGTGACTGATGTGGGAGCTTCCGAAAGTTTGGGGTACCTTCTTTTGGGGGGGGGCCCTTATAATAAGGATCCTACTATTTATGGTGCCAGATTCGGGTCCCCTATTTTCGGAAGCCCCCATGTGATGTTTAGGGCCCCGGAGGGTCTTGGAGTCTAGGACGGTGAAACGTTTAGGGATGTTAAGGGTATCTAGGAGCTTCAATCAACTCGGGCTTATTGCTCAAAGGTCGCACTATTCAGGATCCTAAGAATTTAGAGTACTACATTAGGGTTCCAAACTGTCTGCTACAGCTCAGAGTCTGGGGCTTAGGGGTTAGGGCGTTCTGTTGGTGGCATATCCAAAGACTCGTTGACAACGCACGTCCCAAAGCCGGACACAAACCGGGTTCGAATGCCGAACAGGCCTTCAGCTTTGCTTCTTCGGCTTCTTCTGCTGCCTTCTGTTGTTCTGACAAAGCCTTGCAGACCGAGCAACAGTCTAATTGGGTTTGAAACAGTTGCCACATGGAAGCCTGCTAAATGCCAGATGCCAAGGGCGGACAACCGAAACTTATACCTCTCAGCTTAGGCAAAAACATCAACGGTACGGTCTCATCTGAAGGGAATGACAATGAGCAGGCAATACCGGCACAGATCATGCGCAAATTCAACAACTGCCTACAGCTGATTTTCAGAAATGGCCTTCAACTTTGCTTCCTCCGCTTCCTCAGCAGCTTTCTGTTGCTCCGCAATGGCCTCCAACGAACATGAAGCAAAACACGACTCCTTCAATCAATCAATCAATCAATCAATCAATCTAGAGTCTGCACAATATTACCTGGGGAAGCTTGCAACAAACCCCAAACCCTAACACCAGGGCGGGGGCCGCCTTCTGCTTGGCCTCTTCAGCCTCTTGGAGGAACCTCTCCTGCTCTTCGCGTGCCTGGGAGCCAGCGCAGAGAGGACGTGAACTGCTGCGATACAGCAAATCAAAGGGGAAAAGGAGGGACCGTAATGGGGACCCTTACCCTATGATGGGCCATACAAGGGGTATATAATAGCTACATATTAAGGGTATATACCTAGGGGTCCTTATTAAGGGCCCCTCCTTTTCCCCTTGGAGCAATAGTTTCCTCTGGAAGGCCTGTACAATGTCCCTGAGGGTCCAAGTACCTAATCATCATATACTCTCCCAAATAGTAACCTACATAACTACCATCCTAAAACCGAGCACGTAATTATTGGGTCCTTTGGACCCTGGGGGATGTCTTTTTGCGCTGACCTGACTACTGAGGCATGGACTGTTACCAACGCACTCGACAACCCATACACCCGAAGAGACAACATCTTCTCGAGAGACTACAACATCAGAACAAACCTCTCCGAGTCAAAACAACGGGTGCTAACACCGTGCAAACACGCCTTCAGCTTGGCTTCTTCAGCTTCTTCCGCTGCCTTCTGCTGTTCGGCCATGGCCTGGCAGAGCGGAGATCTATCAAGCACTGGTCACATGTGGCCAGCGGAAAGCCAACAGCTGTTTTTTGGAAGTGTAAGAAACACCCTAATTAGTTTTCAAGGTTTTTGTCTTGAGGCCGTTTAAGTCATCGACTTCACTAATTTCGGCATGCAGACAGATGTTCACTTGCATAAACGGCTCCTCCCAGCTGAAGATCAATCTGGCCTTCAACTTTGCCTCCTCCGCTTCTTCCGCGGCCTTTTGTTGTTCCGCCAGGGCCTCCAGCAAACATCAAACGAAAACTTGCCCTCCGCAGCAGCTTTGCTTGCGAAAGGTTGGCATCCGCCTTCTGCTTGGCCTCTTCGGCCTCTCGGAAAAACCTCTCCTGCTCCTCGCGTGCCTAGCAGGACACAGGTAGGTTGGTCGATCTTTATGTCAAGCACTTGATGCCTCCTACGCCCGACGATACGAAGAACAGGTGTTGACACCGAGGAAACGCCTTCAGCTTGGCTTCCTCGGCTTCTTCTGCTGCCTTCTGCTGTTCAGCCAAGGCCTTGCAGAGCGGACAAAACTACCAAACATGCATCTATTGCGGCCTAGCGGAAGCCAACAGCTGCCATGTGAGGGTGTGTGAAGCACCCAAGTTTTCAAACTGCTGGAGGCCGAAAGAACGAGAAACCTCACTTCGAGCATCAGGCCAGCTATGTTGAGCCCGGTATGATCTGGTGAGTCTCGCAACGTGACGTGTTCAGGGAAAAGTCTGCCGCTGGCTCTGCGCATGACTCTCGATACTGCGCATGTTTTTCGGCAGGAAAGTTTGTTTGGCTCGCTTCTGTCCGAGATCCCTCTTTACGCAACACCAGAGTTGCATCTGCACATGAACATGAGGCGTCAGGCGATTGGGGCGGGGACCCTGCCAAGCAAAGCCTGGGCAAAGCCTTCAGCGCTGAAGTTCAACCCTAAAACCCAACCCCTAAACCGCTAAACTCTAAACCCCTAAACCCTAAACCCCTCAACCCTAAACCCCTACACCCTAAACCCCTAATCCCCCAAAACCCTAAACCAAACCAAGTGGCCTTCAACTTCGCCTCTTCCGCTTCTTCAGCGGCCTTTTGCTGCTCTGCCAGGGCCTCAATGGGACGGGCGGGAACATAATGTAAGGACCCCTTAACTAAGGGATATACCTTAAAGTTAACTTAAAGTATAGTATTATGGCCTCTATAATGTAAGAGTATATTGCATAAGGGTTCCTTTGAAGGGACTATAAGCGTATCATAACGGGTTTTCAAGGGTTTGATGTAGGAACCTGATTGAGCAACCCTGGGACTATGTGAGGGTTCCTTTAAAGGGATCTGTAAGGGTTACTATATGGGATCTATATAAGGGTACTACATTATCTTAGTTAAGGAGGGTACCTTAAAGTATAATATATTGGCCTCTATAATGTAAGGGTATATTATTAAATAAGGGTTAGCGTAGGAACCTGATTTAGAAACCCTGGGCCTACACCCCCCCAACACAGTAGGATTCATAAGGAACCCTAACAAAGGCCCAAGGTTTCTAAATGAGGTTCTTACATTACAGGAAGTCAATCGGTCCAATCCAACTAAAACCTAAATCCCGAATGCCCTCAACCCTGCACTGCAAAAACCCAAAACACCCAAAAACCATAAACCTTGCAACAATCAGGTGGGCCACCTTCTGCTTGGCCTCTTCGGCCTCTCGAAGGAACCTTTCTTGCTCTTCGCGCGCCTCGCTCAAATCCTACTAAGTACCTACTATGCTGGTACGTGGACCCGGTGGGACTGCATGACGTCATCTGTTGCGATGTCGTGAGTGTGTCCTATGCATGGCATTTAGCAATTTAGCATGTAGCAGTCTTAGCAACTATGTAGGTCAATTACTTGCATGTTGCAACATGACCTCTCGGCTAGCCAAGCTTGGGCTCTCACCTGTTCCCTACACAACCCCACTCCGCCTCGTCTTCAATATACCGGGGCTTCAAAACCCAAGCACGAGCATCCAGAACATGAGATTCGCCTTTAGCTTGGCTTCTTCGGCCTCTTCTGCAGCCTTCTGCTGTTCGCCCAGAGCCTTGCAAAGCGAATCGCTGCACAAATGATCACGTGCGGACTACCGAGAGCTAACGAAGGCTGTCTGGAAGTCTGCATAACAGCCCAGTTATCAGGAGTATTGTAGCTGACATTGGAGTCCTCGCGAAAAGACTGGCGACATCTGTGCCAAAATTCGCTGATATTCAAACGTTCAGAAGCGGCCTTCAACTTTGCCTCTTCTGCTTCTTCAGCGGCCTTTTGTTGTTCTGCCAGAGCCTCCAACGACCATCAAACAAAAACTCGTGCACACGAACTGGCATCCTAGCGGTTTTGCTTTCAACATGTCGGGATCCGCCTTCTGTTTGGCCTCTTCGGCCTCTTGGAGGAACCTTTCTTGCTCCGCACGCGCCTTGCGCCGGCACTGGGAAAAAGCCATTTGCTGCGACACGTAGCAACATGAGGCATGGGCTCTTTCCTACGCACACCCGGTGACACAGCAAACGAAGCGACATCTTCCGGCTGTCGACATCTTAGAGGGGTGAGGCAGTATGAAACAAACTCACACATCTGAAATCACGGAATGGAAACCCGTGATGCAACAACCGGTGCAGACATGGTCAGACACGCCTTGAGCTTGGCCTCTTCAGCTTCTTCTGCTGCCTTCTGCTGTTCGGCCAAAGCCTTGCAAAGCCATAACAGCAAAAGATGCATCCCTGTGGCCTACCGAAAGGTAACCGGTGCCAGTCATCGCATGACAGCCGGCGTCGCAAAAAGCAATGCTTGTGCATGGCTTTTACATTTAGCAACAAACAACTCAGTTGGTCGATGTTTCGGCGTTTGCAGCGCGATGTCTCGGCTGTTGATGCAGTTGCTGCAACGTACACTGGACCTAGACAGACAACAATGCACTCAACGAGCGAACGACACAGTTGCATGGAGTCTACATAGCCTGAGAAGTCTAAAGCAACCTCTTAGAGCCTAAACGACAGGTGTTACACCGTCAGACGCACCTTCAGCTTGGCTTCTTCGGCTTCTTCTGCCGCCTTCTTTTGTTCGGCCAAAGCCTGACCGAGCGGACAACAGCTAACAGTCATTGTGGCCTACCCAAAGCCAATCGGTGCCGGCTGAAAGTCTGTAAAACAGCCCAGTTGTGGAAACTACCGCGGCAGAAAGCAGGCAAAGATCACCCTTTGGGATTCGAGTGAAACACTCTACTGCGCGCAAACGCTCCATCTGTTCGCAAAGTACAGGTTCTAGGGGCCAGTTGACAGGACGGAGAACTTTGAACGAGCATGTACAGGAGCAGTCCGCAAAAGGCCTTCAACTTTGCATCCTCTGCTGCTTCTGCGGCTTTCTGTTGCTCTGCCAGGGCCTCCAGCGGACATCGGACAAGGCGACCGAGAATCTGCGCACGGCAGCTTCCGCTTAGATCCCTTATAGTAACCCTTATAGATCCCTTAATGGATCCCGTCTTAAGCTTTAACCCCAAATGCAAAATGTCGGCATCCGCCTTCTGCTTGGCCTCTTCGGCCTCTCGGAGGAACCTTTCCTGCTCTTCGCGCACCTGGAGCCATCGCATTGAGGACTGGATCTGCTCCGATGCCGTGAGCGTGTCGTATGCCGTATGCATGGCAGTCAGCATTTAGCAGTCTTAGCAGCTAGGTTGGTGTATATCTTGCCTTTTGCAACATGACCTCTCAACTCTCGGCTCATCAGGCATGGGCTGTTGCCATTGCACTAGGTACTATACCCGACCCCACCACACCTTCAGCGGAAACAACACTGTGAATCAACTTCCCACCGTCCACCTATAGTATCCATTGTAGTTCCTTTTTTCGGTCAACCAATTTTATGGTTGGGATTCCTATAATATATTTTTGGGTTAACCAAAAAGGAACTACAATGGAGACTCTAGGCAAACCACAAGTGTTGAGACGATGAGACTGGCCTTGAGCTTGGCTTCTTCGGCTTCTTCTGCCGCCTTCTGCTGTTCGGCCAGAGCCTTGCAAAGGGAACAACTGCAAAAGATGGTCACATGCGGTCTACCGAGGGTCTGCGAAGGCGGTCTAGAAGTCTGCGGAACAGGCCAGTTGTCGAGACTCTTGTAGCAGACAGTAGACTACTTGACAAGAGAACGCACGAGTCTGCGCAAAGTCACGTCGTTCAATTTCGTTCAGAAGCGGCCTTCAACTTTGCCTCTTCTGCTTCTTCAGCGGCCTTTTGTTCTGCCAGAGCCTCCAACGACCATCAAACAAAAACTCGTGCAAGCGAACTAGCATCCCAGCCGTTTTGCTTTCACCATATCGGGATCCGCCTTCTGTTTGGCCTCTTCGGCCTCTTGGAGGAACCTTTCTTGCTCTGCACGTGCCTTGATCCGGCACTGGGAAGACGGCATTTGCTGCGATACGGCGATACAGTGTGAGTTTCACTAGATGACCTCTAGCAACCTTAGCAGAGACAGAAACGTGGGTGTTGCAACATGAGCTTCGGGCTATAGTGACATGATGCATGAGATGTTTCCTATATGCAAACCCGATGACGCAGCGGACGAAGCAACATCTTCAAGGCAGTCTGAAACAAACTCAAACATGTGGGATATTGAAAAGGATACGCGCGATGCAACAACCGGTGTTGACATGGTCAGACACGCCTTGAGCTTGGCCTCTTCAGCTTCTTCCGCTGCCTTCTGCTGTTCGGCCAACGCCTTGCAAAGCGACAACAGGAAAAGATGCACAAAAAGCAATGCTTGTGCATGGCTTTTACATTTAACAAGAAACCACTCAGTTGGTCGGCGGCGGCCGGCTTGGCGTTTGCAGTGTGATGTCACTGCTGTTGCAGCACTTGCTGCTACCTACACTGGACCTACATACCTGACGATGCACTCAACGAATCAACGAAACAACAGTTGCATGGAGTCTACATAGTCCGAGAAGTCTGAAACAACCTCCCCGAGTCTAAACGACAGTCAAACACCGCAAGACACGCCTTCAGCTTGGCTTCTTCGGCCTCTTCTGCCGCCTTCTGCTGTTCGGCCAAAGCCTGTCAGAGCGGACAACAACTAATCGTCACTGTGGCCTACCCAAAGCCCATCGGCGCCGGAGGAACGTCTGTGAAACAGCACAGCTCTCTGAAACCTCAGAGATCACTCACCCCGCTGGGATTCGAGTGAATCACTCGACTGCGTGCAAACGCTCATCTGCACGCAAAGTACAGGTTTTACAATGCGATTGGAAGCACGGAGAACTTTGAACGAGCATGTACAGGAACAGTCCATAAAAGGCCTTCAACTTTGCCTCCTCTGCTGCTTCTGTGGCTTGCTGTTGCTCCGCCAGGGCCTCAAACAGACACCGGACAAGGCGACTGAGAATTTGCGCACGGCAGCTTGCAAAGGTCGGGATCCGCCTTCTGCTTGGCCTCTTCGGCCTCTCGGAGGAACCTTTCTTGCTCTTCTCGCGCCTGGAGCCACTGCATGGGGGACTGGATCTGCTCCGATGCCGTGAGCGTGTCGTATGCCGTATGCATGGCAGTCAGCATTTAGCAGCTTTAGCAACAAGGTTGGTCGACAACTTGCCTTTTGCAGCATGACCTTTCGTCTCATCAGACATGGGCTGGTGCATATACATAAATCATCTTCCTGCAATCTATTGCCCACGTGTTGAGACCATGGGACTCGCCTTTAGCTTGGCTTCTTCGGCTTCCTCTGCCGCCTTCTGCTGTTCGGCAAGAGCCTTCCAAAGCAAACAACTGCTGAAAGACACCTGCGGCCTACCGGCCGAGAGCCAAGGAACGCCGTCTGGAAGTCTGCAGACGGGCCAGTTGTCAAGAATCTTGCAGCTGACATCAGACAACTTATAAGAGAACACACTAGCGACGTCTGCGCGAAGTCACATCCACAATTCGAAATCGTTCAGAAGCCGCCTTCAACTTTGCCTCTTCTGCTTCTTCAGCTGCCTTTTGTTGTTCTGCCAGAGCCTCCAACGACCATCAAACAAAACTCGTGCAAACGAACTAGCATCCCAGCCGTTTTGCTTTCACCATATCGGGATCCGCCTTCTGTTTGGCCTCTTCGGCCTCTTGGAGAAACCTTTCTTGCTCTGCGCGCGCCTTGAGCCGGCACTGGGAAGACGGCATTTGCTGCGATACCGCGATATAGTGTGAGTTGCTCTAAATGACCTTTAGCATGTTTAGCAGAGACAGATTCGTTGGTGTTGCAACATGAACGTCCGGCTATACTATAGTGACATGATGCATGGGCTGTTTCATATACACTCCTGGTGACGCAGCCGACGCAACAACTGCTTCATGGAAGTGCGAAATAAACTCAAACGTTTGGAATCAGGGAAACGATGCGCGAGATGCAACAACTGGATGTAACTTCGTCAGACACGCCTTGAGCTTGGCCTCTTCAGCTTCGTCTGCTGCCTTCTGCTGTTCGGCCAAAGCCTTGCGAAAAGACAGCAGCGAAAGATGCATCCTTGTGGCCTACCGAACGACAGCTAAGTAGGTCGATGTTTTGGCATTTGCAGTGTGATTTCTCGGGTGTTGGATTGGTGCGTCTGAATCTACCGTCTACACAACAGGTGTTACTTGGAGGTTCATGGGTAGTTACAAGTAGGGTTATAAGTATGGTAACTATACTTATAATTCATATTAGGGGACTTATAATAACCCTACTTATAACTGCTACACATGAACCTCCAAGTACACCGTGAAACCCCTAAACCCCTAAACCCTAAATCCCTAAACCCTATTAAAGCACGAGGATTGAGAACCGCCGGGATCGCCTTCAGCTTCGCTTCTTCGGCTTCTTCCGCCGCCTTCTGCTGCTCTGCTAAAGCCTGTCAGAGCGACAGCTAACAGTCACAGCTTAGAGGTTCATGGTGCTATAGGGTTCTTTCAGGGTACTATAGGGTTCTACAATAGGGCTCCCTTTAAGGGTCTAGGGTTTAGGGTCTAATCGAAGGAACATGGTACTTAGTAGCTAGGGTTATAAATAACGTAACTATACTCATAATTGGTTATATCCCCAGTTAAGGTACTTATAACTCTACTTACTAAGTCCCATGAGCCTCCAAGTGGGGCCTATCCAAAGCCAATCGGTGCTAGCTCACAGGCAAGACAACCCCGCCAGTATTCAAGTGAACAACTGTGCTGCATGCAGACTTTCATCTGCACGGAATGTACGGGACATCCAGGCGGGGGCGTGGCACGCGCTGAACTGTAAACGAGCACGTGCAGAAAGTGGCCTTCAACTTTGCCTCCTCTGCTTCTTCTGTGGCTTTTTGTTGCTCTGCCAGGGCCTCCAATGCACGTCAGGAAAGGAGACTGACTTGCAGCGCCTCGCAGACGATCGGGATCCGCCTTCTGCTTGGCCTCTTCGGCCTCTCGGAGGAACCTTTCTTGCTCTTCGCGCGCCTTGAGCCACTTCATGCGAAATCTGCTAAATCTGGTGCGATGCTGTGTGTGTGTGTGTGCCCTAGCCTCGTGTGTCGCATGCATGGCATTTAGCATGTTGCAGCCTTAGCCACTATCGGGTGCGCGATAACTTGCCTTTTGCAACATTACTTCTAGAACTCTAGGATCATCAGGCATGGGCTGCTACGTACCCCATGGATGATACACGCCACTCCACCACGTCTTCAACATCCCAGAGTCTAACCCTAAACCCTAAACCCCTAAAAAAGCACGAGGTTTGGGAACCGCCGGGATCGCCTTCAGCTTCGCTTCTTCGGCTTCTTCCGCCGCCTTCTGCTGTTCGGCCAGTGCCTTGCCAGGCGAACCCATGGCTTTCGAAAAGCGGCCAATTCTGAGGTCTGGAGAACAGCCCAGTTGTCACAAATATTGTAGCTGAATTCAGTACAATTTCATAAGATGACGCACTGCAAAGTGTCGTCGGGTTTTCAAAAAACCTCTGCAACTCACGTTCAGAAGCGGCCTTTAACTTTGCTTCCTCCGCCTCTTCGGCGGCTTTTTGTTGCTCCGCCAAGGCCTCCAACGAACATCAAACCCAAACTCGCGTAAATGAGGCAGCAGGCATGCCAGCAACTTCGCCAGGATACGCCTTCTGCTTGGCCTCTTCGGCCTCTTGGAGGAACCTTTGTTGCTCTGCGCGCGCCTGAGCCGACGCATGCAACCATGTCCAGCTAATTCAGTTGATGAATGCCTTGTTTTTCGCTACGAATTATCGAAGCAAAGGCTGTAATCTATGAAGTCGACGAGAGTTTAAACATCTACACCAGGCTCTCCGAGTCCAAAAGTCCTTGACACCGTGTGACGCGCCTTGAGCTTGGCTTCTTCGGCTTCTTCGGCTGCCTTCTGCTGCTCTGCCAAAGCCTTGCAGACCACGCCACTTTTAAGCATGCATCTTCGCAGCAAGTGAGTGGTATCAGACAATTAAGGCAAACTCAGCCATCTACGCTGTACCATGCACAAAGCTGACAGATGCATTATAGGATCCCAAGCACAAATAGGGTTAACACAGAAAATGAACTACAATGGAGACTATTCGCAGAATCCCAGAGCCTGAACCCAAAGCCCGAAAGAACCCTCATAGACCCTTTTTAGGTCCCCTATAGGTCCGTTCAAGAACCCGACTATAGGTACATTCAACATTTCAAGGCCTGAGGCCAAGACCGTCCAAAGAATCCCGCGCTGACAAAATTAAAGAACATATCGAAACGCAGCAGTCAGCATCAACCCTTAGCCCCTAATGCCCTACCACCCTGAAACCTTAATAATCCATGCAAGCTTCTAAACATAGAACCCATGAAAAGCGCAGAAGCGGCCTTCAACTTTGCCTCCTCTGCTTCTTGGGCGGCCTTTTGTCGTTCCGCCAGAGCCTGCAACGACCATCAAGCAAAAAAATGTACAAGCAAGCTGGCATTCAACCGGTTTTGCTTTCAATATGCCGGGATCCGCCTTCTGCTTGGCCTCTTCGGCCTCTTGGAGGAACTTTTCTTGCTCTGCGCGAGCCTGGAAGATGGGATATGTTACGGCTCAGTATGCGACGTCAAAAACATGACTTCGGCTGAAACGAAAACTTTGGTAGAGCTCTCGGCTGGTGACTAGAAACCTGGGCTGTGTCCTACGCAAGCGATCAAACAAACGATACAACATCTCCATGGATGTATAGAACTGAAGGAACCAAATTTCAACAACGGGTGTTGCACCGTGACACACGCCTTCAGCTTGGCCTCTTCGGCTTCTTCTGCCGCCTTCTGCTGTTGGGCCAGAGCCTTGCACAGCGCCAACTGCGAAAAATGCATCCGTGTGGGCTACCCAAAGGCGCCAAAGTAGTTCCTTTTTAGGGTTCATATTTAGAAATCTATAAGGTAATCCCAAAAAGGAACTGCTGTGGGCCTATGGGTACCCAACGCCAACCGGTGCCGGCCATGGTATTAACGACTGTAAAAGCAGTCTGCAGTGCAACAAGCGAAGGCTGTTTTTCCTGAATGGCTTTAACGTTTCGTTTGTCTAGGAGACGACATCCCAACTGAGCTTAAGGCTTAAGGATGGTTTTGGAGTGCGCAGCATGACCTATCAGCTATTGCAAAGGCACTTGCTGCTTCCCACACACCCGACGATGAACCTCCCCGAGTCCTCTAAAGCACAAATGCCAAGTGCGCCGAGACCGTGAGACGCGCCTTGAGCTTGGCTTCTTCGGCCTGCTCTGCCGCCTTCTGCTGTTCGGCCAAAGCCTTGCTGAGCGGACAACTACCAAAACCTGCGTCACATGTGGCCTACCCAGAGCCAACCGGTGCCCGAATGAAGCTTGTGAAACAGTCCAGCTGTGAAGGCCATTGAGCTGAAAGCTGTTTGTGTGGTAGAGCGAGCATCTCTATGGAACCCTAAATCCCTAAACCCTAAACCGTTTTCAATTGCACGGAGTGCATCAGCAATAGGGGTCGCAGGGAGCGCACCTCTGCAAACGGAGCCCTTCCTTTAGTCTCCGTTGTAGCTCTTTTTTCTTGGTTAACCTTCGTTTATGGTTAGGACCCTATACCATAAATCTTGGTTAACACAAAAAAAAGGAACTACAAAGGAGACTTATGGGTACATGAACGGTCCGGAGATGGCCAAACGAACCCCTAAACCCTAAACCCGAAAAGATTCTAAAACCCTACTTCTAGTCTCCATTGTAGTTCCTTTTTTTGGTTAACCAGTTTTATGGTTAGGATCCTATAATATTTTGGTTAACCAAAAAAAGGAACTACAATGGAGACTAGAGGTAAACCCTTAAACCCGAAACCAAACGAAATGGCCTTTGACTTTGCCTCCTCTGCTTCTTCCGTGGCTTTTTGCTGCTCCGCCAAGGCCTTCCAACGGACATCCGGCAAGAAGTCGTGAAACCAGTCGGTTTAGGGAAGTTTAGGGCTCATAGGGTTTAGGGCTTCGAGCTAATATCTGCCCAGCAAAACCCCAAAAAACCCAAACAACTTGCGACTGGTGGGGATCGGCCTTCTTCTTGGCCTCTTCGGCCTCTTGGAGGAACCTTTCTTGTTCTGCGAGAGCCTTGAGCCGGCTTGTGGAACATGGGTCTGCTGTGATATAGGGTTTAGGGGTTTCCCTGTAGGCTCATACCCCTTTTTTCAGGGTCTCTACTTTTCTATGCAACAGATCCAAACCATAAAGCTACGTATCTGAAAGAAGGGTCGGGTATGAGCCTGTAGGTATGCATAGCCCTTAGCTAGGCTTGTCCTTGTTTCTTCTGACTATGGCAATATGACTTCTCTGCTCAAGAGGCATGGGATTTGGCCTCCGCGCTCGACGATGGACCGAACGAAACTTCATCTTCGTGAGAAGTCTGAGACGCCAGGGTTTGGGGTTAAAGCCCTAAACCCCAATCCCTAAACCCCAAACCCTAAATCCTAACCCTAAACCCCAAACCCCAAACCCTCAATCCCAAACCCCAAAACCCTAAACCCCAAACCCTAAACCCTAAACCCCCAAACCTTAAACCCCAAACCCTAAACCCCAAACCCTTACCCCCCAAGCCCTACAGCCCCAAAGAGGCCAAACTGGCCTTGATCTTGGCTTCCTCGGCTTCCTCCGCAGCCTTCTTTTGCTCAGCCAAGGCCTTGCAGCCCGAGTTTTGTCTGTTGTCTGGTTCTTGATTATTGGGCTTTAAGGGGTTTGTCTTTAGGGGCGGGGGTTTAGATCATGGTTGAGTGTATGTTTGATATATTGATGGGAGGGAGCGGGGCATCAAGCTTGTCGGGGCCTTTACTTCTGTCAAAGGTATTTATAGGTATTTATACGGATTATAGCGGGATGCCTGCAATAAACATCCAACACAGTGTTGGAACTTTAGGTTTTTTGATGTTGTGAACTGGGCTTAGCTGCGAGATGCTTGGCAACACCCATTAACCCTAAACCCTAAACCGGGGCGGACTTGCCTTCTTCCTGGCCTCTTCGGCCTCTTGGAGGAACTTCTCATGCTCTTCACGAGCCTCCCGAGGTGGCTTAGGGTTTAGGGTTTAAGGCTTTTCCGCTTGTCTCTAAAACAAAGGTGCCCGTGTTAGTCAGAAGCAGGAATCATGCCTCCCATGACCAGAACAAGCTTCCTGCCTCTAAACCGTAAACCCTAAACCTTCGTAAACTAGAGGGCCCAAAGTGCTTAAGCCCTGAACCCGAAACCCTAAAGCTCTAACCTCCAGAACCTCCCCTAAACCCCTAAACCCCTCAAAACCCTCAAGCACCAACCTCCGATTCGAGCCCTTGATACCCTAAACCCAGATAAAAATCATGAACTCCAAACTCATTAGTCTAGTTCCCACTACGGAAACCGCACTAGGAACCCGTAACCAAATGCACAGATAATGTAGGAACCTGATTAAGAAACTCTGGGCCCATAATCCCCAAAATACTAGGTGTCCTATATAAGGAGCCCTAATAAAGGCCCCGGGATTCTTAATCAGGTTCCTACACTATTATAATACCCTTATCATAGATCCATTATAGGATCCCTTATAGACCCCTTTAAAGGAGCCCTAATAAAGGCCCAGGGATTCTTAATCAGGTTCCTACTTTATCAGAATTGCGCCTTCTGCTTCGCCTCAGCGGCTTCGCGCAAGTACTGCTCTTGCTCTTCGCGAGCCTGCTAGGGTTCAGGATTTAGGGTTTAGGGTTTAGGGTTCAGGGTGCAGGGTTTAGGGTTCAGGGTTCAAGGTTTAGGGTTTAGGGTTCAGGGTTTAGGGTTTAGGGCTCAGGGTTTAGGGTTCAGGGTTTAGGGTTGAGGGATACGGTTTAGCGCTCCACCGTATGAGTCAGAAATAATGTTGCTGCTTGTTGGCCTTGTTGCTTCTTATTAATTAAGACTCCTTAACTTGTTTATAGGGCAAGGTTCTACCGTGTTTCATCGGGAATATATACTGTTTTATGTCAGCCAGTTGCAAGCAGAGAACCCCGGTGTGGCTGTGGATTGTTGGCAGTTTCGGGTGGTTGGACCCTTAACCCTGAACCCTAAACCCCAATCCCTAAACCTTAAACCCCAAACCCTAAACCCTAAACCCCAATCCCTAAACCTTAAACCCTAAACCCCAATCCCTAAACCTTAAACCCTAAACCCTGAACCCTGAATCCTGAGCTAAGAGCCCAAAGCCTTGTACCCAGGGGAGGCTGCACTGGAGCCACTTCTGAAGATGTACAATCCCAAGGGGTCCTAGGTACTGGGTGGGATATGTCTCCAGCCAACTCATACAAGTAGTTCCTAATATAGATACATTCTAGTATACAGGAAACTTGGACCGTTTTGTAAATTGCAAGACGAAAACGAATGTGAACAGAGCTGTGAACATGCAAGGAAGAAGAAATGTATGTATGTCCATGGGTAATGTCTGTGTGCAGGTCTGTCTGCCTGTCTGCCTTCCTGCCTGTCTCTCTGTCTGTCCGTCTGTATGTGTATATGTATGTATGAATGAAGGTGTTCATCCATGTATCTGTCTGTGCCTATGTCATGCATGCCTACCTGCCTTGCCTAGCTAACGGCTGCCTACCTACCTACCTACCTACCCACCTACCTACGACTGTGCGAGCTTTCTATGACCAAGCTGGCATCGCTACCTACCTGGCTGCTACCCCCTCTCCAAATACCCACCTGCCTAGACCGCTGCACCCTCAACCCTCACCGGTCAACCCGGCATGTGTGCCGTCAATCCCCTTCCAGCCCAAATGAGTTCATTTCATGCACTCGCACCCTGCAGTCACAACACTTACAAGTTGTTCGGACTTGGCGTCCACTTCACGTGCCCTTTTTCGAGTCAACTCAGTGAACCCTGATCTTAAACCGCTTTGTCAAGTCAGACAACTTTCTGAGCATCTTATAAAAGTCTACGTTCAAGTCTTAACAAGTCCCTCAAAAAGAAAACCCTGTAAACCATCCTGAACCCTAAAACCCCGCTAAACCCTGTAAACCCAAATCAAGCCATGGGTTCGAAGTCAGGAATTCATTTCGAGGCCTCAAAAGGCGGGATGAAGGTGGGTAGGATTAAGGATCCCTTATATAAGGACTCTTATGATTTTGGGATTACCCCAACTACCTCAACCCTAAACCCTCAACCTCCATCCCGCCCTTGGAGGCCCTGGGGATTGGGGATCCCTTAAAGTCCATATTTTGGGGCAATACCCCAAGGTGGGAGCCCTCTGATTTAATTTACATGCTCCGCCAGCCTTGCGCTTCGCTTCCTCGGCTTTCTCTGCAGCTTCCTGCTGCTCTTCAAGAGCCTGCCCAGAGAACCCAAAACCCCTTAATTAAGGTATATACCTTGAATACCAGGGGCCTTAATATTCTGATTTAAGGTATACGGTATAATCCTTAATTAAGGGGTATTGGGATCTCTGGGTGTTTAAGGAGATTATTAGGGTTTATGGGGTTTACCTTAGCCCTAAATATCCTACCTTTTTAGCGGGTTCCTTATTATGATTTCCTTATATGGGTCCCGAAAAGGTAAGATATTCAGGGTTAAGGTAGGGTGTATGGAGCTTATAGGGTTATAGGGCTTAGGGCTGTCCATATCAAAGAGCAGCTTAAGGTTTTAGGGTTGGGGGTCTTTGGACCCAAATAGCTTTCGGGTTAAGGGTACAGGGCGTTTGGGTTTCGTGGGTTTAGGGCTAGGGTTTAGGGTTTAGGGCTTCGAGAAAAAACAAGGTACTCCACGAAGTATAAACGAATTTAAGATTGGGTGGGGTCTAAAGGACCATGCTGCGAAACCCTAAACCCTAAAACCGTAAACCTAAACCCCAGTCGAAGCCACGGGTGCCCGAAAACCCTGAACCCCAAGCCTGGGTTTATGTAGGGGTTTAGGTTCCAGGGCCGCCCCACACTCAAGGCCCGAGAGCCGTACGGGCTAGTGCTTTAAGGCAAGAGGGATCTACCGCGGCCATCTGCTTTGAGGGCCATGGCCGTGATTTGGACTATACCTTCAGTTCTTTTACGTCAGATACAGCACTGATAGTGCTGCATCCAAAGTAGCAATCTCAGTAAAGAACCGACAATCATATACTACAACAAACTTAGCACCTTATGAACAATCAGTTATGGGAGATGGTAGTTTGCAGTTCTCACCCCCAGGCCTTGCTACCCCTACCGTAGTGGGATTTCAAGTGGCCAAACACCCGAAGCCTCAAAACCCTAAACCCTAAACCCTAAACCCTAAACCCTAAACCCTAAACCGGGCTAGGCTTCCGAAGCCGAAGCTTCAGGGCTAGAAAACATGATATCCTATACTAGGATGCCCAGTAACCTGGGAATACAAAAGTAAGGAAACTAGGACTACAAAAAGGGAATACGGGCACTACCGGGCATCCTAGTATACAGATGTATATATATATATATATATATATATATATATATATATATATTTATGTATGTGTATATATATATATATATGTATGTATGTATGTATGTATGTATGTATGTATGTATGTATGTATGTATAGGCATCATGAACTTTAAGATACTACCCATAGTCTCCTGTGTAGCTCCTTTTGCGGCTAACCAACTTTATGGTCAGGACCCCATGCTATCAACTGTGGTTACCCAAAACCAGGAACTACAACGGAGACTATAGGTATATAGAGACCATGAAGATACCATAACACGGTACCATACCGTATCATAGTTAATGTAGGAACCTGATTAAGAAACCTTGGGCCTGTATCAGGGTTCCTTGTGTGAATCCTACTGTTTTGAGGATATAGGGCCAGGGTTTCTTAATCAGGTTCCTACATTAATATGCAGGGGCCTTCTTCTTGGCCTCTTCGGCCTCCCGGAAAAATTTCTCTTGCTCAGCACGCGCCTGGCAAAAAGGGCCCGGGGAGTAAGTAGGCAAGTTCAGGACGCGCGGCCCGAACGAGAAGCAGACAGACATATTCCTGACATTACCTGGCACATACATAGTATCGACAACAGCGGGATGGCAGCATCGTGGCAACGATACCCTAAACCCTAAAGCCTAAACCCGATATCCCACGGCTGAAACCAGACCAACGTCCCTGTACTGCACGCCATGTTGGCGGGCTTGAACTCATCGGCTAAACATTTTCTCACCAATGAGCAACCTGGCCCCAAACAACTGAAACCGCAGAGACCCTGAACAGAAAAGCTCCTCCTCAAGCCGCAAGACCTAAGTCTCAAGCCGAGCAAAAATCATTAGAGACATGCAACATTCCAATCCAAGAAGCCCTCACAAGGCCCTGAAACCCCATCAGAGCCCTCCAAAAAGGCCCAAAACTCTTTAGCCCCCTGAAAGCTCCCTCAAAAGACCCTAATTGGCCCAGTAAGTCCCCTTACCCTAAACCCCAAACTTTCCTAAACCCTGAGCCCTAAAGTTGGGCCCGAGGTCTGCCTGCTTCTTGGTCTCTTCAACCTCGAGCATCGCTCGTAGCTGCTCTGAACGCGCCTCGAAGTTCCAAAAAGGGCTTAGGAGCTAAGAGCCTACCTAGAGTCGCCGTTGTAGCTCCTTCTTTGGTTAACCAGTTTTGTGGTTAGGATCCCATAATATAGACTAATTTTGTTAACAAAAACAGAACGACAATGGAGACTCTAGGTACGGTGCAGGAGCCTTCAGGTTTAGTGCCAGGTTTTAAGGAGTTTGTTTAGGAGTTTGGGGTTTAGGGCCCACGGTTTAGGGTTTAGGGTCTAGGGTTTAAGGGTTTAGGGTTCCTTTCTTGTTTAGGGTATAGGGCTGAGTTGCGTAGGATGGGGGTTTGGGGGTATCAGTCATGATTACGTCACTACAAAAGTCTATGAACTCTTGTAAAGGCCAATACATCTCTCTAAACCCTATACGATGAAGCTATAGTGTTGTTGCGAATCTCCCCATACATAGGCACAAAACATCGCGTTCAGCAACTTGCTATGGAAGTCCCACGTACACTCACGACATCCCTAGCGCAACCATTCCCACAGGCCTTAGACTTGGGAATTGGGTTGCAGGGCATTCCTGGCTCTGCGAAGAGCAGAATGCGTATTGACAGCCAGGAACCTTAGTTTTTGGTTGACAGGGGTTAAGGTCTCCAAAGATTGAGGAATGGGTTACTATCCATACACCCCATAGTAGTTCACTTTTAACCCCAAAAAGGAACTACTTTTGGGGCCCTTGGGTAGGCTTTAGCAATGGGTTCCGGGGCTAGGACAGCTATGGCGCGAGTTACACCGGAACTCGTCCGATGCGCAAGGAGGAAGTGTGGCACGGAAGGGGAGGAACCCGGGAAACACGAAAGAATGCCTGCCATCGATCCTTAATCGATGCCACTATTATGAACAGACCCAGAGTGCAGACTTCGTACTGCTATAGCTACGTAAGGAGATGGTGCCAGGTGTCATCAATCAATGCACAATGCCCTCTTGAACAAATGAAGCATCGATCCTCATAATTACCCCCCGGTTACTCTCTAATATACCCTAGATACCCACTATCAAGGACCATAAGGGCTCCAATAAAGGGCCATTGGGGGCTCCTGGTATGGACCCTGAAGGCTCAAGTTTAAGGGACTTGGATGTGAACTCCTCCGTATGCACAACATCGACTGCATGCCCACCTGCTGAATGGCCTCCTCGGCCTGTCGGTGGTGTATCTTTGCAGCTATTCGCGCATGCTACGGTTCACGGTTCAGGGTTTACGGCCGATAGGGCCTTCGGATTAATCATGTTATGGGCAGGTGTCTATTCTCGATAGGCATGCCCATCAGAGACAGCGACTCCACACACTGTAATTGTGTCTGCCTCTGGCTGGCTCTTGGCGGGTTTAGGGTTCCTCTCCGCCATGTTACCCAGAGGGTCCAAGTACTCAAATAGTAGGGTTTCGAGGTCCAAAAACCACTCAGAGTATGGATTTTAGGACCTGGAACCCTACTATTCGGGTACTTGGACCCTCTGGGTTAACGTTGCTCAAAGAACGAAGCTTGTGCAAATCAGCCTTCAGGGAGATCCCGCACTGCTTCCCGAAACGATCGAAACTACCTATGTAGTAGGATTTGTAGGGTTTCTATATGATCGAGTGACTAACACGCTCTGGGGAAATAGTCCCCCATAGCTATACCTCGGATCCTTGGGGATCTTTAAGACAAAAGAGTACTGTTCCATGTACCTGCTGCTGGTATATCTCATGAAGCAATAGCAGCACTTGTTGTGGAATCCACCGTCTGGTAACCAGGCAGGATGCTTCTTTGCAAGTGGCGGGACCAAGCGCTGCTGAGTTGAGAACTTCAGGCGCCTCTAGTCGAAGCTACTTGGAGGGTCGGGGGACTTAGTAACTGGTTCTTTTAGGGACTCAGAAGCACCATAACCCCAATTAGGGTCCCTTTCAGGGTACTTATAAGTCGACTTACTAACTACTTACTAAGTCCCTGAACCCTAAACCCTAAACCCTATACTACCCTTATAGAGCCCTTTTAAGGAACCCTTAAAATCCCCTTTAAAGCAGCCCTTACTAAGTCCCTCAACCCCCCAAGTAGGCGAGACGGAAAAGGTTCAGTCAGGATAGGAACCCGAAGGCCAGAGGCCGAATCCTACGGTTGATGAGGTTCCTTCAAAGGGATCTATAAGGGTACCTTAAAGGAATCTATAGGAGTTTAGGGTTTAGGGTTTAGCGTTGATGATATACAAATCCTGCATTACCTTAAGGACCCTAAACTATGGGAAATATGGTGAATTCCTTATTCAAGGTCATGCAGGATTTAGATCATCAGCCGTAGCAAAACCCAGCTTAGGGTTTAGGGTTTAGGGCCCAGCTACCGCGAGATTAAATGTGGAAACTCTTAGGCCGAAAATCTCGCAAAGCAATGAGCGAATCGCCAAACTTGATCTTGAACGCCTTGCCCTTGTAGGTTTCAGGCTATGACATAGCGACATTGTCGTCTAGGAGTTGGAGTCCTGCGGCTTACTTCGCCCGAAGACTCCAAATAGCCCAAACAAAGCAGGTACCATTTACGGACTCTAAATAGCCCAAAGTAGGTAGTATTTACAGATGCTATACATCCACATAGGTACTACTTGTATAATTGGAGTTTCAGGGCAACTGCAAACCGTCGACTTGTCTCGCCTCTTGCCGTGCTCTTTCTGCCTCTGCCATGGCCTGCAGCTCCGTTGCTTGAGATGAGTTGGGCTTACTGTTCAGGGCTTGGGGCTCAGGCTTAAGGTTTAGGGCTTTGGGCTAAGGGCTTAGGGTTTCGGGGATATCCGCAGCTGCATAGGACAGGTGCAGATGCGATACTGAAGCTTCAGTCGGGCCGCCGAAGTGTGCCGCAGGAAGCTCCAATGTCGTTTGGCACGTCGGCCCGAGATTGAGAAACCACACAGATAATGATAAGGGCCGCCGAACATGACTACGAAAATGACAACGGCAAGGCTTAGGGAAGGCAAATATGTCAAACGAGGGTCGTTTGATTGTGGAGACTCCTATCTTCAATCCCATAAACACCTTTAGTTTCTTAAGGAATCGAGACATACAATCCTCCATCAAACTTCAACGCCCTTACAGCAACCACAGACTCAACACTACTATAGCTACCGTAAACCCTTAACTCTGAACATTAACTCCAAGCCTGTATTGTTGCTACCCGTTTAAAACCTCTGAACATAGCCGTGAAGGTAATGCGAATCATCACCCTCTAATAGCTACCTTATCGTAAACTTGATTATGCTCCATGTAGTACTGCTCATCATCGCGCTATGACGGTGATCCTCAGCAGTAACTAGCTGTTACTATAAGGGTAGCCCAAAGGCCCCAAAGTAGTTCCTTTTGGGGGATAATATTTAGAATTCCATAAGGTGATCCCACAAAGGAACTACTTTGGGGCCTATGGGAGTAGCTACCATCGGGCTATGAATGCTAAGAGAAAAGCTCCGCCTCGTCGGCCTCGTCAGTCTCAAAAGCTGGCTGCTCCTGCTTAAAGAACTTAAACGCATTTTGGGGTTTAGGAATGGGACAGGTTTACGGGTTAAGGATTACCTGAATCCTAACTATCCCACTTTTGTTGGTTCCGTATTATGATTTCCTGATGTGAGTCCTTGAAAACTAAGATATTCAGGGTCAAGGTAAGGCCTTCAATTCATAAACAGTTGCATAGAACCTTAAATGCGACTGAAGACATCTTCAAGCCGGGACCAAAGCCTATCGCTCGGTCCTTAAACCCGAGACCATATCACCCATATAGTGACCCTTCCAGCAACTCCAACTTCTGTAATGGGTGCAATACTAACTAACACATGTACATATATATATATATATCTATGTGTATGTACATGCATATTGTATATATGTATATACATATCTAAAAATACACACACACGCATACGAAAACATTCATCTGTAACTACATGTAAACATGTACACATGTATAAACACATGTATAAGTGCATGCACCTGTATGTCGGTTCATGGACTGGTATAAACAGTTCGTACATTGTAGAAATCCCCAAAAGCCCGAAGCCGTCAAAAAGCGTAAACCTAAACCCTGAACCTTAAACCCTATAAACACCCCTGACCGCCGAAAGCGCAAAACCGTGGCGTCCTCTTCTGGCTCCTCGTCCGACAACCGGTCACCAGCCTTCGAGGCGGTTCCGTTCGTTGGCTTCGTGCTGCGCAGTCTCGGAAGGGAAGTAGACATACTGTATGTCTGTATGTATATATATATATATACACATACTATAACAGGTAACATATCGTATAGGTGAAAAACAAGTGTACAAGATTCTAAAAGCACATGTTATGTACCTATACTATATATATATATATATATATATATGTGTGTGTGTACAGACACTTATGAATACACATACATTTTCATCTACAGACATGAACACATTTCGTCTACATATACCCGTAAATATTACATACACATGAGAACATGTACATGAACATGTCAGTGTACTCAGTGTACAAGCACATGTATGCATGTCATATGCATGGACATACGTAGGTAAGTATATATGTATGTGTGTATGGGTATGCACGTGTATGCATGCATGCATGTATGTATGCATGTGTGCATGCATGTATGTCTGAGCATGTATGTATGTAGGTAGGTATGTAGGGCCCAAATGGCCTGCGCAGGGCAGGAATAGTTTTGTAGGCCCCAGCACCCGCGATGGGTGCGTCTGCCCGCTACGGGCAAGCAGTGCATAGTGGCAAGTGTGCCATGCACAAGCTGGGCATTCAGGTTTTGCCCTCACCCGACATGATGGCGATCATGGACGCAAAAGACACACTGTGTAAGGAGACTTTGTTGAGCATTCGTTCGGAGGACATGCTCACAGACTACACCGCAGATGAGTTTGCGACTGGCTTCAAGAAGAGGCCGGCTTTTCAGCTGTGCGGCATCAAGCGTGCATTTTCAAGCGTCGTCTATGTGCCATCGGTTTGATTTTGTCGAAGGAGCAGGACAGCTTTTCCTTCGCTGGCTCAATCCCGTTTCCTAGTGCGAGTCCACACTGGTGACAGTCAGATTACTGGTCCGCACTAAGCAACTTGATTAAGTGCATGCCAAAGGGCTGCGACCTCATGGAGGCTGTGCCCGAAAAGCGTGAGGCAGGCACGCACGCACCGACACAAGGCAAAGGGTGCATTCGTTCATGTCTATGACCCCCCCTCATCATGGTCCCCATCAAATCAGCAATGGGCAGTCTGCACCTGTTGTTGGGATGGCTGCGGCCTTTTTTGAAAAACCAGAAGGCAGATGACTGCACCAAGCTAAAACTACGGCTGATTCTATAAATCCTCCATTTCCTTGATACTGTAGACTAAAGCGGCAACCGAGCCGGAGAGATTGCCTTACTTCATGCATCTGCATAGTTGTAGCGAAAGCTGCATTGGAAGTGAAACAACGCCAAACACATACAGGTTCTGCATGTTGCTAAGTTGCGGAGTTGATAAATCAAAATAAACCTAGCTTTTAGAAGTCGTATCGGGCAATGTTCAACCAAAAAGGGCCAAAGAACAAAGCCTAATTTGGGGTCCTTTAAACTCATACTACTTTAAACCCCTAAACCCTGAACCCTAAACCCTCATGCTACTATAATCCCCCCAACCCTAAACCCTAAACTCTAAACTATCGATTATAATGATTCGCGGCCTGCGGGAGCGCGGGGGCGGACGACGCCTGCCAAACCTGTGTGTCTCTCGGCAAGGACTCTTTACCTTGAGGCTCCGTAGTAGTTCCTGTTTGGGGGTCATATTTTGAATCCTATAAGGCTATATAAGGTAATCCCCAAAAGGAACTACGATGGGGCCTATGGGTACTTTGGTGTAGGAAGGTATGAAACGCGCAATGGTTATGATGATGACTTAGGAATCGGAATGCTTTGGGGCGATTGCCTTGAATTCATGATTTAAGATTAGCTAGACCCCAAAAGTAGGTACAAAAATGGCCCAAAACCTCTACAGGGCTATTATTACTTTTGGGGTCCAGGTAGTGGTTATTGAAGCGGCCAGCCAAAGATCTGGGCGAGACTGAAGGAGGGGTCCTGCCACCACATTCACCTCAAAGAAAGGGCGAATCTTGGGTTTGGGTTTAGGGTTTGGGGGTTTAGGGGTTTGACGTATAGAGTTTATAGGGTTTAGGGCGAATCTTGATTTGTGAAAGCCCATTGACGCCGAGTGCAACAAAGAACCCATGTGACATTGGGGCTAGCAGTCTATGGTGGAAACACCGGAACAGTCACCCGAGATCAGGTGCCCTGTGCAGCAAAAGCTGCAGGCACTGCTTTGTAGAACCCTGATTGAATATGGTAAGAATCGAAAACAGTCGGCGATACACCAGCACCCACCTCGTCACAGTCCCTGCTCGATACATCCTCGGGCGTCCCCGATTCAACTATGAAGCCCTAACAACCCGAACGAAAAACACACAAAACGGCCCCAAACAAACCCTACAACCCGAAAATGCAGCCCTGAACCCAAAACCCCTAAAGCCCTGGCCCTCGGGCCTGCTTTGGCGGCGGCAAAGGCGGGCGCCCACCACGAAGCGACGGCGCAGACTCCGTGTGCGACGGAAGCTGCCAGCAGCTTTTTTCGAATGGGTACTGCTTGGAGGGTCGGGGGACTTAGTAACTGGTTATCTTAAGGACTTATAAGTACCATAACCCCAATTAGGGTCCCTTTTAGGGTACTTCTAAGTCTACTTACTAACTACTTACTAAGTCCCCCGACCCCCCCAAGTACTGGTTGAAGGTCTGAAGCTTGAAAAGGGGCCTTCGGGGGTTGCGGAGCTCCGTGTGTCTGTGCCAGGGTTATAACGTCGAGGCAACGGGCAATACCAAGAGAACCCAATACCCCTTAACTAAGGAGTACATACCTTAAATAATAGGGGCCTTAATATTATGATTTGAAGTATATTCCTTAATTAAGAAATTAAGGGATGCTAGAATCCCCTAAACCCTATAGATCCCTTAAAGGAGCCCTATTTAAGAAACCCTAAGGTATATTCCTTAATTAAGAGGTATTGGGATCTCTGGATAGCCACAGGATGGTTGAAACCAAAGAACGATCGGCCTTGTGACCCGGATCGACCTAGGGCCCGAAAGTTGCGGTTGCTTCGGAAAGAAGACTTACCTTTGCTTAGTAGGGAATGGAGGAATGGGGTACAATTATAACTACTATTACTACCATTCTTCCATTCCCTACTAACCAAATCTAAGAAGAGGGGTTCAGAGAAATTGCTGAGGAGGTCCTCCTGCAGCGCGAAGCTTACGGACGGCCAAAACCCTGTACCGGTGAAAGACCCCTAGCTTGATACACCCAGAAGCCAAAATCCAAAGCCCTGAGCCCAAAATCCCAAACCCTAAAGCCTGAATCCCAAACCCTGAATTCTGAATCCCAAACCCTAAACCCTCAAGTTAAGGCTTTCGCAGTCTGTCATGAGCCATTCCCGAGGCTCATGGCTGCTGTTGTCGTATGCGGGACCATACAACAAGGGGTGTACTCAGCGATCCCCAAACCCCTTAATTAAGGAATATATCTTAAATCATGATATTAAGGCCCCTATTGGTTAAGATAGATTTCTTAATTAAGGGGTATTGGGTTCTCTGGGTACAACTGTAAGGTTACGGCTTAAGGGTCGGTTTCGCATGTACACAAACGGTACAAACATTCGCATCATTAAGCACTGGCCACCCTGAAACCCGCCCGATCCCGGTGAGACCTTCTTGAAGATCCTGGGCAAATCTGAAAGAACAGCTCAGATCATGACATCCTGAGATCGTCGTCGTTGCGCCACAGGGGTGCGCTAATCACTAATCAAAGCCAGCGAACTTGCAACCCTGAACCCTAAACCTACCCTACACCCTAAACCCTAACCGTCCTGACGCCTAAGCCCTAGACCCTAAACCTTCCGTAGACCCTAATGGCCTGAACCCAAACCCCAAAGCCCCTGTCCCCCCAAAAAAAACTGCAGGCCACCTGCTGCTCCTCAGCAGACGTATTTGCACCGTCCTTCTGCACAAATCGGGGTTCAGGGTGTAGGGTCCCTAAACCCTAAACCCTTTAGGGTTTAGGGTGGTTGTGGAGTTCAGGGTTCCAGGTTTTAGGCTTTCGGGCGAATTTGAGGTTCAGGGTGTCGGGCTCCTGGGCTGTAGCATTTTGCTTTGAAGGGCCCCTGCTAAGTCCGAACAAAGTCCTTCAAGTCTAGGGGGTCTTTGAATTACATGGGAAGTTCCCTACATGAAAACCGTAACCCCAAACCCCAAAGCCCTACGCACTCAACCGCAAATCCTAAACCCTACGCCACTTGGGGGGTCGGGGGACTTAGTAACTGGTTATATTAGGGACTTATAAGTACCATAACCCCAATTAGGGTCCCTTCTAGGGTACTTATAAGTCTACTTACTAACTAATCCCTCCCCCTAATATTAAATGCCCCCCCCTCCCTAATAGTAAAACTGGATTTCGGAGGTTTAGCTTTTATATTAGGGGGGGTTTCGGTTCGGTGCATCCACGTATGAGTGGGGAACCCTAAAGCCCAGAGCCCTAAACTTCAAGCCCCAAAGCCCCAAGCCCTAACGCTTTAGCCCTGAGCCCTAAACCCTTAAACCCTAAAGCTCTGGTGTCTTAAGTACTGCTGCAATCTTTGGCTCTATAAAGCCCTGAGCCCTAAACTTTAAGCCCTAAAGCCCAAAGCCCTAAAGCTTTAGCCCTGAGCCCTTAACCCCGAAGCCCTGGTCCTTCTGGCGTAGTACTACTGTAATCTTCGTTCAAATTAAAACACATACAGATCTAGCCCCCCCCCCCCTAATGTTTTTCCTTTTAAATTAAATGTGGGGCCCGACACCGCGAGATTCCGGGGGCCGGGAGTTTTAATTTTAGGGGGGGGGGGGGTTGAATGTTAGGGGGAAGCGATTACTTACTAAGTCCTCCGACCCCCAAGCAGAGCATCGTGACGAAGCGACCTCGTCCACATCGCTGTCGCTGTTGAACCAGCGCTCTTCTTCGGCCATCTGCGCGCATGGAAACATTGGGTTTTGGGTTTGGGGCTTCAAGCTGGAATCTAAACCCTAAACCTTCTACCCTATACCCTAAACCCTAAACCCTATACCCTAAACCTTCTACCCTATACCCTAAACCCTAAACCCTATACCCTAAACCCTGAACCCTATACCCTAAACCCGGTTTAGGGTTTCTTATGGGTTTAGGCCAGTTTAGGGCTTGCGGCTAGGCTTTGGGGCCAGGATTTGGTAATTAAGGGTGTCGAAACCAAGGGTGTCGCAGTTTAACCCTCAGCTCTAAGCAGTGACTCCTAAACGGTAAACCCTCAACAATCCACACTAAGCAACAAACTCAAGTTATAACATACAAACCCTAAACCCTGAACCTCAGACCCCGAAAACCAAAGCTGCACTTGGCGTCAGGTACTTGTGCATTTGGGCTCAGGGCTTGGGGCTTGTCTGACCGGGGGTTACAACGAGACTTCCAAAGCGCAGCGAAGCCGAAGCTGACCGGAACGGTGAGCCGTAATTAAGAGGGATTCAGGTCGTTGCCATTTTCCTAGTTTGGTGGTGGTGGTGGTGGTGGTGGTGGTGGTGGTGGTGGTGGTGGTGGTGGTGGTGGTGGTGGTGGTGGTGGTGGTGGTGGTGGTGGTGGTGGTGGTGGGGGCGGCGGCGGTGGTGGTGGTGGTAGCTTCGTGAAGTGCAAAGACATAACTTCAACTTGGTGTTGGCCACAATGCCACCACTCATGCACTGGTCTTCCATGTCCCTGAGAAATCCATGCAACCAGGTCACACGATAGCTTAGGTAAATGTAAACGAATGCCGTCAAGGTCTGGGGGTACAGCACAAAATGCCTATGAGACCGAACCCCTACGGTTGATGATATATATATATATATATATATATATATCCTGCATCACCCAGAATAGGGAGTATACCATACTACCCATAGTTTAGGGTCCTTAAGGTAATGCAGGATTATATCATCAACCGTAGGTGTGGGCTGTGCTGCCTCCTCGTCGGAGACCGAAGGCGAGAAGAGCGAACCTGGGCAGAACTCTGCTGGGAGTTTGGGGTGCAGCAAGGCCCGTAAGTACAACCTGTACTCTATCCCTCATGTGGGTGGTTGTCAAAATTAGGGCCCCTTTGTGCAGTATTACAATAAGGAGCCAAAAAGCGACCCTAATTTTGACAACCACCCATATGGGAGTTTCCGAAAAAAGGATACCCCAATATAGTACCCTGAATAGTAGGATCCTTATTATAAGGACCCCAAAGTAAGGTACCCCCCCAAAGGTTCGGAAACCCCCATGGGAAATACTACAGCCCCAGGGCCTTGAGATCAGGCTTCGGATGTTACAGAACTGTTTCTACGTCGAGGAGGGAGTTTAGAGGTTTAGGGTCTAGTGGAACAATGCACCTCGACCAGCGCGTATAGGTAGCCAGTCGTCGCCATGACCGGATCTTACCCAAAGCTGCACATGGATCTTCGCCACTACCCAAAGCTCACAATCACCCTTCAAGAAACTCGCCAAGCAGCACTGAAGGGAGTATATTGCCGCGAAACCCTAAACCCCCAAACCCAAAGCCCCGAAGCCCTTAACTCCTCAACCCTGAAACCCTGATGCCCGTCTGCTCTCTGACTTCGAGAGACTATGGTAACCCTCGCATAACAACCCCGATTCCCACCCACGCTTCCCGCCCTCCGCCCTGAACGATTCATGGACTCTCCCCAAGCCCGAATCCCTAAACGCGAAACCCCGAACCCTCAAAGCCGAAACTGTCATCCCTGAACCCTCAAAGTCTTGGCACGATACCGGCGGAACAGCAAGAGTTCCAGTCATCCAGACGGTATTCCTTGCCAGGGCTGCGAACTCTTTTAAGGGTAAGTTCTACTTCAAACAACTCCTTGTAATTATATTGTATTGTTGTTAATGTTGTCAGAAATATATTTATATGTTTACCATTAGTTCAGGAATCCCTGAAAACCCTCAACCCCCATTGGTGATACTTTTAGCCCTATGGGTCCATGCGCCCAAGCAAATTATACTTTGGCCCAGAAGTACCTATTTAAGGACCACTTTGCGGCCAAAGTATGTTCTGCTTGGGCACAGGAACCCTCATGCCCTAAACCTAAAAGAACCCGTATGGCACCCTTAAACGAATCTTTGATTCACCGTGTTGAGGTACGTGGACCCTATACGGTAAGGGAATCTCGGGGGGGCCGAGCAAGCAAGAACTTCATCCTCCAGTGCTTGAGTTCGACTTGGACGGAGTTGGTTTAGGGTTTAGGGGTTTAGGGGTTTAGGGTTTAGGGTTTGGTTTTTGTGCAGTTCAGGGCTTCAGGGGTTGGGGGCTTCATGTCACGATCGCGATGTGGCGGGGCTCTGTGTAATCATGTCTTTAGGGCTTTAAGGTTTGAAGCGTTGGTTGGGGCTCTTTTGCGTGTTATAGTGTTTCTGGTTTAGGGCTCGTACTCTTACACCCGGTAAGGACACCCAATACTGTAGGCACCTGTGAAAAGTAGAAGTGGGCCTTGGGGGGGGGACGTACACTTATAGTAAAACTGCACAACGTAGGCCCCTAAGAAACTGTATTACCTTTTCTCAGGCCAGTATACTGCACCGTAAACACCCCAGTACCCTAAACCCATACACCCCCAAAAACCCTACCCAAACCCCTAAAACGCTAAACCCGAAACCCTAAACCCCAAACCCCTAAGCCCTATACTCCCTAAACCCTATAAACCCTACACCCCTATAGATCCCTTGAAGGAGCCCTTAAAGGAACCCCTAAACCGAACCCCTAAACCCCTAAACCCCAAGCCCCCTAAAACCCCAAACCCTAAACCGAAACCTTTAGGGTATTCATAAGTCTACTTACTAACTACTTACTAAGTCCCCTGACCCCCCAAGTAAAACCCCAAACCGCCAAAACTCTCTACTCCCGGCCCCTTTCAGCTCAGCGCCTCGACAGTGGAAGCTTGCTGTCGCCGAGCGCTTCCGGCCTGTGCTGGCAAACCTACGACTTAAAGGGAGGGGTATGTGTCTGTGTATATATATATATATATAATATTGGCATAATTATAGAATATAATATGATATAAAACTGTGAAATAAACAAGATAATATGATATAATATGATACAATATAAAATAATGTGTATGTATATATATATATATATACACATGTATGTATATGTATGTATGAAGGCACCAGAACGGCAACCTTTGATTATGGCAGGGTTACATATCCTCGGCACGGAGGTTACAGGACACCCCAAGCAGATGTGCTTGGCAAAATAAGATGGGGAAGGCGAGGCCCTGATTCTTGCAAACGTGCTGCGAGTCCAAAGAACCTGCCACTTGGGGGGTCGGGGGACTTAGTAAGTAGTTAGTAAGTAGACTTATAAGTACCCTAAAAGGGACCCTAATTGGGGTTATGGTACCCTAAAATAACCAGTTACTAAGTCCCCCGACCCTCCAAGCAGTGAGAAGGAAGAAACTACCCAAAGGCAATAGCTCCGGCTTGGGGTTCATATTTAGAATTCTATAAGGCAATCCCAAAAAAAAACTGCTATGGGGCCTATGGGTAAGCGGGTGCTATGAGGGGCATACAGGCTTGGGGCTCGAGGGCTCCGGTTCGAGCAGACTGCCCTGTGCACCCTGAAGCCTACGCGATACACTCAAGCCGACGCGGAGCCTGTGCACGCAAAAAGACTTCCTCGTCCTCCTCCAGTGGTGATTGCCAAGACTCCTGCAGTTGCTCAGCTCCAAACGTCAAACCCTAAACCCCACAAGCCCCTAAATCCTAAACCCTAAACCGCTAAACCTCCGGACCACAAGTCAACGAGGATGCAAGAACGGTTCGTCAGTGAGTTGGGTCGCAGAGTGAGCTTGGGTCTTTGGGGCTGGTCAGGTTGCACCCGACACCCATGAACTCCGAAGCATGAGTTGAAAAAGATGCTGCGATGATAGCCATGCTCCTACACTTACTCGTGCAAGCGAACAACGGTGGGGGACCTGCAAGGATGGCCGCTTGTTTGATTGCCCGTAAACCAAACTCAACTTACTGAGGTTGAAGATTTAGGGCTCCGGATTGCGTCAGGCTTTCACTAGAGCTACCTTACCTTAGGCCTTAAGCGCTTAAGCTCTAAACCCGGAGCCCTAAAGCTCTGTTCCTCATACCCTGAAGCACCTCTGCAGCCAAATACCTAAACAAGCCAACTTTACCCCTAAAGCACCCTAAATCAAAGCCACTCTAGATCCTGATGCATAAACACAGTTTCCTTTGTAAGAGTGTGATTGAGGGAGTCGGGCTTTGGATCTGCGGTCAAAATTTCTCCGCCGAATAAATCCTAGACAGCCCACGGATCCCTGTACCCACCTACCTAAAACCCCCAAAGTAGGTAAAATAATGGGCCAAGACCAATAAACGGCCAGTGTGCTAAATGCTTTTGGGGTCCAGGTATACACTAGACACCCAATGAGCTCTCGACCCAACAGCTATCCCAATATCCTGAATTGAAGGACCCTTTACAAAAGGGGAACTAATGTTTAGAACGCCCCACAACTGCCGTGATACAGAGCCCTTCACAGCTAGAACACGGTTTCGGTGCGGCTATACCGTAAGTATCTTAGCCGAAGGAACACGAAAACTAATTGTCGAATTCCTCAGACCACTATATGTCATGCATGAAGCCTAAACCCTATAAACCCTAAAGAAGCCCTGATATTTCGACCTGTACACCGCCACTGGTGGAGCGCAAGCTGCTGTGAGAGCGCATGGTGCCTTGAGGACGCACAACTGACCCCAACCCTTCAAACCTTTTGGCCCTACGGGCTTTTGATGATGACTTGTGTTTTTCAGTCTCAATCCTGATATGCATCTTACTGTTGCGAGGTGTGTAAGGTTGTGGATGTAGAGCTTCGGGGTGTGTAGGGCTTTGAGGTTTGGGGATTTTAAGGTTTAGCTGTTGTTTGTTCCAGACAACTGTGATATTTGATGTGCTAGTCAGTCGCACTCATTCACGGTCGTGGGTCGCTGTGTGGTTCGGCATCGGGGGGCATTGCTTGCGACTCAGGTCTGCGTTCTAAGCTTGGAGTTTGGGCCCCGCCTAATAAAACCAAAGTCTGCGCTGATCGAAACTCTGATGATGAGAACTTGGAGGGTCGGGGGACTTAGTAACTGGTTATTTTAAGGACTTATAAGTACCATAATCCCAATATAGGGTCTCTTCTAGGGTACTTATAAGTCTACTTACTAAGTCCCCGAACCCTAAACCCTAAACCCTATACGACCCTTATAGAGCCTTTTAAAGAAACCCTTAGAATCCCCTTTAAAGGAGCCCCTACTAAGTCCCCCGACCCCCCAAGAATGGGCTCCTGCAACCCATACCCTGTAGGAGACCTTTGCACTATACCCCCCTTTAGAACCATAATAAAAACAATATAAAAACAATGTGTTTAATATTCTCTGGGGTTTTGTATGAACAAAAATAAAAGAACTCCTAAGGAGACTATAGTGCTCAATTACAATTACGGTCGGTGCATCTTAGCATGAATTCACAACTTTGCTGAGCGAGATGCTGCGCGAAGCAGCCTTCCGAAGAACATCGTCCTTGATGGCCTGCACTCTCTTTTCCAAAGGGTCCACGTGATAGTTCTTTCAAAGGGCACCGCAAGGGTTCCTTTCAAGGTTTTATAGATTTAAGGGTCCATGTACGCAAATAGTATACATGTCGGATCCAATGTACCCTTGTAGGGAGTATTTTCAAGCCAATGTATATAACATATCCTTTTTGTTCAGGCAACCCTGAGGGCCCGTTTCATCCTTGCCTATGGTCTTTGATACCCCAAAAGGCCCCGAAGTCCTATCAGAAGGAGTACTTGCACCCTGAGGGCAAGGCCTTAGGATTCTAGGGTTTGGGGCTTGTAAACCTTAAACCCTAAACCCTAAAACCTAAACCCTAAAACCCTAAAACCTATAAACCCTAAACCCTAAACCCTAAACCCTAAAACCTAAACCCTAAAACCCTAAACCCTAAAACCCTAAACCCTAAACCCTAAACCCTAAAACCTAAACCCTACACCGGGTGTATGTCGAATCACCCCAGTTCAAGTTGCCAAGTCTGCTATTCGGGCCGAGACCCCCGCAAGGATCCTAAACACAGGGCTTAGGGGTTTAGGGTTTCGGGGTTTAGGGTTTAGGGGTTTAGGGGTTCGGTTTAGGGGTTCCTTTAAGGGCTCCTTCAAGGGATCTATAGGGGTGTAGGGTTTATAGGGTTTAGGGAGCATAGGGCTTAGGGGTTTAGGGTTTCGGGGTTTAGGGTTTAGGGGTTTAGGGAGAACACTCATAACAAGGCCTACCTTAACTCATGTAATGCTACGAAGAAGAAAACGAAACATAAAAAACCAAAACATAAAAAGATGCTTAACTCGTGTGTACTCTAGGATACCTATAGTATACACATTGGCCTTGAAGTAGTCCCTATATAGGTACTTCGGGGCTTAGGGTAATGCTAGGATGCCTTTGCTTTGGGTGGGAGGGGTGTGTATTTGTTGGATCCTTTGGGGCAACTCTGTGGCTGCAAGAACCGGGAAAGTTCCACCCAACAGGCTTTCCAAGTTAGCTAAGGGTTTAGGGTTTAGGGTTTAAGGAAGAAGGGGAGCTGGTAGGGAAAGGGCTGGTGTATTTTTCTAGTATAGCCCAGCAAAGACTCAGCGAAACGACTTCAAACTTACAGCTATGTAGGGCCAGGGATTGACTAATCAGAAGCACCTGAACTCCAAACACCCTCTAAGGCCGGAAACTCAACTCTTGACCTAAGGCTCCAAGTACACCTACTGCGAAACAAAGGGATTTGGGTCCTTTTGAGGTGCCGAAAACCGTAGACAAAGACTATATACTTGGACCTTTATATTTGGACCTTTATGGTTAATTCAAACCCTTAGTTTACGCTAAATCCCAGCCGCAACTAGGAACTCTGAACACAAAGATTGCTCATGCAGATGAGAACTGCTCTATGAGTTTTGAATGTACTGCATGCGAAGAACGGACCTTGTGACAGTGGAGTAGTAAGGCACTCTATGTAACAATGAGGGTCCCTTCCTTGGCCGTGCCACGGAGTAACAAGGGTTCCTTTGCTGCTCGCCGATTTTTGGTTTGGAGGTTGGCTTTAATTATTTAAAGCTTTAAGGTTTAGGCTTTAGTGGGCTTGGCAAGGTTTGACTTTCTCAGACCTGAAGTTGTCAGTCCCATGCTACTGAGCGCTTGGGCGCTCGGGTTTGAGATGCTCTGCTGTCATAGACTAGGAATCTGGTCCCTTTACCCAGGCATCTCTAGCGTTAAGGAGATCGAGGTGTAGGGGCTAAGTGGCTGAGAGTGGGTTCAAGAACGAGAAAGTGTAAGAGTTTAAGTCATGAATCTTGGACCTCCTTGGCTTAGGGCTTGCGCCAAGCAAGCCGGTTCAAGGTTTAGAGTGGGGTTTAGGGTTTAGGAACCCGTTTTAGGGCGTATAGGGCTTAGAGCCTTGAGTTCGAAAGCTTCACATCCAACGTCCGGCCTCCCGTCGCGTCCAGAGGGTCGATGCATCATGTAGCTGACGAGCCATGCGAAATGCCTGGCTTGCAATTCTGAAACTTAGGGTTTGGGGTTCCTTCAAGGTGATCTGCACCTCACGGTTAAACCTTTAGCGCTTTCTGGCGGTGGATTTACTACAGGGCCTGTGGTACACTATTGTGGTTCGTAGTATGTACTCGAGCCACTGCACAGGGATTAGACAAACGATTCTATCTTGAAGCAAGGGCAGCTACATGGGGGTTCCGAAAATAGGGGACCCTAAAGTAGTACCCTGAGTAGTACTAGAATTCTGATTCTTATAATAAGGACCCCAAAATAATGGCACCCTTTGTTTTCGTGAACTGAACTCGCATTTGGATGGCAACGGTTTTGCCATCTGCCCGAAGTAACCCTAGACCCATAGGCCCCAAAGTAGTTCCTTTTTGGGAGTACCTTATAGGATTCTAAAAATATGAACCCCCAAAAGGAACTACTTTGGGGCCTTAGGGTAGACCCGATACCCCACAAAAACCCTCACTCTTCCTGCAAATCGGTACTCTACCTAGACCATTAGATGTAGCACCTATTGTTGGATGACTTATTTTATGGTTAGGACGATCCCGTTTTCAGAAACTGGGGTAACCCAACAAAGTACTAGGTTTAACAGTCTAGGTGTGTACTAGTTTGTGGCACTGCCTCGTTTAGGGCACCGCATTCAGGTTCCCCAGTCTTGCTCTAAGGCTTACAGGCTTCACAACTTCACTCGGTTTGGGAATGCTACTACAGGGACTTCAAGCAACAATTTAGGACTTGGGCTTTGCGAGAGCCCTAAGGCCTATGTGTGAGACTCCAATGGTCATGGAGGGGTTTAGGGGTTTAGGAGTTTAAGGGTTTAGGGTTCAGGGGTTTAGGCTTTAGTGGTTTAGGGGTTTAGGATTAAAGGTGTACGGGATGGGGTTTAAGGTTTAGGGTCCAGGGATGGTGTGAACCCACATTTGCTCATGTCCCAAGTCTCACTTGAATCTCGGGCGGTCAACTCTCAGGTGTACTCGTGTTATACGACATTTAAGATTCATGTGGGGGTATCCGAAAGTAGGGGACCCTGATATAGTACCCTAAAAAGTAGGAGCCTTATTTTAAGAACCCCAAAATAAGGTACAACTGATTTTCGGAAACTCCCGTGTAAGCACAGCTAAGCCCTGTAAGCCGAGCTTCTAATTCTATTCATTCAGAAAACCTTTCCCTTGAGAAAATTGGCTGCAACCCTACGCCTCGTCTCTCAACAGTTGTCCCTAGTCCTACACTGTAAAACTGAACCACAAGCGTTGAAGAATAATGAACCGTAAGTTAACCACATGATGCTGCCACCTTTAAGGCCCTGAGACCCACAAGAACAAAATTGCAGATCTCAGCCTCTTGGCTTTGTACGGTAACAAAAAATGAAGCATAGCTTACCTCGTAGCAAGAACACAGCGCAAACACCGGCCAGGTCGGATCTGCAACTGGCTATTCCAGGAAGGTACGATCACCGGAGCATGCTCAGGATCGTTTCTTTGAGCGCTTCCTCACCTCATGACAACGCTTGGCTCCCGACTCATACGCAGCTCTTCACTTTTGGTGGCGGCCGCCATAGTGCCTGCTGCCGCCCACTGGAACCTGTACTATCCATTCAGCACGTCTCCCATCCCTCTTCACTCCGGGAGCCATCTTCAGGCCCTCCTGCCTGACATTCAGAAGGCCCTTCTTGGAGGTTCATGGATAGTTGTAAGTAGGGGCATAAGTAGGGTAATTATACTTACAACCCATCTCAGGGGACGTATAACCCTACTTATAACTACCCATGAACCTCCAAGTTTCGCTCCAACATGGACCTGTTCGCCAATGCCTGCCGCATAGCGAAGCCTTTTTCAGGGCGGCAGCTGAGATGTTCGGCCATGGAGTCATCTCCGCTGCGACCCTTACTCTAAATAATTCTTGAATCCACCCCCTGAGCCCCAACTATTCCTGAAAGCAGTGTTTATGGCCTTTAGGGTTTAAGAACTCAAAACCCATAAACCCTCGAACACCGACATAAAGGGAGCCACATCCACACATCGAGCCCTCACGTTACATATTAGCTAAACTCTGAAGCATATCTAGTAACAGCTCTAATCTAGTAGTTCGTATACCAAGGAACCCTACAGAACCAAAAAACATCATTAACAAGTCCTAGGAACCCAAAAACATCATAGTTAAAGTCCTAGGAAGCCTGTAGAACTCCCAAAAGCAATCATGTAAAGTAGCCCTGAACCCTAAACCTGAAGTAGATCTCAGATTGTGGGCTACTGGTGCATGAAGTAGACTCGAGCCTCAGCCGAGCACCAAACCTGAAGCAACAAAGTGAGCTTTACGGGTTTAGGGTTTAGGGGTTTAGGGATTCCCTAGGGTTTAATTCGTGTTTTCCCGGTTTTGGATTGAAAGAGCGTCTAGGATTCCAGAGGCATCTAAAGGTTAACCTTACCTTGAAGAGTATAATTGGGATGATAGTACACCAAACAGGGTTATGTAACGGTTAGCTACTCTACTAAGAGACGTAATTTAGGCTTCCATACGGCCATACATGCTGTCAAAGTGCTCGTGTAGCCGAGGCACCAAACAGTAGGGTTCAGGATTTGAGGCGCCACGGTCGAGTTTTCAATCTTTCAGGATATTTAGTAATCTTTGAAGACTTAATTACATGTAATATGTGCTACTAACACATTAGTATTCAGTCCAAGGTTAAGCCGTTTTTAGTCTTTATCACAGCTTCGGGCGGCAATATCTATGGTACAAGGGGGGAGAGGCTGGTGTGCACAAAATACTGGGGGTTTCCGGAGCATGGAGTTACAACAAAGTTACAGGACTTCGAATGAAACGGACTTTGGGTGTTGGATTCGGTACATACGTTGCTGCTACCTTTGTTCAAGGCCAGTGTGAAGACTTCTCTGGAGTTTAGAGATTGATGGCGTCTGCGATCGATTGCAGTTTCGCTTGCAGGTTGTAAGGGCCTCCCAAATCACCTACAGACCCAAAAAGCTCAACACGAAACCCTAAGCCCGAAACAAAACTTACCTAGTTCCCGAATTCTGAAAGCAGGCTTCAGCATTTCTAAGAGCAGTGGCAAGGCCTTGGGGGCGGATTGGGAGGTGGCGAGGTTCCAAAACGAAGTGTCGTTTCAGTTTCGGGCCCGTAGCTGTTGAGCCGTGAAGGGATGGTCCGCCACAGTTGGAAAGCCTTCCGGTCTTTTAGACCCAGTGTGAGGGCCAAACACTCGCAGCTGCACAAAAAAAAAACTCTGAAGCCGAACATTTAAACATGGGTTCGAACACACCCATCCACGACCGCGAAAGACTTCCGGCTCAAACACGCCTTCAAATCTATGCAACCCCAGACACCCAAAACAGAAACTCAACCCGACATGCTGCAAAAGCTCCGCGTGTTCTGAGAATGAACACACGACGGAAGTTGCAGCTGGTAACATCTTTCTCTTAGCCCGCAAGCGAAGCCAAAAACCCTTGTACCCCACATCCTGGCACCAAATCATCAACAGGAAGACATTGAAGCCCTTGTAAACGGCATTCTGACCTTGTCAAACCTTGTAAAACACCTGTAAGGGTAGACAACAAAGGCCTTAAGGCCCTAAGCCTTACAAAACTCACACACTAAACACTGTAAATCGTGTACGGTTCTATACACCCTGCAAGGACTGCCCTCAGCCCTAAACCCAAGTTGGCTTCCCCTTCTGCCGCCTGCAGTCTCAGCTGGTCCTGCTCCCGAGGAACGATTCGGATGTCTGTGCCATGCACCGTGACCGTGGCCTGGGGACCCGGATTCTTGGCTGAGCAGTTTAAGACTTTAGGAGATTAGGGATTTAGAGTTTAGAAGAAAAGGGGTTGAGGGATTTAGGGCTTAGGAGTTTGTTTAGTCAGGGGTTTAGGGATTTTCGGATTTCAGGTTTAGGGTTCAAAGGGCTTTACTAGAAGTCTCCAAAGACCCACAAGAACAGCAATCTGCTGCTGTCAAGAAGCATAAATGCGTAAAACAAACAAACAGGAGTAACTCTTCAGAAACACGCGGGTGTAGGCTTGCGGGGGGATCGAAATCAGGAAACAGGATTTTACGTTTTTCGTCTGTATGATTGAGTGCACCGGGTTGAGAGTCTAATATGGGGTTTAAGGGGACCCTAAACCCTAAACCCTGAGCCCTAAACCCCAAACCGCAGGGGGCTATCATGGTGGGGCTTCGCTGCACTCAGGGTTTAACATCGCCGGCGGAAGCACACTGACATGCTGCAAAGTTTTCGATGCACTCACTCATGAATGCACTTATGCTGCGTCCGACTACAGTCGCATCTTTGGGAATATGGGGAGCAGTAGTAATCGTAGGAGCATACTGTACGTGCTAGTAGTAGCAGTAAATGAAGTGGCAGCAGCAGCAGCAGCAGCAGCAGCAGCAGCAGCAGCAGCAGCAGCAGCAGCAGTAGTAGTAGTAGTAGTAGCAGTAGCAGTAGCAGTAGCAGTAGCAGTAGCAGTAGCAGTAGCAGTAGCAGTAGCAGTAGCAGTAGCAGTAGCAGTAGTAGTAGTAGTAGTAGTAGTAGTAGTAGTAGTAGTAGTAGTAGTAATAATAACAGTTTTAATAGTCATACGATTAATTAATAAACACAATAGTAGCAGTATAGCAGTAAGAGTAGGAGCAGGAGTAGTGGTAGCAGTAGCAGTAGCACTAGCACTAGCATTAGAAGCAGCAGTAGTCGTAGTAGCAACAGCCGCAGCCATAGTAGTGTTACTAGTACTCACTGGGAGTACGACCAGTTCTCATAATAGTACTAGCACTGGAACTAGCACTAGTCGTGGTGGCATGCTAGTACTAGCACAACTCGACGACGACGACGACTACTGACACTGCTGTCCGTCAATCAAAGCTGCAAGTAACAGGGCCCTGGCGCCGGCCAGCATCCGGGCACAAACTGGACGCCCACTCTCTTTGCAGCCTGGCATGAACCCGAAACATCTGAACCCTGCAGCTTAATTCTTCTCTGAACTATGGAACCTACCTTTCCAAAACCTCTGCTTGCCGGTACCCCAAGCCGTCTGCGAGGCAGGATTGGGAACGTGAAGGGCTTGCGTCTCGAGGCGTGCGAACAAAGCCGAGAACCCGAAACTTAGAACGGACCAAACAATGTCTTCGGCTTTGGAACGACTTTGGCGGGTCTTGTCATTGTCGGGTTCCGACTTTGCACCGGGTAGCGAAGTTAGGGTAAGACATCCCGAACATGTAAGTTTAAGGGATGCTTATCCAGCATCCCCTCGCACCCTAAATGCCTAGAGCTTCAGCCCTCTCCGAACACTTAGCAAACTTCATAGGAACCCTAAGCCCCCATAGAAACCCGAAACTTTTCTAGGAACCCTAAAGCCCTCAAAAGGACTGCTTAAAGGAACCCTTGCAGGTCCCCCCCTTAAAGGAACCTGTAAAGCAGCCCGCAAAAACCCTAAACCCTAACCCAAAAACCTAAAAGCCTGAACGGAACCCCGAAAGCAGCCCTGCTCTCCAGCCCGCATCTCGATTCTGGATAGATAGGGTTTCAGGAGGCTTAGGGTTGAGATACTTGAGGGGTTTCGGATTTAGGGTTGCGTCGAGGGTTTACACTTCAGGGGTTTCGGGTTTAGGGCTTTTGGGTGCCGGGTTTAGGGCTTCGGGTTTAGATCGTTGACGGCTCCAGGATTTAGTCAGGGGTTTGCAATTGGGGCCAGTATTTTCGGTTTCGTTTGTGGGAGCAGTATGAGTTTCGTATGTAGAGGTATGTTCAATGTACTGATTAACACTAGTAGACTAATACTCATACTCATATAACTAAAAATACTAACAATAGCAACAACAAATAGCTGTTATTGTCAGTAGTATCAGTTTTCGTACCACTGTTATTGCTATTTTGATTATTGAAATGATATAACCCATACCTACAGTCTCCGTTGTAGTTCCTTTTCCCTAAAACAGTCTAAAACCCTAAACCCCTAAGCCCTAAACCCTTAACTGTTATAGTATTATATAACCCATAAGCCCTAACCGAGGAGTACACTCCTCCTTCAAAGGGAAGTCGCAGGCTCTCCGGTGGGCTCGACCGCGCCTAGCACCAAAAGGTCGCCTTGAATGTTGACCCGGCCTTGCAGTGAGGCTGTTCTGGTGATCAAGCTAGGAGTCTCAAAGCTTAGGGTTTATAGGGATTGAGGAGAATCTCAAAGTTTAGGGTCTAGTATTTAGGCTTAAGGGGTTTAGGGCGCCTTGCAGTGAGGCTGCTTCTGGTGCTCAAGAGTCTCAAAGTTTAGGGTTTAGGGATTGAGGATTTAGGAGTTTAGGGCATGTTTTACGAGTCCAATGGTTTAGAGTTTAAGGGTTTGAGGCTTTATGGTTTAAGAGTCTAGGAGTTGACTTGGAGGGTCGGGGGACTTAGTAACTGGCTGCTTTAGGGACTTATAAGTACCATGACCCCAATTAGGGTTCCTTTTAGGGTACTTAGAAGTCTACTTACTAACTACTTACTAAGTCCCCCGACCCCCCAAGTAGGGATGTGGAGAGGTCCCGGGCTCGGAGACATGGCTTTGTTAGGGTTTGGAGTTTAGGGTTCAGGGCTTAGGATTCTTAGGGTTTAGGGTTATTTAGGGTTTAGGGTTAATTAGGGTTTATTGGGGTTTAGGGTTAAGGGTCCGGCGTGACAGTGAACTTGGGGGCTTTGATACCTAGACGGGCCTTCGAAACCTACCGACAAAGATGTTTAGAGAAGCTGCACAGCTAAAACCCAAAACCCTAAACTCTCATCCCCTAAAGCCATATGGCAAACTCCAAACCCCTAAAGAACAAAACCCCTAAACATGAACCTCTGAAGCACCGGCTGCAAGCACGGACCCTGTGTCCAAAAGGGACCTTGTGAGTTATACAAGAATTCCCCATTGGGTTTTACCATCTCGGGACTGTGAGATCGTCGGGTTGGGGGTTTCCCCAAAGTAGTTCCTTTTTGGGATTAGCCTATAGGATTCTATATATGAAGCCCAGAAAGGAACTATTTCGGGGCCTTGGGGTAGGGCTTAGGGTTTCAGGACTTTGGGGCCTACTTGAAGGATCATGGGGCTTAGTAAGTAGGTTATAATTGGGGTTATAAGTCCCCTAAGTGGGGTTATCCTAATCATAACCTATCTGATAACCTTACTTGCTAAGTCCCATGAGCTTTTAAGTAGCGTCCGTATTTTAGGATTGAGCGCTTAGAATTACCAGGGCTCCAGGGTCGTTTGGTGTAGGGCGCCAGAAAGAATCCTCCAAAATGGAGGATCCAAAAACTAGATCCCCTAATTTGGGGCCCTATACTACTTATTACTTAGGGTACTTTATATGAACCCCCATTAAGGGATCTGCTTTGCGGTATGAGCGCTCAACCAGAAGACTTATCAACTATCAGTGCTACTCAGGCACCCAAATGCCTCACTCTTGGTATCCCTCCGACACCCTAGCCTCACGCCGATGTACCCTACAAGCCCTGAACCCAACAACAACAACAACAACAACAGCAACAACAACAACAGCAACAACAACAGCAGTTTCAACCTCGAGAACACAACTCACGAACCTGTTCAGTGCCGAGAGCTTTGAATCCTGCTCTTGGTTTGGCATGGGGGCTTAGCACATTGCTGTCTGGAAGCAGTGCCTGCACACGTGCAAGGACACTTGACTAATCTTAACCTCCACACGGGAGTTTCCGAAAATAGGGGACCCTAATGTAGGACCCTAAATAGTAGGATTCTTATTATAAGGACCCCAAAATAAGGTACCCCTAATTTTCGGAAACTCCCACCACAAGTTTGAGCAACATCTCGGGAAGCCGGCAGTCGCCCTTCGGCGCGCCGGCACCGAATGCCCGGCAAAACCTTCTGCTTACGCGGTGTCGTGTTAATTGGTTCTAGATTCTAGAGGGATTCGGGTTTAGGGTTTAGGGTTTAGGGTTTAGGGGATTCTAGAGGGATTCTTGAGGGTCAGAACCACTTGCGTTTTCATAACACAAGTTGCTGCAATGGTTGTCGTCGTGGGTGGTTGTTGGTGTTCTTGCCGGCACCATACAGTGAGTAACAATACTGTTCCTCAGGGATCCGCATGTGTGCGTGTATATACTTATATATACACACACATTATATGTAGATAGTCTGAAACAAACTGTATTTATGCGCAGGTTTTGCTTTACGAGAGCAAAAACGAACAAACGTCCTGCGTGTCCTGGTCCCTAAAACTTACAAACTGGCTGGCCTCCTCATTGATTTGCCCAACAGCTTTGCCGAATTCCGACCTAAACCCTAAACCCAATAACCGGAAACAGCCCAATTCCGCCAAAGTGATGTCGCACTCCGACCCCCCCCTTTAGGGTTTAGGGTTTAGGGTTTGAGAGTTTAGGGTTTAGGGTTTAGGGTTTTAGAGTTTAGGGTTTAGGGTTTTAGGGTTTAGGGTTTAGGGTTTTAGAGTTTAGGGTTTAGGCCCCCCCCCCCCCCCCCCCCAAAAAGGCCGAAGATCCCACAGCGAGGAAGCCCTCGAACTCAAGAGCTCCTAAACACAAAGACCCACAGGGGAAAAGGAGGGACCCTTAATGGGGACCCCTACCCCAGAGGGAAGAGGGTTCCTTTAAAGGGGTCTATAAGGACTAGTATAAGGGGCTATATTGAGGGTTTAGGGTTTAGGGTTTATGATATAATGGGCTATAGAATGGGTATATAATGGCTCTATTAAGGGTATATACCTAGGGGTCCTTAGTAACGGTCCCTCCTTTTACCCTTGGAAACACCCTCAACACAACCCCTAATTTTGGGGGTCCTCAGAATAAGGATCCTACTATTTAGGGTGCTATATTAGAGTCCCCTATTGTCGGAAACCCCCACAGAGCCCTAACGAAAAGACTGCAGCCAAAACCCGGGAGGCTCGAAAGCTACTCTAGAGTCCAGCACCGCTACAAACAGCCTAGGCGAAAAGTGATTGCTATTTACATATACTACAGTACCCTAAACCCAAACCCGGCATGAAGGAGCACAGGCTTACATTGCTAAATCTGGCACGCCGAACTGAAAAGCTGCCCTAACTCTTTCCCACCGAATCCAAAAAATGTACATCTGTTCTTCCTAAATCATCCCTTACCTTACTGTACTTTTCCACTGGACCCGTATATCAACTATAACACCCATAAAGATTGCCCTTCAAAGCAGCCCTTTTGAAGGAATACTGTTGACATTTCTGGCTATTCAGAGATTCAGGACCCTTCAACCACGATCCCTAAAGGGTCCGAAGTATCCACTAATGTAGGAACCTGATTAAGGAACGTTGGGCCTTTATCAGGGCTCCTTGTATGGATCCTACCAGTTTGGGGTTATAGGCCCAGGGTTTCTTAATCAGGTTCTTGCATCATGTGGGAACATGAACCCTTTCTGGGGGAATCCCCCTTAGAACCATAATAATGATAATATGTTCAATATTCTCTTGGGTTTTATATGAACACAAATTAAAATAATTCCTAAGGACACTACCCTAAGGCCTCAAAGTAGTTCCTTTTTGGGGTCGATATTTAGACTTCTATAAGGTAACCCCCAAAAGGAACTACATTTGGGGCCTGTGGGTATAGTATAGGAGATCCTAAGTGCAAAACCTTTTTGATAATATCTTCAAGATTCTCTTGGTTTTATATGAACCAAAACTTAAAAATTCTAAGGACACTATGGGTAGACCCCTAAAGAAGCCCTAAAAGGGGCCCTAAAGCCTATAGATCCCTTTAAAGGAACCTAAGGACACTGTAGTGGCTGGGGAATCCTCTAGCTCGGTGCCCTGGCATGTTCGGCGGTACCACAGGAGCCGGAGTGGTGGATTTCAGAGCACCCGGGCCTGCCGTCGCTGGGCTTTACCCAAAGGCCCCACAGTAGTTCCTTTTTGGGGTTCATATATAGAATCCTATGGGTAATCCCAAAAAGGAACTACTTTGGGGCCTCTGGGTAGCGTCTGGTAGGCTTCGAGATGTTTAGGGTTGAAGTGTGTTTGGGCGGAATAATGTGTAGGAGGCAAAAGGTTTGGGGTTGTGTATGATGTCTAGCATTTACCTAGACCCCCAAAAGTAGGTAAAATAATGGCCCAAAACCTATAAAAGGCTGTTATTCTGCATACTTGTGGGGTCCAGGTTAGTAGGATCCTTATAATAAGGACCCCGAAATGAGGTACCCGAAATTTTAGGAAACTCACATTTAAGCTTCGGGAAGAAGGTTGCATGTGCACGTCAGGGTACTTGGGCTTAGGGCTTCGGGCTAGGGAACTTTGAGGCTTCAGGGTTCCGGGTTCAGGGTTTAAACAGGGGGCTCAAGAAGTATATTCGTGTTTTGGGACATAGGAAAGTATAGTTATAAGGGGACCATAACTAACATAATACTATTGCTGTTAAGGGTGCCGGATGTTTAGGAGACGTTGGAGGCTTCGGGTGTGCTGTTGACAAGCTAGGACTCCGTGTTCAGTCTGCGGTTGCAGTGGCTTGACCGGTCTACATACCGCAGCTCTTGACTTTTCCTACCTTGCTCTTTTGATCCGACTATAAATGCAAAGATGCATCGACAGAAAGCCAAGCAGAGCTATTGCGTCGAGTCTTCTACTGTCAAGCACTTGCCAAGCACCGTTTTGTTCCGGACGCTGCAGGCACTGTTGCTATCTCAAGAGACTTTCATCTGAGAGCTAGGACTGAGGTCTCCAGATAGTGATAGTGAATGTAGTCGTCGTGGTGGTGCTAATAGTTATGATACTAGTAGTGGTAGTAGCAGCACCAGTAGCAGCAGCAGTAATAGCAGTAGTAGTAGTAGTAGTAGTAGGAGGAGGAGGAGGAGGCGGAGGAGGAGGAGGAGGAGTAGTAGTAGTAGTAGTAGTACAAGTTGTAGTAGTCGTCGTCATCAGCTGATGGACAAATCTGCATGGTCCAAATAAACTGAAACATTTCTCAAAGTTTAGGAGGAATCTTCATGTAATGCGGGATACTGTCCATCACTCGTATCATGAAGAAACTTTCAACACTGGCCTGCGATTGGAAGTGGAGGGGGCGGCGTCGGACTTTTGGCCTCAGCAGCATTTGGGGCTTGGGGGTTCGAGGATTTAGGGTTGAGGCGGTTGAGTGGCTAGGAGTTTCCGGCGTTCCAGGGATTTGGGGCATCAGGTTTCTATGCAACACACCACTCTTTGGGCCATCCGGGAACCCTCGACCCTGATCTCGTGTAGCCTGGAGCACCCAAGTCGTCTTTTGTCTGATCATCCCAGCATTCCACCCTTGCCCAACCATACCACAGCGCAGTGATTCTGAGGATCCGGGCGACATAGACCCAACTGCTTATGCCCTTCAGGCAAAAGCACGGATCCATCGTTTGTCCTCATAGCGAGCGAGAGGATTCTTCTTGCAACTCTCTGCCAATTATCACAGGTTTACATGTCCACTCCAGGCAGGACTTGAGCACAGATATTTGCACGTTTAGGGAAGATAAATTGCAGATTGCTCTGTGAGATGCAAGAATCAGCAGCTTGCTGTATTGCCGAAGTACCCTGCTGCTGGAGCTGGATGGTGCTGGTGCGGATGCGGTTGTGGGTGCTGCTGGTGCTGACGCTGGCGCTGGCACTGGCACTGTTTCTGTTACTTCTCACACCGACTGCTACTTTCGTTGCTTTTTTGCAAGCAAGAAGCAAGCACTACTAGAGCGCGGTTTGCTGGAAGTCTCTTGACCGCAGGGCGATTGGTCGGAGGCTTGCAAGACATCTTGGCGTATCTGCCATTACGGAGGACTCCACTGCCGTTGATGCAATCCCCGAAGCTCTAATTACTAGCATGCATGTTGCTCACAGTGACTCAGTGTAAGCAGGTGCCTTCGTGGGATTCCCATGCTTTTCTTGACTAGGACTAAACTGCCCGTTTGATCGCGTCCGTGTCGTGCTATCACTCTCCCACCGTGCCGGTACTTCTACTGATTCTGCTGTTACCTCCTCTCGATTCTCATCTTGCGGCATAAACATATAGTTACAGTGAGCAGCCAAATGCTGGTATTCTTACGGTTCTGCTTCTGACCCTGTTTCGCACCGGTAGAAGCCCGAACCGGTGTGGGCCCCAAAGCAAGTTCCGGACCCATCCTCTTCGAGGGGCGTTACCTAAACTCCGAAAAGTAGGTGAACTAATGGCCCAAGACCTATCAAAGGCTGTTATTCTAGTGTGGTCTATATCTTACAGATGCCAACGCAGCCTCAGGAATACTAGTGCTAACTCCACCGACGCCTCATACTCAGCCACACGCACAACCCTAGACCCTACATGCTCAGCCCTATCCGACATCTCCGCACCTCCTCCACTGCGCTGCTGACAATAGCACACCGATGTGCAGCCCCGGGGATGAATCGGGGCAGAACTGGGGAAACCCAAGCAAAACCTAAGCCCTAGAGTAAAGAGCGCTTGGTCTCCTTGGGATCGGGGGCTTTGAATCCTTGCTTTTGCCGTGCCAGTAGATTGCTGCTAGATGTCTTGCCGGGGGATTCCGACAGGGGCAAAATCTCAACAGAATCTGAGTGGCACGGCTGCAGGCACGAGTGCAAGAGGTTGCATGCCCTCATGCTGAGCTGGAATCTCAATCAAGTTAGCATTCTGGGGCACAGCTTGACATGTAAAGCATAGGTAGATCAATGGGATCTGGGAGTTTCCGAAAAGAGGGCACCCTAAATAGTACGATCCTTATTCTACGGACCCCAACATAAGGTACCCTCTATTCTCGGAAACTCCCATCTGGGGCTGCTTGCTATCACCGGCTCCGGAGACAATGTTACCAACTACCTAGTGGCAAATTTAAGGGAGTCAATAACAAGACTTACGGTTCTGGGCATCCTCTACTTTATCTATCTACCTGACGATCGATCGATCGATCTATCTATCAGTCTACTTATTATATGCAACTATATTTAATAATGTGTATATATATATGTATATAAATATATGCACACAAACCTACCTGCAAAGATAAAACCACCCAGCTCTGAACCCCGTGTGTAGCATAGTCCCGTTTTAGAAGCCTTTTCAAGCAGACCAGAAACACACAAATGCTCGTGTCTTTTCTTCGCGTTCCGGCCGGCACGGCAAAACCCCAAACCCTAGCCGCTAAAACTCTGAACCCTAGACCCTAGAACCCTAAAGCCGAGACCCTAAAACCTGAACTTTAAACCCTAAAGCCTTGATCCTAAACCTGCAACCCTGAACCCTGAAACATGCTAAAACACTAAAACCCTATAGACCCTGAATCCGAAACCCTACTTGGAGGATCATGGGACTTGGGAACTAGGGTTATAATTAAGGTAACTATACTTAGTTTTGGTTATATCCCCAGTTAAGGTACTTATGGTTGTACTTACTAAGTCCCCTTATCCTCCAAGTAGAGCCAAAGGTCTTGGGGCCTCGCGCGCTAGATCAGAAATTTGTTGAGTCGGTCCGGGGTGGAAGGTTTAGAGGTTCCTCCTTCAAGGGCTTCCTCCTTTAAGGGCTTCTATTAAGGGCTCTGGGTTCCTCCTTTAAGGGTGTCGATAAGGGCTTCTATTGAGGTTTAGGTTTGGGGGTTTTGGGGTTTAGGCGGACACCGGTACCTTAAGGCTACTTGAAGCGCACCCTCGAACTACAAGAAGCAGCCCATGCTGCAGGGTGTAAACTAGGGCATGCCTAACTGGAGCGCTGGCCCTTATCAAGGGTTGGCTCTCAGGCCACCCCCCCCCACCAGTTTGGCCACGGGTGCAACTCAAACCGAATGCCTGAATCCGGAAGCCTAGAAACCACTTGTACTTGGGGGGTTGGGGGACTTAGTAAGTAGTTAGTTAGTAGACTTATAAGTACCCTAAAAGGGACCCTAATTGGGGTTATGGTACTTATTAAGTCCCTAAAATAATCAGTTACTAAGTCCCCCGACCCTCCAAGTAAATCCCTAACTACCCCAAATACCCTCCAGTCTGGTGGGGCTTCGGGACTGGGGCTACGGTTTTGAAGCTATTTTGCAGTTGCCCGGTGCTTCTAGGCTGGGAGATGCTCAAAACAGTTATGAAAGAAAGGTGTTCGGCATTTCATGGTAGATCCATATATCTATCTTTATCTTTGCCAATATACATACATAACTCCATATATACATATACATATCTCTGTATATATACATATGTATGTACAAGTGTACACAAAGACATATATATATATATATGTATATATATATAGAGAGAGATAGACAGATAGATCCTGTAGTTCTGTAGGAGTTTGCTTCATCATGATGGGTCTTGTCAGTCTACCTGTAGGCTCATACCCTACCGCTTTTTTAGGGTATCTAATTTTCCATACAACAGATCCTAACCACAAAGCACGGCATCCTAAAAAAGGGGTAGGGTATGAGCCTACAGGTACCGTGAGCCAGGAACTCCTTTTTCGCCAAAGCCTGCTGCCCAAGCCTTGTCAAACTTCCAGCGTGGGACTGCTGTCTTGGACTGGGGTCTCGGTAATTAGAAGAGAGTTTCATAGGTTTCCTTTAAGGGGTTCCTTACAAGGTACCACAATGTACCAATAGGGTTTAGGGTGTAGGGGCTTGACAATTAGAATGGGGTTATTGGGACTACTATACTATAGATACATTGGGGGCCATGAGGGAATGCTATGTAAAAGGGATAGAAGATGAATGCGAATTGCTTCAAGTATATTCAGTATATTGATACAGTAAGTCACCCCAAAAGGTGTAGAATGTGAATACGACGGGGGGCTTATGTTGGCAACTTCAATGGTTTCCTCCAAACAGCTCATTCCGCGCGATTAGCAAGGGTGCTTGCTTCCGGAAACCCAATCCCTAAACCTCCAAGCCGCCGGAAGACGAAATTCTAAGCCCAAAGCCTTATACGGAACCCTACACCCCTAAACCCCTAAACCCTTAAACCCTAAACCCGGGGCTTTAGGGTTTTTATGGCTTAGAAGGGGATCAGGGGGTCTCGGCGCTTAGGGTTATTACGGTGTGGCGCTGGCGAGGTTAAGGTCGCAGGGCTCTGCTTATGCTTACCCATATAGGCCCACGGTGGTTTTTTTCTTTGGGGTTCATGTTTAGAATCCTGTAAGGTAATCCCAAAAAAATCTACTTTGGGGCCTATGCCTACTTTCCGCTGGCAAACCCCACGTGGAAAGCATGGGCGGCGCCCATCAACAACGGGTGACAAAGCAAGTTGCCGCGATGATAGGGGGCGGACAGAATTGGCAACAAGCCTTTTCCTAGCGCTTGCGAACTAGGAACCGCCACAGCCTGAACCCCGGAAACCCTAGACCCCAGCCAAGAAGAACCCTAGACCCTCCGGCAAACTGGTTTTATCTCATGATCGACCGAAAAAAATCACCAGCATTATTGTTCCTTTGCCTGTAAGGCTCCCGAAGACGCATTTACTAGGTTTTACCAGTTGACCCGATTTAAGTCTAAGTAGTCTAAGTGCTTGTGCATCCAGTTTATTTACAGTCTCCATTGTTTTTTCGTGCTTTGCTTAACCAAATCTACAATGGAAACTATAGGTAGTTTTGCTTCTCCGGCTTTAAAAGTTCCGAATCACTGGCCTACGTATACGGGTAGTTCTCTACATCAGGGTCCCTTTTTTGCAACACATAAGAAAGGCGGCACGCTTATAAAACGGACACAACAAGGCACTCCAACTTAGTGAACCACCCATTTACTTGTCTCGAATATGCACAACCTTGGGTTAGGGAGTAGGCGGAGTAGGGTTTAGGAGGATTTGGGTGAATGAAAGGCTGTTCTCTCTCCTATTAGAGTTTATAGGGTTTGCTTTTGGCACGAAGGTGCCTGCAAAGTCACGCCCCCTCAGATGAAAATCATCTGCCACAGGCAGCATCGGCACCCACGGCCAGCTTTACGTACAAATTTATACTAGAAGCTCATCTAAATTCAACTGGGGCGCGGGCGCCAGCTGCTTGACTTCTACAAGGGGCGCGATGGCATTTCACCAATGTCAGGAGGTGTGACGACTCGCATGGTAACCGGTGACCCTCAGACTAATATAGGGGCCTTCATAATTAGATGAGGTTTTGGGGATATTATACTGTATTTATGATAAGGAACCACCAAAATAGCATAGGTAACTATTTAGAATCCTATATTATACAACCCGTACAGGAACCCTGGCGCCCTAAACCGGAAAGCCTTCACTTCCAAACAGACAAGCAACAGCCCTCTTAAACGTCGGCGGCTTTCGGTAATCGTCTGGGTTACCCTCAAAACGATCTCCAGGGCTGATAGCAGCATACTATGCGAGGCTTCTTGCGATTAGGAGTTCGGTTGTGCAGGTCCTTGCACGAAGGGTGTTAGTGTTTGTTTTG